TGTGAACGGTACCTGGAGACCGGTAGAGATACGGCTTGGCAATGACATGTCTGAAGCGGAGAACGTGCGAGGGGTTTTCGAGATGCATGCGCGCGATGGTGTGCGCCTGTGGCTGAGCACTTACAGTTCGGGGTTGTCCTTGGTGGCTGCAGACGTGGCAAATAGCTCTGGTGCTGTGATGGTGGCTCACTCTGGTGCTTCGACAAGCATCACTCGAGATCGTCCGTATGTTTTCAGTCTGACCCCGCCGGCGCGGAATTACATGAAGGGATCTTTCGAGGCCAGGCGCATGTGTTGCTGTCAGAATTGCATGTTGAACCCTGCAGTAATCCGGCACAAGCCTCGCCCCCAAAACCCCAGACCCCTCAGAAAGCCCTCGCAACCCTGTGCGCTCCCACCCAGAGCCCTTCCCTCAAGGCGCTTGCGGCCAGTGGTCTCCGAACCATCTCTGCCTTTTACGAAGACAGCGGAGGGCCCCGGGCGGTTTGCAGCCCGCTAGAGGCTCCCGAGTCTCTTGTTTTGACTCGAAGACATCCCAAGGGCAGTAATCACCTTTGAAAAGGTGGGGTCTCTCTCTGCTAGTGTTCTAAGTCCTGTTCTATCTGGGGGATTCCTCCTCTCATGTAATGCGGAGCCTTCAGATGTTGGGCAAGTAGGGTTCAAAGTTCAAGAGGCCAGACGTCGTGCAGTAAGACTGACGGTTCAGGGATTTCGCGACGACGACTCTGCAGCCTTCACTTCTGCAGGAGTTTGCGTCCTCCCACAACATGACTTTTCTTGGCAGCCGCGAGATTCCGTTCTCCGCCAACAAATCCGTTGTGAAGGAGCCTCATGGGTTGGGGTGTGGAGGTCCACGTGATGAAGCCCTCCACTTCCCGCCTTACACCCCGAACCCTACGCCCCACACGTAAACCCCCCAAAAGCCTGAGCCCAAACCTCGAAGAGGCTGAACCTCGAATGTTCTGCAAGCGGAAGGGGCTTGAGGGCTTAAAGGCCTCAGGTGGTGAAAGTAAACCCCCAAATCCTTCAACCCCAAACCCCGAACCCCAATCCCTAAGCCTTAAGTTGCACGATCCCAAGGAGCTTACCAGCGAGTTGAAGGCCATGGGTCCCGATGTTGTCTTTGCCTGCGTGTATGAGCAAGTGTGCCACAACTTCATCGAGGAGCCCTGCCCCCCGAAACCCTGAATCTCCAACCCTGACCCTAAACCCCAAACCCTAAACCCTAAACCCGAGACCCTATAGACCCTAAACCCCCTAAACCCCCTAAACCCGTTAACCCCCTAAACCCTAAACCCTAAAACCTAAACCCTAAACCCTAAACCCCAAATCCTAACTCCGGCACCGGGGACCTTCGTTGGGAAATCCGAGGATGGGAAAGTCAGAAGCTCGCGAAGTTTGGGCTGAGCCTTGCAGGGTCTCGGGTTTAGGGCCTCATGGGTTTCGATGCCGCAAAGACGCAGAATGCCCTCCGCTCAGGGCTCCCGAATGCACGGGGTTTATGGCTGACTCTCAATCTGGGCAGGTGGGGGTGGGGGAGGGTTTATCCTAACCCTAAACCCTAAAAACCCTAAAAACCCTAAAAACCCTAAACCCCTCGGGAGCCCAATCGGACAGGAGATGCTGGCGCAGGAGTTCGAGCCGAAAGTGTCTCTGGCGAAGGTTGTTTGCGGGGAATCCGGCCCTACACCCCTAAACCCTAAACCCTAAACCCTAAACCCGCCCGCCACCCCTCTCTTGTCTTTTGGGGGGGTTTTCCCACCTTACCCCCTTCGCACCATCCGCACCAGTTTGTGTCCACGCCAGCCCTGTTTGCGTGGCGCTCTCCCTGGCTTTAGCCCCTGTTCCTGGCCCATCCACCCATAGCCCCTTCGCGCCAGCCCAAGCTGTCCTCGCCCAAGCTGTCCTCGCGCACCCTGCCTCGTTTCCGTTTGTGCCTGGTCCACGCAGCTTCTGGAGGTCCCCCAACCTGACCTGACCTGGCCCGGCACCCCACCTTACCCCCTTCGCGCCACCAGCCCTGTTTCCGTGGCGCTCTGCCCAACCCAAGCTGTTCACTGTGTGTTGCCTGTTAGCCCCTTCGCGCCAACCAAGCCTCCCTACCTTTGTCTGTTCCTGGCCAACCCAAGCTGTCTTCGCTGACCCTGCCTCGTTTCCGTCTGCTGCAGCTTTGCGCCTGGTCCACGCACCTTGTGGAGGTCCCCAAAAGGGCGTGAGTGCTGACTCATGTGATGCTTTGTAAAAAAATAAAAGGTTTTAACTCTTTGAGAGTTGTAAGTGGGCGTTCTTGGGGTGGGTAGGTCTGCAGACTACCGCGCGCTCCCAAAGCGCGCTTCCGTTTGGCACGCCCTAAACCCTAACCCTAAACCCTAAACCCTAAACCCTAAACCCTAAACCCTAAACCCTAAACCCTAAACCCTAAACCCTAAACCCTAAACCCTAAACCCTAAACCCTAAACCCTAAACCCTAAACCCCGAACCCTAAACCCTAAACTAAGTGAGGGGTCGCTTCCGTCGAGCGACAGACCCCGAACGCTCGGCCGAGGGCCTTACAGCCCGAGCGCCCAAGCGAAAAGAGAAACGGAAAAGGTGAGGGTTAAGCCTCACCGTCTGTCCTGGACAGGCCAAATTTGTCCGTGCCCGCAATGAAAAATGCGATTTTTGAATATTGAAGATGGTTTTAGGCACCCCTGCCCGCAGTGAAAAATGTTACTTTTTGGTACTGAACTCGATGGTTTTGGGCACCCCTCCATTTCACCCGAAAAGGACCAGGAAAGCCCAGGAAGCCCCCAAATCAGCAAGGGCCTCTACGGGCCCTGAAGGCCCGAAAAGGGCCGAGTACCCCGAACCCCAGCTTAAACCCTAACACCGCAAAACCCTGTGAAGGCCTTCAAGCAAATAAGGGCCTCTACGGGCCCTAACGTGCCGAAGGCCCGAAAAGGGCCGAGGCTACCCCGAACGCCAGCTTAAACCCTAGCGATTGAAATACGCATTGGCTCCCTGACCTTCAAGTGAATAAAGCCTCTATGACCCCTGACACGCCGAAGGTCCGAACAGGGCGAGAGACCCCAAGAGCCACCAAAAGGCTTCAAAAGGCTTCAAAAGGCCGCCCGTACCCGCAATGAAAACTGCGATTTTTTGGTACTGAAATCGATGGTTTTGGGCACCCCTTCATTTTACCCCGGAAGGGGCCAGGAAAGCCCCCAGGAAGCCCTCAAAAGGCCCCCAGAGCCACCAAAAGGCCTGAGGACCTTAAAGAAGAGGAATCCAAAACCAGGCACAAAGGGTTCCCTGACCTTCAAATAAATGAGGGCCTCCACGGGCCCTGACACGCCGCAGGCCCGAAAAGGGCCGAGGCTACCCCCAACCGCAGCTTAAACCCTAACAGCGCAACTTCAAAAACATCAAAGCAAGCATCAGGGCACAAGAAAATAAATTCCATAAACCCTAAACCCTAATAGAGTATAGTTTGGGTGGCCGGGGTGGGTTGACGGGCAACGGGAGCGCGCGGCCCGGGGTGTTTCACACCCGAGCGCGCGCCCTCCCCTGACACACCCTAAACCCTAAACCCTAAACCCTAAACCCTAAACCCTAAACCCTAAACCCTAAACCCTAAACCCTAAACCCTTAACCCTTAACCCTTAACCCTTAAACCCTAAACCCTAACCCACCCTAATCCGGGGTTTCCACCTTTCACCCTGATGTCCGGAGAGCCCTAAGCTCTGAACCCCCAAAGCCTCTCACCCCTCAAAGCCTCGAGTTTGGGGTTGAGGCTTCCTTAGCCCTTGCCCTTTTTTGGAATACTTCTTTTGGTTTGCTCTCTTCATGAAGGGTCGAGTTTCCACCAGTATGGTTTGCGCGCGGGTGGATTTGACCCGAAGCCGTACGCGTTACGCCCAAAACCATCCACCCTGTCCCCGGGCAGGGCAAGCAAGAGGCCTGAACCCGACTCTGAGACCCTGAGACCCAGAAATTTTAAGGGTTTAGGGTTTAGGGTTTAGGGTTTAGGGTTTAGGGTTTAGGGTTTAGGGCTTAGGGTGCCACTTTGAGCCCTTGCCAAGTTGCCAAGGCATTGATTTTCACAGTCTGCGTCACGGCGGAAAGCTTCTCACAGCTGGGCGTGAAAGGGAGGCGGACAGTCAGGACGTTTGAATCCCTAAACCCTAAACCCTAAACCCTAAACCCTAAACCATAAACCCTAAACCCTAAACCCTAGACCCTAGACCCTAAACCCTAAACCCTAAACCCTAAACCCTAAACCATGGTTCAAGAGATTTCGTTGTAGGCCTCAGCCCTGAGGGTTTTAGGTCTAGTGTTCGACATTGTGTCTCCAGGTTATCCTGCGGTTGGCTGCAGGTAGATGGGCTTTCTCCAGGCTTTCACCTGGGTTAACTCTTAAACTGGTCCCAAGCCCGAAACCATCAGTCCCAAAGTCCCAAAGGATTCAAGCCCGGAGCCCTAAACCCTTGTAACTTCTGATGAATCTTGACTTGTCAAGTGGCTTTGCCTGCCAGTACAAGAATTCTGACGCTTGAAGCGGCTCTAGCTTTGAGTTTCGCAGGCCCAACAAAAAGCTGGCCCTGTTGCTCAGATCTGCTGGTGTGAGCTTGTGTTCGGCATGCCCCATGCATCTTGTGTGCCTAAAAGAGCCTGAGGGGGCACAGGGACGCAAAGTAAGCTTTTGGGCCGGTCACAGACCCCGAAAGCAAAAGTCCTTTAAGCTTCCGGGGCATATGGGCACTCACATCCGTTGCGCAACGAGCCCTTCTACTCCTTGTCACACAAGCCTGTGGGACCAGCTTGGTTGCCCTTGGACTCGGACCCTTTCCCATGCTGGCTTAGAAGCCCCAAAATTGGATACTTCCGGGTGTTTCCCACCATAAGGGTACCTCGACGACCACCCCAAAATGCTGGAATCCATGTCGGAAGCCCCAAATTTCGACCTGCCCTTGGCCTCGGAGCGCAGGTGGGTCACAGGTGTGACGTCGTGGCTACCCTCCATGTCGCATCAGTCGGCCTTGACGGGCTTCTCTGCCACAGAGTTCGGCGACCTCTACAGGCTGGTGAGCCCTGACCCTTAGAGCCTGAAACCTCCTGTAAAGCATGCAAACCCATGTTAACCCCGTTAGCCCTCGGTGCTTGATAGTCTTCTAACCATAATCACCGTAAACCCCGAACCCAAAGTCCAAATGCTCCGCCTTGCAGCTGAATCTCACTACGCTCTCATGCTGCTAGGGTTCACTCATTTTATCTCATTTTAGCTCCTGCAGCTGATGCTCATGATGCTCCTGCAGCTGATGCTCAGCCTATTCTCATACTGATCGCATTCTGTTAGGGCTTCCCCACGTCAGCCTTGCAGCTGATGCTCACGATGCTGGCCTTCTGCCGGGGTTCCCGCTCGTGACGCTCTCCTTCCCCATATTCAGCCTGTTCATCATGCCCGCTCACGCACCCATCACGCCCCGTCACACACCTCCCCGAGATCGTGCACCTGCAGCTTTGTGCCCAACCGAGAAGCCAACATCGGAGATGTCGTTGGGAAACATGGCCCAAAACAGTCAAAAGCGTGTAGGAAACCCAGATCTTGAATCCCAAACCCTAAACCCTCGGAGAGCACCTCGAAAGCTGCAGGTCCAAGTACAAGGAGGATCCGCCTTACCAGGCTGTGGCCGCATTTGCCGCCATCGTCAGCTTGGGGAGGACGGGGCGTTTCATGTTTTTAAAGCTTTTGATGTTTGGGTTTAAGGTTTAGGGTTTTAGGCTTTGGGGTTTCAGGGCTTCGGGGTTTAGGTTTCAGCGAACCCGAAGTCGCCCCTTGAAACTCTCAACCTCTCGCACAGGGCCGTTGAGCTGGCGAACTCCACGGAGCCTGCCGAGGTATCGGCTCAGCTGCGCCGCGTCCCGTTTTAGGTGTTTAGGTTTTCTTTTGGGGTTTTGTGTAGATTTTGGGGGGATGTAGGGTTGTGGGAAAGCTGTGTCGGCTCAAAGGTTGCGGGCTCCTGCAACCTCATCCTGCAATTAACCCCGGGACGCGAGGCGGTAAACCCTAAAACCGACCCTCGAAGCTGCCTCGCAGAGCAAGGCAAGCTCTGGACATTGAGACCCTCTACGGCCGGGTTGCTTTTGATGACGCCAGGCGGATTCAGTGAATGTGGGTGGAGGCTAAGATGATTCAGGGGCTCGCTTTCTTATCTGACTACGGTGCCTTGTAGGAACATGCCCTTCCTTAGATAGCTGCCAAGCTTGGGTGCAAAAGGGGGCCGAGTGGAGTCGCTGCCTCGCGAAGACGCTGGTGCTGGCCCCGACCCCGCCTACGTGGCTGGTTTGGCGTCCCTTCTCCATGCCTGCCCAGTCTGCCCGCAATGGGTCGGCCGTTGCCAAAGGTTATGAGTCTACGAGGCCAACAGGAAGGCTAGACACTTCATGCTGGGAGGTCTCCTGTCCACTTTAGCCACGCCCAAGTGGCCGCCGCCTCCTCCGTGTGGCCACACTGCAGTTCCAAGAAGTTCAACAAGGCCTACAATCGGCTGCTTCTAGAAGTGCCAAATTGCTGCCTCCAGTAGTGGCAAACTTTCTGAAGACAGGTGCCGTTATTCTTGTTTACTTTGCAAGCCAACTCGCATGCGCATAGCTGTTTAGCAGCTTCAAATCAAAATTGCCACAGAGCTGGAGGCTTCTGTCCTGTGTTGACCATTGTTTAAGTGGAGGACCCAGCAGGGTTTTGCTTCCGGGTCCTCTTAGGGTAATTAGACCTTCAAGCCCAAGCCTGAAGACCCTCAACCTACGGACCTTTAATAATATTTTCCGAGGTGGGATTAAAGGGGTCCCTTCAAAGGGGAGCCCTTCTCAACCCTCTTCTGGTGCCGTTAAGGAGGGACCTGATTGAGAGGGTCTACATCCCCCAAGGGTCCCCCTCATCCTACCCCCCTTGAAGCCGTACACCCCCTCCACCTTCGTCGGTCTGGCCGAGGAGCATGGCCAGATAGCGATGGAACTGAAGGCGGTCCAGGTGCAAGAGGCCAGGGTACACTTGGCAGCTTCCCCCTAAACCCGCAACCCTAAGCCTTTAAGCCCGAAACCCTAAACCCTAAACCCTAAACCCTAAACCCTAAACCCTAAACCCTAAACCCCATCGCCCGAAGTCATGGGTTTAGGCCCCGGAGACGGCAGGTGGGAATGCCTCCTGTGCCCGTCTCGCCGTTGGGAGTGGCCGTTGCTCCGCTGCGCTTGATGCCTACCATGGCGGAGCGGCAGTGTGCTAGCGAGGCAGGGTCTTCCAACAGGGAACTTAAGCCTAAACCCGAAACCCTAAACCCTAAACCTTTAAGCCCGAAACCCTAAACCCTAAACCCTAAACCCTAAACCCCAAATCCCAAACCCTAAATTACTAAACCGTAAACTTTCAAGCCCTCAGCCCCGTGATGAGAAGAGCTGTTGGCGCGATCTTTCGGGGGGTCTTCATCTCTGGGGAGGAGGCTTAGCATGCAGGGTTTAGAAATAATCAGGGTTTTGGGGTTGAAAAGTTAGGGCGAGAGCAGCAAGAACGGAATGACCCCAAACCCAACCTCAACCCTCAGCCCCAGAAACGCAACCTGAAACCCGAAACCCGAAACCCAAAGCCCTAAACCCTGTGAGGGTTTAGACCCAAAAGCCTCAAACCTAAACTCTCAGCCCGAAAGGTCGAGCTCGCCTGCCCACGGGTTTCAGAATTTGGGCTCATACATGGGTTTAGTCGAGGGGTTGAGGGTTCACGATCTGAGCTTCGCTTTGGGATTGAGATGTTTCAGGCTGGGGGTTTAAGGTTGTTTAGGGTTTAATCGGGATTATACTACCCATCCAATTATAATCCCTATCATGGACTGTTAGCATAAGGTGGAACATCCCGAATGTGGGGTTCAGGGTTCCTCTCCTTACCTGCGGAGGCACCCACAGTCTACGGAAGCGATGCATCTGGAAACTGTGTGAGGTGCCGGGAACGTCGGGCTGTTCTGCCCTAAGCCTTACACATAATCAGTTTACAGGGAGCCATGAAGATGCCCGACAGTCAGGGTTTTCGGGGGGAGTCGGGGAATCAAGGTTCGAGCTGGATAGGAGGAACCCTATTGAAAACCCTCAATCCCACAGCGCCGTCAAACGAGTGCCACAAGAGCACCCCGCACCGAAGCATCCACCCCAATCCCTACACCCGAGAAACCTCTCAAGACGAAGCCCGAAACCCGGAAGCCCTAAACCTTAAACCCTAAACCCTACACCCTAAACCCTAAACCCTAAACCCTACACCCTAAACCCTAAACCCTAAACCCTAAACCTTTTAAACCCTACTCACCAGCCTCCAGGTGTCCGGCGAGCTCCTTCTCCATGTGGAACACCTCGACAAAGCTGCGCCGCTGCATCTTCTGTCCAGCCGGGAGCTCCCTGGACGAGGCTCCCAAGTACCCTTCTTAGTAGCTGAGTGAGCACACTCTACACTTCTTGCGATGCTGTAATCCCCCTATAGAACTGAAAGGCCCTTAACTCAGGGGCCTCGAAGGTTTTCCGGGTTTCCGGATGTTCAGGGTTTGAGGGCTTTGGGTCTTTTCAATTGCTTGGGGTTTTGGGGAATTGGTGCCACCGCACGCCGCCCTCTGAATCTGAACACCCTCCGTGCTCATCCCAACAAAGGCTTTAGGATGTAGCAAAAAGGTTTCGGGGTTTGGGGCTTGGAGTTGATGGCAAACCCTAAGCGGAACAAAGCCTCCACGAAAACGCTCAACACAGGAACTTTAAGAAGGGAGTTGATCAGAATGATGGGGATTGTTGCCAAGTTCCTCCCCCCTCCCCCCCTCCCCACGCAACCTGCAGCCGGTTTCAATGCTGAACCCTCAACCCAAAAGCCAACAGCCTCCGAGCCCCTTGCCCGACAGGAGGGTGTTTGCTCCTTCTGCGCGCCTGGAAAGGCCGCCGCACCAAAGTGCTTGGCCCCGAAGCCCTAGTAAACCCTAAGCCCGACAGCCGACTCCTCAGATCCTCAGCCTTGGACCACAGGGCTTTCGGGTGGGTTGGGGTTGGGTTGCCATGAGGACAGGTTTGGGGTTCAGGGTTTAGGGTTTAGGGTTTAGGGTTTAGGGTTTGCTGTAGCAGGCGGAATCTGCTCGAGAGCTTCGTCAGGTGTAGCACCTCTGCCCAATTGTGGAGGGCCATCTAACACCTTCCTCCCCAGCGCAGCCCAAGGCGGCAAAGGCCTAAACTCAAGTCAATAAAGTTCTTCCAAGTTTGTTGAGGGCTTCGGTTGTAAAGTTGTGATCCGACCGCAGCCAGGGTCAGGGGTCCTCAGAACCCCGGTAGGTGGGAGGGAGGTCCCAGGTGTCAGGAACCCTATTCCTCAGCAGTTTGCTCAAAAAATAGTGGGTGGGGTAAGTTGCAGGGAGTCCCCTCCCGAGAGGGGGGCTGCCGGGAGGGTCCCAAGAACTCGACTCCTAACTCACTGCCTTGAGCCCAAGCCCTACGAAAAAATTGGACCTTTAGAGCGGACCCTACACCTCAACCTGATAGGCTCCACGAACCTGAATGCAGACACGTGTCACCAACTTCGGCAAGAAAGATACGACGTGAAGACGCGCGACACACGACACGAGGACACGACACAAATTCAAAGGCACGAAACAAGAACACGACACAAGACATAACATGACAAAAGGGTGGGGCGCGAAGACACGACATGAAGATAGGACACCAAGATACGACACGAGGACACGACACGAGGACATTACACGAAGACACGGCACGAGGACACGATGCAAGGACACGACACGAAGACGAAGACTTGATACGAAACGAAGACATGAGACACGACACGAAGACACGACACAAGGACAAACGAGGACGCGATAGGACACGAAGACGTGGCACGACACGAAGGAACGACACGAGGACACCACACGAGGACACGAGGACACGAGGACACGAGGACACGAGGACACGAGGACACGAGGACACGAGGACACGAGGACACGAGGACACGAGGACACGAGGATATGAGGACACGAGGACACGAGGACACGAAGATACGACGCAAGGACACGATGCGAAGACGAAGACACGATACGACACGAAGATATGACACGATTCGAGGACACGACACAAGGACAAGACACGAAGGCGACGACCGATACGACACGAAGACATGAGATGAGACACGAAGACGAAGACATGATACGGGGCGGGGGGGGCGGGGGTGGTCGGGGTGGGGGTGGAAGGGGGGGGAGGGGGGGAGGAAGGTCGGGAAAGGACGCTTGTGGACGCACGCTTGCTCCTGACCCCGACCCGCAAAACCAGAACCCTTCTGCTCATTCGGGAAAAAGCATCTGTTTTGAAAATTGAAATTTGAAATGTTGTGGTTCCGGAATTGGCTCAAGCTTGAATGCTTAAGCCCCCCCCAAAGGCCCCACACCCCAAGACCGCAAAACCCTAAACCCCAAACCCTAAACCCTAAACCCCAAAACCCACCCTAAACTCCCACACCCTAAGCCCAAAGTTCTAAACCCCCCAAACCCTCAACCCAAACCCAACTTAGGGGTTTAGGGGTTTTGGGGCTTTGGGGTTTCGGGCTTTTGGGGTTTTGGGGTTTCGGGGTTTTGGGGTTTTGGGGTTCGGAGTCTCGGGTTTACAGTTAGGGCTTTGGGAGCCCTGAACCGAAGCCCCGATGCCCTGAGACCAACACGACCACCCACACCCTGGCACCGTACACCCTCAACCCGGAAACACTACAGACCAACAGGTTCCGGAGCCAGTTGGTTTAGGGTTTCGGGTTTCGGGTTTCGGGTTTAGGGTTTCGGGTTTAGGGTTTAGGGTTTAGGGTCGCCCGGAGTCTGCAGGTTTCCATCACGGCGGGGCAGAGGGCCTGCACCAACTGCAGCGAAGGCGGCTAAAGGGTTGGAGGGAGGGCCACTCAACCCTAAACCCCAGACTCTCTGCACCCTTCATGTTTTTGTGGGTTGTGATTCTAGCCCATTCGAGATATTCTTGTGATTTTGATTGCAAAGAATAGCTCCGGGTTGATCTTCCCCTAAAACCTGGACGTTCTTGCATCATCTACACCACGTGCCTCGTAGCGTGAAGGGACAGTTTGTGACAGGTAGAGTCGTTGCAGGCTTTTAGGGGCTTGCTCTTGTGGATCGCCAGGGTTGTTCGATTTGATCTCTAGCGCGCTCCACTTCCCCCAAAACATGCAAGTACTTATAAACCCTTCAACTCGGAATAGGGCTCCCAGAAAAGATCGTGACCCCCAGTCCCTGCAGGCTACTATGCGGATTCCGTTGGCCAGAGCCGTTGCAGAATTTGTCCCGTTGGGACCTTTAGCGGCTCCAGCGGGCTCACGCAGTGCACGAACTGTTCGGCCGGGACGTTTAACAACGAGGCCGCAACGGACTCTCAGTTCAGGGTTGACCTGAAGACCTAAGCCTTAAGCCCCAGAATATGCCTGAACCCGTAAACCCCGAAGCTTCTACCCGGCACGCCTCTGCACACATACACCCCTCTACACACCTCTACACCCCTTTGCACCCCTCCACACTCCTCCCCTACCCTTACATGCCCATTTGGATGCGGACGAGCTCACATGTTTCGGTGTTGAGTGTTTCGGTGGCCTTCAGATAGGGAAGCATGGGGCTACGGCTGGGGGCTTCAGAGGGGCTTAGGAGTGTTAGGGCTAGGGCTGTGGCCTATACCGCCTTTCCCCCTTTTGGAGGGGCTTTTCTTGTCTTAGTGGATCTGCAGGCGCCGAGGAATCCTTTTCTCCTGTGCCTCACCTACAGTGTGATCCCTCCTGTAAGATTAGGCCCACGTCCCTAAGCCCTTAACCCCCAGGCCCAAAACCCCAAACCCTTCACCCTAAACCTCATCCTACCCTCTGAGCAGAGAGCCTTGAACCTTACTGAGCTTTCGCTCCCTTTTGCGCAGGCCGCCCACACATCCTGTCGCAACTGTACCCCCGGCACCATCAGCACTGAGGTGCAGCGGGGTTTAGGGGTTCGGGGTTTCTTGGGGGGTTTTGGGACTTAGGGGGTTTGGGGTGTGTCAACCGCTGTGCGAAACACATTAGACAAAAAGCCTTAGCGTCCCTGAAATCCAAAGCGCTGCAAATGCCTCGGCTTCTGCCGTGCAGAGGAAGCCGCCACACACTGCGACAAGTGCAGCCTGGGGCAGACGCCTGCTTGGATGGTTTTGGGTTTGGGGGCTCTAGAGGTTTTAGGGTCTAGGGCTCCTAGGGTTTAGGGCTCTGGGGGTTTAGGGTTTTAGGGTGTTTGGGCTTTAGGGCTTTAGGGGTCCAGGGTCGGTTTTCAGAGTTTGTGTGGTTTTTTTGCATCAAGCTCCGGAGGACCATGCCAAACCCTGAACTCCGATGCCCAAAGCCCTGAGCCCCAAACCCCCCCCTAGTCGAGCCCGAAACCCCTAAGAGCCCTACTCCTTAAGCACCAAAATCCTAGCAGCCCTACCCCAAAGGCCCCCAGAGCCCTAAACCCTAAGCCCTGAACCCCAAGCCCTAAATCCAGAATCCTTCCGAGCTTCAGTGGCTTAGGTACGCAGCAGACAACGGTATGACGTCCTGCAGCCAGTGTCAGGCGACCGGGCCTTCGGAGGGAGCAGCTTGCGGGGCCTCAGGGTTGTGGGGTCAAAGGATTGGGGGTTCTGAGGGAGGGTTGATAAAGCTTCGAAGGTATAGGATTCAGGTCTCAGGGAGTTCGGGCCCCCGGGGTCGGGTTCATGGTTGCAGATACCCTGAAGCCCCCCTCAGCTCTCCACTGTCCCCAACCCCACCTGACTGGCCTGGCTCCGACCGAAGCTTACTCTAGATCAGAGGATTACGGCCTTACAGCCTTGCTGGGAAAGCCTTTCTAGAGCAGCCAGACTCAGATCTGCTGTTTAAGGCTGGCTTCACGACATCCTCAGCCGGGGCCAGCGGCGAAGAGCAGTGCGTCTGCCCGAAGGAGGGGGTGTTTTTCAGGTGACTTCGTGGGTTTGTGGCGGGTTTGGCAGGTTTAGGGGGTTTATCCCATACAGGCCTTTTTTACGTTGCAGGAGGAGAAAAGGAGCACTCTCACTCTATAGTCTATAGGCCCTAAAGAAAAGAAATGGGTTTAGGAATTCAGGTGCATCTAGGGGAGGGTTCCAGGTTTAGGATCTCATAAGCAGTAAAGCGATAGGTTTTCGTAGTAGCATTGAGCCAAAGTCCCGTAAAGCGATAGGGGTCCCCCCCCAAAAGCGATACCACATGAATTTTAATTGTAAACGCTTGCGCGCACCGCCTCGGCAGCCGGGCCGGCCCGGGTGGGGGGGGGGGGTTGGGGGGGGGGGAGGGTGGGGGGGGGGGTTGGGGGCGGGGTGGTGGGGGGGGGGGGGGGGGGGGGGGGGTTGGGGGGGGGGTGGGGGGGGGTGGGGGGGGGTTTGGGGGTGGGGGGGTTTTTGAGGCACTCCCCTGTAGGAGCCACCGACAAGCGGGACCCTCCACGGCATCGGTTTGCAGCTCCTCCAAGGGATTGGGGGGGGTCCCACAGGGCGGGGGGGGGGTGGGGGGGTTGCGTCAAAAAATCTGGCACGGGGGGAAGGGTTGGGTTAGGGGGAAGGAGGCCCGATCCGGGTCTGCTTGTTCCAGACGCTTCTCGGCAGGAAGCCGAGGCGAATTAGCATTTACATAGGGTTTTTTGCGGCTGCTCATGTCGCAAAATTGACGTGATCCGACCCACGCAAACCTGCGCACCTCACAAAACAAACCTTACCGACGCAAGTCTCGGCAACCCAGTTCGCGAAACGGACGTCGCCAATCCGGGCCGTAGGCCGCAAGCAGCATTGTTGCCCCGTGTCAAGCATTTGTGCTGCAAGGCAATGTGCTTAGCAACCCGTTTTGCAACAACAGACCTTGCCACTATGGGCGTGTGCTGCGGGGGCTGGTGCGACGTTCCCTGCGTTGTGAAAGAGCGTCCAATCTGAAGGGGTATGAAGATCCGAAGCCTCACAACCCTGAGAGCTTGGAGTGGGCAAGCTTGGCGCCTAAACCCAGAAAACTCCCAAAACGCGCCAAGGGACCGGCGTTCTATTGTCCGACCAGCCCGAATGTGGATTAGACGGGCATGACCTGGCATGAACTTTTACACTTCTAGGAGGTTCGGCGGCCCTTCATGAATCCACCCCGGTTAGGGGGCGAAGCATGAGTCCTAAAGAGGGTTTGTTGTGAGGGTCTAAGGCTGACAGGCCCTTGGGTTCGGCCTTAGCCCATGCCAGGATTCCTTTCGAGATGGTGACTCCTGCGTTGCCTGTGGCTTTCTGCTGCTTGGGATTTTGCAGGAGCTGCTTTTGGGCTGTTTTGGGGGGGATTTGGGTGTGGTCAGTGAGCCCTAGGAGGAAGGCCCTAAACCCGCAACCCTAAACCCAAAAACCCACGAGCCGAAACCCCAACCCCGAAGCCCAAAATCCCCGCCCGAGGCAGACCACGCTCCTGGAGGGCGCCCTTTCGAGTGACGCCTGCCGGCTGACGGACGATGCGGTGTGGCTCGCACCCTTGGCTGCAGATTATTTTGGGGTTTTAGGGGTCCCCTCCGAGCCGAAGCCCCAGAGGCCCAAAGATCCCCAAACCCGTAAACTCCCTCAAAACCTAAACACCCTAGACAAGGTCAAAATCACCGCTTGCTTATTTCAGTAGAGAGGGTAGTTGTTGTGCCAAAATGCCGAGGATCGATAAGGGACGCGCTAACATGATCGAGGCAGTTGATACGATAGGATAGAAGTGCCGTTGGCGAAAAGCATGGGAAACGATAGGGGACGCGCAAGCTCAAAAAGGAGCAAGGCTTAAGCAAGTAGTTTTGATTGCGACACTAATGAATGCTGAAACCCCAAAGCCCTAAACCCCCACAACCCCTAAAGCCCCAGCCCAGTAAACCCGCTAGACCCGCTAAACCCCTTGAAGCCCCTCAATTTCCCAGAGCCGCAAACGCCCCTGAAGCTCAAGCCATATATGTTGGGCGAGTTCATAGAGAGCCTGTGTGCAGGGGGTGGGGGGTGGGGGGGCTCATTTCTTGTTTGGGGGGCTTACAGGGTTTGCGACTTGTTGATTTGGGAGTCTGTTTTGGTTTCGGGGCCCAAGCAGACATGAAGCTCCTGTAAGGTGGTGTCGATGACGGCGGCCATGACGTCCGGCTGCAGATGTAGGGGTTGGGGCTCCAGCCCTCAACCCTAAAGCCCTAAGCCCTAAACTCTAAACCTAAACCCTAAACCCTGAACCCTAAACCCTAAACCCCAAACCCTAAACCCTAAACCCTAAACTCAGGGCCTAGGCCGCCCCCCTACATTGGGGGGCGGCGCTTAAGCCCTTCGACCTCGATGGCGCAAGCCGACCCAGGTCGCTCGCCCGCCTCCCACAGCATGGGGATCGGTAGCGCCCACGATGGGCCCGGTACCGGAACACGTTCTCCTCGGGACCAGTACTGGTCCCTTATAATAAAGGTATTGCCCTAAACCCCACGCCTTGACCCTGTCGCTGGCTTTTTGGGGGGGTACCCCACCGGCCCCTAGGCCAGGAGGACCCGGACCCCTCACCGCAGCGTGCTCAGGGACCAGGGGGCCTCAGGGTGACCCAGGCAGGGCGGGTGCTCAAAAATTGGGTTTTTGGGGCGCTAGGTTTTCATTACTGAACAGCCAGGCCTGCCCCTCCAGCCTGGCCGAGCCCGCCCCTCTGAAACTTGCTGCAACCCTCCCTGAAACTGCCTCAGTTTTTAGAAGTGGGCTGTTGTCTGAGTTTAGGCCTAAACCCTAAAAAAATAGATTTAGGAAGCTTTGCCGCCTTGGACAACGTAAGGTGGGAGAAAAGTGTTAGATGGCCCTCCACAATCGGGCCAATGCTGCTTTTCGCACCTCACGAAGCTTTCGAGCTTGTTCCGAAACCTAACCTTCACAGCATCTACGCCCTATCACAGCAAACCCTAAACCCTAAACCCTAAACCCTAAACCCTAAACCCTAAACCCTAAACCCTAAACCCTAAACCCTAAACCCGAAACCCGAAACCCTAAACCCCGATCCCTAAACCCGAAACCTAGACCCGACGTTCTTTGAGGTTCTTAGACATCGCTTCTTGTGTTCGGGGATTGACTTGATCCCAAAACCCTTGCAAAACTGTAAAATGCTGAGACGTGAAACCGCAACCTCCTAAACCCTACAACCTCCAAACTCTCACCCCCCCGGCCCTCCGTCCCACCGCCCCCCCTACATCGAACCACACAACCCTGCACCCTGACCATCCTAACCCCTAAACCCTAAACCCTAAACCCTAAACCCTAAACCCTAAACCCTAAACCCTAAACCCTAAACCCTGAACCCTAAACCCTAAACCCTAAACCCTAAACCCTAAAACCCCGAAGCCGCGAACCCTCGAAGGCTTCTTTTCATGGCAATGGGGCCGGCGCTTGTCTTGGCCTACACGAAGCGCATCCGTCGGCGGCTTGAGGCCCGTTCCTTCTCCTAAGCCCTAAGCCCTAAGCCCCAAGCCCTGAGCCCTTAGCCCTGAGCCCTGAGCCAAACCTGCTGATCTGCTCTTTGGAGTTTGGGCTAGGGCCATGTTAGGGTCCTGATGGGCTCAGGCCCCCAAACCCTGAATCTGCACCCGAAACCCTATCACCCTTTCACTCTAAACCCTAAACCCTAAACCCTAAACCCTAAACCCTAAACCCTAAACCCTAAACCCTAAACCCTAAACCCTAAACCCTAAACCCTAAACCCTAAACCCTAAACCCTAAACCCTAAACCCTAAACCCTAGTGAAGGGCTTAGGTTTACGCGGCTTCACCTCCTCCCAGGGCTGGGGGCGCTGAAGAAGCCAAGCCCCTCAGAACCCCAAATCCCTCCGCCGTTTGAGCATCCTGCTGCCTGCTGTGGCTTTTGGTGATACGAAGGAGAATCATGTATGGATAAGGAGATGAGTTTATGTATATGTATAGAATTATATATATATATATATATGTATATATCTATATATAGTTTTTTCTTTATCTATATCTATCTATTTTTTCTTTCCTATAGCAGTATCTTACATTGTGTTGGTCATGTCGGCTTAGGCCAACATAAGCCCCCCCCCCCCCCGCAAGGAAGCGGAAGCGCGACAGCGAGCTGTTCTGGAGAGCAAGGTCAAAGAAGGCGGGGGGGCTCTTCTTCAACTGTTTAGGGTTTAGGGTTTAGGGTTTAGGGTTTAGGGGCCCTGGACCCTCGAACCCCGAAAGCCCCAAATCCTAAGCCCTCATTCGGAGCACCGCCCTCTGAGATTAATGATTAATACAGGCAGCACGGGGGGTGCACTTCTTTGTTACCCAATGGCATCAAGGACAAAGTCAGAGTAGTCACGGTGGCGGTGGGGGGATCCGCTCCTTCTTATCATTCGAGTTCGGGAGGTAGGGAAGTACCTCCGACAGCCGTTTGCCGGCTTCGTACCTGTGCAATCCTGGACTTCTTCCACACTTCATCGGTCGACTGGAGGGTTCAGGTAGTGGGGGCGAGTCTGCAAAGGGTTTGTGACTGAAGTGATTCGGGAACGCACTGGGTTTCCAAGGGGACGTGGGCCTTAGGGTTTCTTCTACCGCAGTTCAACCCTCAAACGACTCAAGGAGGGACCCTCAGAAGGGTCTTTGGGGGTTTTACCCTTTAAAACCTAAACCCTAAACCCTAAACCCTAAACCCTAAACCCCAAACCACTGGGCTGCCCAGGTGTAGACTCCATCACGGAGCTCGCCCACCCAATGGTGTGGCCAGGCTCAGGAGGTGGAGTTCGGTAGTCATTTGGCCCCGAAACCCCCCTGAAGCCTGTAGGGGTTTAGGGTTTAGGGTTCAGTCCAGGCACGGGTGATTCTGGGGCAAGAATCCTCAACTGGAAGCCCTAAACCCCGAACAAGCCTAAACCCTAAACTCTCAAACCCTCAAACCCTAAACCCTAAACCCTAGACCCTAAACCCTAAACCCTAAACCCCTACAGGCTTCAGGGGCTTTAGGCGCCCCCCCGAAGCTGAGGATCACGAGGGCCGACACCTTCCTGGACATCTCCTTCGAGCAGAGCTCGGCCTGACCCAGGGTTTGGGGTGGGGTTTTAGGTGGTGGAGTTTAGGGTTTTAGGGTTGTGGGGTTTCAGGGTTTTAGGGTTTTAGGGTTTTAGGGTTTTAGGTTCTTAGGGTTTGGGGTTTAGGGATTAGGGTTTAGGGTTTAGGAAACACCAGAAGCCTTGGGCCTTGAAGCCCCCCCCCCCCGCTTTCGTTTCTGCACTCAGGATTCAGATGCTGCATGAGGGCGCTCGCGACAGAGGGCTACCTGGCTCGCCTGGTGCTTTGGAAATCCCGCACCCTACACCCTAAACCCGAAATCCCACAGCAAACCAACCGCGCAGACCGGCTTGCTGTCTGATTCTCTCAGTTGTCGTGGGAAGACCAAAGCCAGGAGTTCACTAGATTCCTAAACCCCGTGTGTAGGGTGTTTGCTTACTGAGCTGTTCTTACTCGGGGGAAGTTCTGGGAATTCGGCCACCTTACTTCCCTCGAGACCATCCTGTGGGGTCCTGAGCATCCCACAGGAACCCAAGATACCCGGAAGCCATCAAGGTACAACCCTATGGACCATAGACATTCTACATGTTCCTTTGTTGGGTTGAAGAGCATTTGGGAGTATTTTCCAGAGGTGTGTTTTAAGTGCCATCCTAGCCTAAAACCCCCGAACCCTAAAGCCCCAGAGACATACTCCCAGGATTCTCACCTTCCTCGACTCGAAGGCAAGCATTCAAGTGCATCGGAAGCAGCATCCGCGCTCCAGGCCTCTTGCCAGCTTGCTTGCTCTCGCCTAGGTTCGGGGTTCAGGGTTTCAGGGTTCAGGGTTTGGGGTCTGGGTACAGCCCCACCGCGGGGTGGGAGGGTTTGGGCCTTTTCGGGTTCAGGATCTTGTTTGTGTGGCTGTAGGTGTTGAAAGAGTCAAGCTCTTGTAAGCCCATCGAGTTCCCTACCAAACCCCAAACCCCGGACCTTAAATCCAAAATCAACCCCAATCCGCTTCTCCCCCCAAGCTGTGAGAGCTGCGCCCTAAACCCTAAACCCGAAACACTGCCCTAAAGGTCGAAAGGCCTCTTAGGCCCGAGTTTGTCATTGTGTTTCTTGGTTCAGTGTTGCAGCCTGTTGCTAAGTGGAGCCCGAAGGACGGGCTCAACCCTCAACCCTCAACCCTCAACCCTCAACCCTCAACCCTCAACCCTCAACCCTCAACCCTCAACCCTCAACCCTCAACCCTCAACCCTCAACCCTCAACCCTCAACCCTCAACCCTCAGCCCTCAGCCCTCAGCCCTCAGCCCTCAGCCCTCAGCCCTCAGCCCTCAGCCCTCAGCCCTCAGCCCTCAGCCCTCAGCCCTCAACCCTCAACCCTCAACCCTCAACCCTCAACCCAAAGCCCTTTTGCAGGTTCGTCTTTCTCAGCTACCAGTGGCTCTCCTGGAACGTTCATGGGCCGAACGAGGTGCAGTTCGAGGCCTTGAGGACAAACAGAAGCCCTGACGCTGGTTTAGGGTTGAGGGTTGAGGGTGTAGGGGCTTCGGGCCCAAGGGTTCTGGACCTCTTTGGGGTTCCGGATTTGCTAGCCTTAAGCCGCAGACCCTGAACCCGAAAGGCTCTGAACAAAGAAACCATGCTGTTTACACAGGTGATCCGGGAACGCTGCTGGCATGTGGGATGCCTGTTTTGAGAGAATGAAACGAGAATGTGGGTACTCCTGCATGATGGGGTTCGTGAGGCCATGCAAAAGGCGGTGATCCAGTATGCCGATGCCATGCGGCTCACGCCCCAGGAGGTGCCCCACAGCCGTGGAGTTCAGGGCTGAGGGTCTGTGAGTTGCAGCCCCACCCCGAGCCCTAAACCCCGAACCCAAAAACTCTAAACCCTAAACCCTAAACCCTAAGCCCTAAACCCTAAACCCTAAACCCTAAACCCTAAACCCTCAACCCTAAACCCTCAATCCCAAATGCAAAGGTCCTCTAGGCCTTGTTCAGGTGCGAGGCTGGCAGCCGGAAAGGGCAAGAAGAAGCTGTACCCCAGCCCCGAAGCCCGAAGCCCTGATCTCGAAGACCGTAAACCCTCTAGATTAGGGCTTAGGTTTAGGGTTTTAGGGTTAAGGGGTTTAGGGTTTAGGGTTTAGGGTCCTAAACTCTACAACCCCTAAACCCCTAGAAAGCCCCTAGAACCTAGAAGCCCCCTGAGTCCCTGAAAGCTCCCTGGATCTTGGCCTTTGGGGTCTCAGGGTCTTCAGCGTTTGAGGGTGTTGGGTCCCTGGACCCCACCTCAGCACCCTTAGAGGGGGTTTGGGGCTTTGGGGTTGGGTGTTTTTAGGGCTTGGTTTTCTTTTTGCATGATCCTCAGAGTTTAGACCCTAAGCCCTCAACCCTAGGCCCTAAAGCCTAGACCCTAGACCCTAAACCCTAAACCCTGAAGAGCCCTCGGCACTCAGTAGTAGTCCGAGGGCGGGAGTGCCGCCCGAAGGTCTACGTTTGGCTGGACGTCTTGTCCATCCCGCAGTTCCACAAGGGCGTGCAGTTGCCCGGGTATAGTTTAGGGTTTAGGGTTTAGGGTTTGGGGTTTGGGGTTTGGGGTTTGGGGGCTTGGGGTCTTAGGGGTTTGCGGTTAGTTGGGGTTAGGGGCTTTTTTTGGGTTAGCAGGTTTGGGGGCTCAGGAGATGAGGGGCTTAGGTTTGTTGTTTTGGCGGGGGGGGGGGGGGGGGGGGGCTCAGTGTTCTGGGCGTTGCAGGCATTCGTGAGCAGAGCAATCTCAAAGCCCTAGCCCCTAAACCCGAAATAATTAGCCTAAACCCCCTCAATTCCGCCACCCCCCTAATTGTGGGGGTCGTGTCTGTCATACCTAAACCAAGTTTGGCGGTGCCATGCCTGCGACCTGAAGAGTCAGGCCCTAAGCTTCGGGTAGAGAGGCCCCAATGCCACTTTGTGGGTTCAGGGTCCAGGGCAGAATTCTCTAAATATCCCTTCTTGGGTTCCAAACGAGACCTTATTTAGAGAACTACTTGGAGGTTCATGGGTACTTACCCAATTATAAGTCTACTTGCAACCTACTTAGAGGACTTAGGGGGCTTGTCAGTTGTAGTTGGGGTTATCAGTTCCCTGAACCTCCAAGTACCCACACAGTTGGAGGAAGTCTAAACCCTAAACCCTAAACCCTGAACCCTGAACCCCAAACCCTAAACCCTAAACCCTAAACCCTAAACACTAAACCCTAAACCCTAAACCCTAAACCCTAAACCCTAAACCCTAAACCCTAAACCCTAAACCCTAAACCCTAAACCCTAAACCCTAAAACCCTAAAACCCTAAACCTGAACCCCTAAACCGACTTCGAGGGGTGGCTCGGCTTCCCTTTTGGGGCGGCTTCCGAGGCTTCTGGCAGTGAACTCGCTCTTCACCTACGCCTCGGCAGCCGACTCGCTCATCATCATCGCGCCCCGCTCCACGCACGCGGAGACTGGTGAGGCGAGACCTTCAACCCCAAACCCGAAACCCTAAACCCTCAGCCCGAAACCCCAAAAGTTTCAGCCCCAAACCCTAACCCGCAACACCTGCACCACAAAACCCTAAACCCCAAAAGTTTAGGCCCCAAACCCTAATCCGCCCGCACAGACCTCGTGGGCGCGGGCTGCCCTCGAAGCCCCGATCTACACATTCCGGTAGGTTTGGTTGAGCTGTCAGGCCGCGAACCTGGAGACCTACAAAAGCCGCGTGTGGACCCGGGTGTTTCTTTGTTAAAGGCTCTGAGCCCCCACCCCTAAACCCTATGTTTAGGGCTCAGCGCTGGGAAGATCCTCCCTCAACCCTCAACCCGCAACCCGCAACCCTCAACCCTCAACCCTCAACCCTCAACCCTCAACCCTCAACCCTAAACCCTAAACCCTAAACGACATGAGCATCTCCAGGCCCGCTACCTCACCCATCCCGTCGCGAGGACCCGGATGGAGCAGATCGCGCACGTGACGGCCCACAGCATCGATACCATGCGCCTTGCTTTTGGGTTTAGGGGCTCTGTTCTTGTAGGGTTTGGGGTTTAGGGTTTAGGGTTCAGGGTTTAGGGTTTAGGGTTTAGGGTTTAGGGTCTGGGATGTTCACCCTAATTAATCCTAACAGTCCTCAATCGGGACTAAAATGGGGGGGGGACGACAATCTACTATAGTCTCCATTCAGAATTGTTAGCATAGGAAGGAAGGTGCCAAGGCATAGTGGTGTTTAGGGTTAGGGAGCTCTTAGGGTTTCGTGGGGGGAACCTATTTGCCTGTAGAGATCCCGTAGAGACCCCTGCTATATTTGCGCTCCCTGCCCGCCCCACGGAGCACGACGTAACAAACACCACTCCCTCGATCACCTGCACCATGAACTAAACCCTGAAAGCACTGATAGCCCTCGACTCTCAACCCCGAAAGGCTCTCTGTAAAACCCTAAGCCCCAAAACCCTCAACCCCAAAAGCCTAAACCCCAAACCCCAAAACCCCAAACCCCAAACCTAAATCTTAGGGCTCTTCAACCCAGTGGCTTTGAAAAATGACCCCTAAAGCAACTCCTCCTTCTCGGGCCGAGAGAATGGGGGGGTTGCCCGGAGCTCGAAAAGGCTCGAGGGGTTGACGGGGGGGGGGGGGGGGGGACCTTGTTTGCCCGCTATTTTTTATGACCTTGCAGGGGCCTTGCCCGCTATGCTTATGACCTTGACGTGCCCTTGCCGCAATGTTTTATGACAAAGAGCAGGCAAGGTCATCAAAATAGCGGGCAGGGCCACTACAAGGTCTAAAAATAGCGGGCAAGGCCATTAGAAGGTCATAAAAATAGCGGGCAAGGCCAATATGACCTTGTTAGGACCTTGCCCGCTCTTTTTATGACCTTGTAGGGGCCTTGCCCGCTATTTCTGTGACCTTCTAATGGCCTTGCCCGCAAAGTCATTAACATCTATATTATATATTATATATGATAGAGTGGTTGAGGGTTTAGGGACCCTAGATGGCCCTTAAAAGGAAGATGTCAGGGGTGGGATACAAGTGCTAGATGGCCTTCCGCAATCGGGCCATTGCTGCTCTTCGCATGCAGCGAGGCTTTCAATCTAGTCTGCATCCCAAACTTCACAGCAAAACCACATCAAACCCGAAACACCCTGAGCGCCAAACCCTGACCCCAAACCCTCAACCCCAAACCCGAATACCAAAACCCTAAACCCCAAATCCTAAACCCCAAACCCTAAACCCAAAACCCTAAACCCCAAACCCTCAACGCCAAACCCTCAACCCCAAACCCTCAACCCCAAACCCTAAACCCTAAACCCTAAACCCCAAACCCTAAACCCCAAACCCTAAGCCCCAAACCCTAAACCCCAAGCAACCCCTTGAAGCCACAGGCTGATCTCCGGCGACTCTGGCTTAGAGCCGGTGTCCGATCCTGGGCCTGGAGCTGTTTTGGGGGTGGCTCCATTCTGAATTTAGGTTTTTAGGGTTTAGGGTTTAGGTGTCGGGTTTAGGGTTTAGGGTTTGGGGTTTAGGGTTTAGGGTTACTATTGCGGATGTTCCCCCTTATACTAACAGTCCATAACGGGGGATCAGAATAGGGGGTACTAGAATCCCCTTTAAGGACTGCTAGTATAAGGCGGAGCATCCCAATCTCGTATGATTCTGACGTCATGGCGTTGTTTTAGTATCATGATTATTGTTATTGATGCAAATTTGTGACTGACTGTTATCGCTGTGTTTACTGCATCATTACCCATATTTCGTGTTCTTTTTTGTGTGTGTTTCGTTTTCCTGTCTTCCCAGGTTTTTGGGATTTGGGGACCCCCCTCTTCGGTTTTGGTTGGGTTTCGGTTTCTGTCATAGAGCGGCGCGTGGGCTGAAGAGGCTCATTTAGGTTTAGGGTTTAGGGTTTAGGGTTTAGGGTTTAGGAGTGCAGCCCTGCGAAGTCCTGAGCCGGGCCGTGTTGAGGCGGGGGGCTTGTGGTTGAGGGATGTGGGGGTTGCGGGATTCGGGTTTCGGGGTTCAGGGTTTTGGGGTTTAGGGTTTTGGGGTTTTGGGGTTTAGGGTTTTGGGGTTTAGGGTTTTGGGGTTTTCGGCAAGCACGGCAGTTCGAAGGCTCCGGACAGAAACTAGAGACCTAAAACCTAAGCCCCAAACCCCAAACCCCAAACCCTAGACCCTAAACCCTAACCCTCACCCCTAAACCCTAAGCCCTTGGCCCTGCGCCCATTACTTAGACCTTAGACGCAAAGGAGCGGTGGGTCCGTGACGTCGTGCGCCTGTTTGACGGCGAGATGACGTGCTGCCGACTGAAGCACCGGCACAAGGACATCTGCGACAAGGCACGAAGGGTTTGGGTTCAGGACTCAGGATTCAAGGTTCAGGGTTTAGTGTTTAAAGTTTAGGGTGTCGGGTGTGGAAGTTTCACTGAGCAATGTGTTGAGGGTACCCTATCCACCCGAAGCAAGCCCAAGCTCGTTAACCTTCATAAGCCCCAAGCCCAAATCCCTAGACTCCTTGACTTTAAGCCCCGAACCGCCTCTCACGCTCCTTAGAACGACCAAAGCCCTGGACAAAACCTCCCGAGCACCCTAAACCCTGCACTCAAGGCTTCGGCCGCCCCCTTACATTGGTGGGGCAGTTTGGGACCGGTACCCGCCCTGGGCAGTTTGGGACCGGTACCTGCCCTTTTTGGAAACCAGCCTGGCGACCATCGGTGACCTAAGACGTTTTGTTGTAAATAAGCAGTTGAGCTTAGGCCTAAAGCCTAGAAGGAAAAGGTTTGGGTGGTGTTGCCGCCTCGGACTGCGTGGGGGTGGAGAAAGGTGTTAGATGGCCCTCCACAATCGGCCCAGAGCTCCGAGCTGATTCTTATCCGAACCTTCACAGCATCCACGTCCTAGTACGGCAAACCCTAAACCCTAAACCCTAGACCCTAAACCCTAAACCCCAAACCCTAAACCCTAAACCCTAAACCCTATACCCTAAACCCTAAACCCTAAACCCTAAACACTCTCTTTCATATGTATATTTAAACCTTAATGAATTCGTCGGCAAGGCCAAAATTTGACCCCCAACCTTAATGAATGCGTCAGCAAGGCCAATTCGAGCCTTAAATTCGTCGGCAAGGCCCAATTTGGGCCAAACCTTAATGAATTCGTCGGCAAGGCCCAAATTTGACCGAGCCTTGCCGACGAATCCTGAAGGTTTGAAACTTCAATGGATTCGTCGGCAAGGCCAAAATTTGACCCTTGCCGACGAATTCGTCGGCAAGGCCAATTTGGGCCTTAAATTCGTCGGCAAGGCCTCAAAGGGGCCTTAAATAAATCGGCAAGGCCGAAGTTGGGGTAAACCTGAATGAAATTCGTCGGCAAGGCCCAAAATGCGCCTTGCCGACGAATTTGGGCTTTAAATTCGTCGGCAAGGCCAAATTTGGGCCGGCGGCAAGGCCCAAATCGTCGGCAAGGGCCTCAAATTCGTTGGCAAGGCCCAGATTGGGCCAAACCTTAGTGAAACTCGTCGGCAAGGCCCAAAATGCGCCTTGCCGACGAATATCCGAAAAATGAAGTGGGTATTTTTCCAACGCTCGAGTAATTGCTTGACTAGTGAATGCTTGGACGTGAGATGCTGAACCCTAAGCCCTAAACCCTAAACCCCAAACCTTAAACCTTAAGCCCGAAACCTTAAGCCCTAAACCCTGAACCCTAAACCCTAGACCCTAAGCTCTAAACCCTAAACCCTAAACCCTAAACCCTAAACCCTCAGACCAGAGGAGACTTTGGTCATCCCTTTGCTCGGCGTTTGGTTCGTACTGAGAAGTTGGATGGACCAGCAGAGCACTGAGGAGGAGGAGAGGGTTTGGGGTTTGGGGTTTGGGGTTCAGCGTTTGGGGCCTCTAGGGTCTCTAGGGTCTCTAGGGATTATCGTGCTTGCAGGGTTGATAGGGTCCATCGAATTTATAGCGTTCATAGGCTTGTAAGGTTCGGGGACTTCAGCTCAGATTCAGCTCTCTTGGGCAAAGCACCCCACTTCTCCCAAAGCCAAACGCCTTCAGTAGACACTAGCACCAATCCAAAAAAGTCGTTAAAGCCCTACGAACTGTTCGTTACGAACCTACATGATTCCCTCTAACGCCAGAAGAAGCAAGTCGGGATTTTACGAAAACGGCCTGTTGGGGTCCTTATTATAAGGGAATCCTGCTATTGGGGGGTTACTTTTAGGGTCCCTCATTCTCGCAAACCCTATTCTAAAGCCTAACCCTAAACCCTAAACCCTAAACCCTAAACCCTAAACCCTAAACCCTAAACCCTAAACCCTAAACCTTAAACCCTGAACCAGGACCACGTTTCGCACCCTGGCGCTTCACTGGTCTACCGCCTCATGCGGGATCAGATGGATAGCGTTTTTCCAAAGACGCCCCGCGGCGCCACACTTTAGGACATTCCTTGGGATGTTCACCCCAAAACAAACAGTCCTTAATAGGGACTATAATAGGGGGTCCTAAAATCCCTGAATAGGGACTGCTAGTACAAGCGGGAAGATCCCAAGAGATTCCTTGTAAGTTCAGCATTCAGGGTTTCTCGTTTCTTGTTTTTCAAGTCGAGGAAGAAAGGCCCATAGTGCCACACGCATAGCATTTGCACTTTAGTTCACGTTAGTTCCGGATCTGTACCTAACCCTCCCTCCCCGCCCCCCCCCCCCCCCACTTCTCACCGGCAAGCCCCCACACCGAAACCCTATACCCTACACCCGAAACCCCAGTATCCGGACTGGTTTTCAAGCCTGCCTCCCCCACCCTGCGCCAGCCCAGGTTCGAGTTTAACACCCTGCGTGGGAGCCAGCAGAGAGCACCTTGGATTGACTTGAAGCGCTAGACGCGACCCTGTCCGGCATGCGGATCAAAAAAACTATTATCTAGGATCAGGACAAATTTATTTAGGATCAAAAAAATGTATTTAGGATCAAGAAATCATTTTTCTGTTCTTCCGACGGAGAGAGGGAGGGAAGGAAGGAAGGAAGGAAGGAAGGAAGGAAGGAAGGAAGGAAGGAAGGAAGGAAGGAAGGAAGGAAGGAAGGAAGGAAGGAAGGAAGGAAGGGCGGAAGGGCGGAAGGGCGGAAGGGCGGAAGGGCGGAAGGGCGGAAGGGCGGAAGGGCGGAAGGGCGGAAGGGCGGAAGGGCGGAAGGGCGGAAGGGCGGAAGGGCGGAAGGGCGGAAGGGCGGAAGGGCGGAAGGGCGGAAGGACGGAAGGACGAAGGAGGGAAGCAAGCAAGCAAGCAAGGACGCAGGAAAGCAAGGAAGCAAGTAAGCAAGTAAGCAAGGAAGCAAGGAAGCAAGGAAGCAAGGAAGCAAGGAAGCAAGGAAGCAAGGAAGCAAGGAAGGAATCGGTATTCAGAGCTTGCGAACAGGCAGAAATGCTGCATTTCTGAGCGTTTACAGCCTCCGCTCCGCTTGCAACAAGCCTTCGAAGCCTTCAGTAAATAGTTTTATGATCCCAAATAAGTTTTTTTGTTGATCCGCCTATAAATAAATTATTCTTTGATCCCAAATAAAATTGTTTTCATCCCCTACCGACCCTTTCCTGGCAGGCGATGGAAGTTCACAAGCTCAACTCCGAAACGCTAACCCCCAGCCCGAAACCCTAAACCCGAAAAGCCAAACTAACCCTAAGCCCTAAACCCTAAACCCTAAACCCTAAACCCTAAACCCTAAACCCTAAACCCTAAACCCTAAACCCTAAACCCTAAACCCAAAACCCTAAACCCTAAACCCAAAACCCATAACCCTAAACCATAAACCCTAAACCCTCTTTTCAAGGAGCTCTTTGGAGCGCTCATCGGCCACTTAGAGTCGCACCTGCACGCCGCCGGGACAGCGATTCGAAGACTGTTTTGGTGGATCGTTTGGGGTTTAGGCTTTGGGGGTTTGGTGTTTGGGGTTTTTGGTTTGGGGTTTGGGGTTGGGGTTTGTTTCCTTTTTTACTGATTATGTTTTTGCTTGGGTGGTGGTGGGGGTTTATGGTTTTTAGTTTTGGTTGGCTTTGGGGCGCGACGTCCGGAAGGTGCGTTGGTCCACGTGTTGCCAATCCCTAAACCCTAAACCCCTAAACCCGAAACCCGAAACCCGACATCCCAAACCCTAAGCCCCTTGAGGTCCTGATGGCGGACCATGACGTCGCCTCGAAGTCGGAAGAAGCACTCGAAAGTCCGCGCAACTCTGTGAGGCTGGGGGTTTGGGGTTTGGGGTTTGGGGTTTAGGGGCTTAGGGGTTTAGGCCTTTAGGGGTTCAGGGGTTTAGGGGTTTAGGGTTTAGGGGTTAGGGGTTAGGGGTTTAGGGGTTTAGGGGTTCAGGGGTTTAGGGGTTTAGGGGTTGGAGTGTGGGGTTTGGGGTTTGAGGCGCCCCAAGGCCCTCAACAACTTACACCTGCCATGAAAAAAATTTATATACACATAGGGGTATATATATATATATGTATGTATGTATATATACATATACATATAAACGCTCCCCCGCATGGATCCAGTGTTGTCGGCTTCAAACCTTTGAAAGCACAGGTAGCGCTACAGGCGAATCCTTTGAAAACACGCTTTGTGAATGGCCCAAGCTGAAATAGTCTGAAAGTACTGTAGCAGTCGGAACAACTACGAAAAATATTCCCTTATGGTCCCTACATAATTATACTCTTATGACCCTCCAAAACCCTGTTCTTCGTGTTGTTCCGCACAAGTATCATCCTCCAGAAATCGCAATTCTAGGTTGTAGCGGACACAAGTGTACACGCTAGGGGTCAGCTACCTGAAGAAAACTCGTGGCTCAAAAGGTGGTTCATAATTTATTTACACTTTATTGTAAAATTCAGGTGCTAGATATTTATAGCACTGTGGGGCTATTTCTCGCAAAACGTGTGGGTAGCAACAAATGGCCCCTAACGAAAACATTTTTTGCATAAACTAAGCAAACAAAACTCTTTAGATTACTACTTTAGATCATTATGTCGGTTCCCTTCTCGCAATTGTGTACTGCGAGCCACTTCGCGAACTCGATGTTGATTGGAGGTGATCTAAGTTTGCTAAAGTACTCATGGCCGCCTTATTTCAGACCACACACACACACACACACACACACACACACACTAACAAAGTTGAATACAGACCTTTTAAACGCATAATGTGTTCAAAAGCACTGGGGCTCATCAGGCCCATGGGTTGCCCCAGTAGCTGTCCTTCCTTATCTTTTATTTCCCTCGGCCGTTATTTCGAGAATATAGTGTTATTCAGCCTCGTTAATCAAGTGAATGAGATATCTACATGTTTCAACATGGGGGAGAATGAACCTTAGATTGCAGAGTGTGCTTCCGTAAGTTTTGTTCACGTAGTAACGCAGAATTTGCTAAACCATTTGTTGCGTTTTTGCTGTGCGTAGAAATTGCTCTATTACACGAAATAATAGCCCCTGTTTACGTTTGTAAGTTGGGATGCTTTAATTCCTATTAAGGACTGTTAGTATATGGGGGAACATCCCAGGTTATAATTTAGTCAGAACTGTATTGAAACCATGTGTTTGAAAACACAGCTACGCATATTTGGTACAGTGATACCAGCAACCAGAAATTCTAGAATAGTACTTCGATGTACTATGAACTCCGCAAATTCACGCGGTACATCACTTTGATTACTTGGTGAACATGATTGGAGGTCTGGTGTGTGGGTTAAGCTACTTGTACGACTATGTGAGCACTTTCTTGGATGCAAGTCAAATCTCAACTTGACTCACAAGTCCGCGGCCACTGAGCACATAGCATGCGGGTTCCAGGGGGATCTAATTTTGCAAGAAAACAGTGAAATAGTGATACTTCTTAGACGTTCTTCGAGTCCAAGCCGGACGGGGCCCTGCCGCTGGTCCCCAAAACCCAAGAGCTTCAACAAGTTGTCCGATCTGTCCGTTCACAACGAAATGCTCAGTGGCCTTTAAACACATCGTCTGAGGGTTAATTGGGGATCCCAGCCCCAAAACTTGTTCTACGCGAGAGTAGTGGTACTTCCTAAGCATCTTTAGTTTAAAAATCTGTCCTGTGACAGCGGAACACCTCAACACCCCAACCGTAAACCCACTCAAGGGACTCAAAAGCGCCAACGTTTTTGGAACCATTCCGGCAGAAGCATCTGACAACAGTTCATGTTTTATGTGATTTCCATGGATCTTGGAGAATGTCCTGCCGGGCTCAGGCCAGTGTGAATCTTGTGCGGAAGCCCTGTCTCACAGCTACTAGTATTGCCACGAAGGCCCAGGCATGGATTCATCACCCAGCGCGGTTACAGATGATTTCCTCTTCCCAAATCCTGTCTCAGTTGCACTTGTTCACACGGGCCAGTATTTTCATTTTTCTTGTTCACTGGCCCGGAGAATGGGATGATGCGCCTGGAAACGCCGCATGAATGAGCATTATAAGGCTTTTCATGGGGGCATTAACGTTGGCTCGAAATCATTGAAATTCGTATTGCAAGCGTTATTATTATGATGATTATTTTGATCACTAGTACAATTATTGTTAGTTAATAATATTATTATTACTATTTTACTATTATCATCATTATTATAACTTTGCCAACTTTGTATATCATGCTACTGTGCATGCAAGGCCCCCCCCCCCGGCCCTCTCTCCCAGACCCACCGCGTTAGATCCTTTGGGGGGGGGGGGGGGTGAGCATACATATATATATATATATACATATTTATATATTATACATATATATATATATATACATATGTATCTAACCCCAAAGTTCCGTCCTCTGCCCCCCCCCCCCCCCGTGCTGAATGAAACCGAGGATATCTAACCACCAGAGTCGCGACTCGAAAGTCGGGGCGGTCGGCAAGAAGACGATCGAGCTGTGATTCGGAGGTTTAGGCGGGGGTTTTAGTGGGGGTTTTAGGCCACTAAATAAGGTTTAGAGTTTAGGGTTTAGGGGTTTAGGGTTTAGGGGTTTAGGGTTTATGGTTTAGGGGGGTTTAGGTTTACCCCCTATCCCTTGAAAGCATCCAGCCCTCCCCTTCAGCTTTGACAAGCCTCGGAGTGATTTTCGGCCGGCGCGCCTGTGTGCTCCCAAGGAGTTGCTGGCTGCCGGGCCCTGCCTTCTTTCTGGAGTTTTAGGGGGTTTGAAGGGTTTAAAGTAAAGGGCTAAAGGGTTAAGGGGTGTGGGGTTTAGGGTTTCGAGGGTTGAGGGTTTAGGGTTCAGAGTTCTGGGGGAGCCCGTTGAGCCACCCAAATCAACAGCCCGCCTTCTGAAGGGGCCCCAGGGGCCCTATTTTAGGGAGCCTCCCTCCCTATCCCAAAACCCCAAAAGGGTTTCGGGTTTAGGGTTTAGGGCTGTAACCCGTGAACAAGGGTGTAACGGGCTCTCTGACAAGCCGGAGTAGATCCTGGCGTTCCACAATTGGGCCTCGAGGAGGGGAGGCTGTGCGCAGCCGTGGGGCTTTACTTTACTGGGACAGAGGCTGCTTGGCTCGCAGCGCTGAATCCTAGAACCCCTAAACCCTGAACCCTAATTCATTCGAACACCCTAAAACCCGAAACCCTAAGTCCTAAACCCTAACACCCGAAAGCCTAGGTCCTAAACCCTAAAGGGCTGAGCCCTACATGCAGATTCGAAAGGGTTCAGGTTCTCTGGGGAAGCTTGAGGGGCCTCAGTCCGAGGCACTTCGATAACCAGCCGCCTCGTGCTACAGCATTTCGGGTTGGGGATCTAGGGTTTGGGGTTTAGGGTTGAAGGTTCAGGGTTTCCGAAGGGGATTCCGATGATGTTGCTTTTTTTTGTGGGTATCTTTCCTGCCTCCCACACCCCTCCCCGTGGCCCAATCCTTTGCAGCTGAAAAGGTTTAGCAGCACCCACTCAAACCCAACCGGGGTTTGGCACGCGGCAGAAATCACTCCGCAAATGCTATCTGCTCGCGGAGGGAAGGACCGAGTGCGAAAGGCGCCAAGCCACTCAAAAAAGGGTGTCGACGGGTGTCTTCTAGGCTCGCTTTTGTGAACCTTCAAGCGCCAAAGCCCAAGGCTTTAGCGCCCCCCCGGCCCTGCAACCCTAAACCCGAAACCCTAACCCCTAATTGTCCCTAACCCTCCCAGGAGCCCCAACCAGCCCTAAACCCTAAACCCTAAACCCTAAACCCTAAACCCTAAACCCTAAACCCTAAACCCTAAACCCTAAACCCTAAACCCTAAACCCTAAACCCTAAACCCTAAAACCTAAACACTAAACCCTAAACCCTAAACCCTAAACCCTAAACCCTAAACCCTAAACCCTAAACCCTAAACCCTAAACCCTAAACCCTAAACCCTAAACCCTAAACCCTAAACCCTAAACCCTAAACCCTAAACCGTAAACCCTACCCAAACCAACACTCTGGGTCCTGCGAGGGTTGCATGTTCGAGGCTCCAAGGAAGGGTGTTTCCCAAAATAGGGGCACCCCTTTAATGCCCCAAATAGAATAGAATCCCCTTAAAGGGATCCCCAAAACGGGCACCCCCCCACTTTCCGAAACCCCCAAATGGCCCCCGCCCCCAAGCCGTAAACTCTGTACGGGCACGGCTCCCGGCACCCTTAGCTTGAGGAAGCCCAGGCGGAGTCCCTAAACCCTCAGCCTGCCCTCAAGCCCAAGAGCTTCAACCCTAAACCCTAAACCCTAAGCCCTAAACCCTAAGCCCTAAATCCTAAACCCTAAGCCCTAAGCCCTAAACCCTAGCCCCAAACCATGAACCCTAAACCCCAGACAGTGCGCCCGCGCGCTGCGGAGCCATTTTTGCTCCCGGTGGGGAGGGCCCTGTGCAGTCGGAGGAGGTGCCAGAAGGAGGCACCCGAAGTAGCATAAGGTTTAGGGTTTAGGGTTTAGGGTTTAGAGTTTCGGGTTTAGGGGTTCCTGCGGTTTGAGATTCAGGGCCTGAGGCTTGGGGTTACAGGGTTGAGGGTTTGGGAATCTGTGGTTTTTGTTGATTCCCCCCTCTTTTTTGTTTCGTGGCTTGGGGCGATGGGCTGAACAGATCCGGGTTGAGGGGTTAGCTCCGAGGGTTTCAACCTGCTTCAATCCCAAGCCCTCAAGAACTCCGAGTAAAGTGGACAAAGTTGCCGAAACTGGCTGAGCCTCTTCCTTGTGGGGCAAACGATTCGAACAAACCACAAAACGACCTTGCAGTCGCCCCTCAGATTTGCAACTGCGGCGATGGCGAGCTCTTTTCCCACCAACCAAGCCATCGTCGTGGGCGGAGGACTGGGAGGCCGGGTGTGTCACACGGGGGTTTAGGGTTTAGGGGTTAAGGTTTAGGGTTTAGGGTTTAGGGGTTTAGGGGTTTAGGGGTTTAGGGCTTAGCTCCTCCACCTAATATATGAGCCTCCCCACCCAACGCCGACGTGTCACTCACGTCTTGGAATATAGCCATGATGGGAGCATTGGGGTAGGCTGTAAGGCTCAGGGTTCGTTGACGCAGCCTGGTTTTTGAGGTTTCCTGAACTTCAAGTAGGCACGAAGCCTGAACCCTGTAGACCATCAGCCCTAGGCCTAAACCCTAGGCTAAACCCTAGACCCTAAGCCCCAGCCCAAACCCTGAACCCTAGACCCCAAAACGTGCCAATCTGCAGGCAGCAAAGTGGGACATAGACTTTCTGGGGTCGAACCCGCAGGGCTCAGGGCTTAGGCTTCCCCCGGTCCCCCGCAGGATGCAATTGTACTTATAATGGGTCAGAAGAAGCAGCCCCCCAAACCCTAAAACCCTAAAACCCCAAAACCCCAAACCCCAAATTTAAACCCCAAACCCCAAACCCCAAACCCCAAACCCTAAACCCTAAACCCTAAACCCTAACCCCCAGACCCCATATAAATCCAGGGGATGCCAAGGGCCTTCTTTGTGGAGGCATGTCCGCAGCCAACACGGTGGTGGAGAGCGGCGGCCGCGTTGTGCTGCTGGACGGGGCATGGCTAAGATTTTCGGGGGTTTAGGGCTTAGGGTTTAGGGTTTAGGTTTTAGATATTTTTCAGTTTAGGGATTTTTAGGGTTTAGGGCTTAGGGCTTAGGGCTTTGGGCTTTGGGGGGTTCGAAAACTCCCACGGAAGCCTCCAGGTACCAACTAGAGTCTAGGCGTCTCCAGAAGGCTGTTGTGGGTTTTCGAGCGGCCTAGATTCTTGGTTGTGACCCAAAAGGCCGAGGCCCCTTCAGCAGCCAAGACACGATCCCTGAACCAACTGCACCCGAGTCTCTAGGAGGTTTGGGGCGACTCAAACATCGACTGTTGCCCGACACCCCTCAACCCTCAACCCTAAACCCTAGACCCGAAGTGATTCTCTTTGAGCCATGAGGCTACGCCCGAGTCGGAATCAGGTGCTGGTAGGGTGTGGGAAGTTGGGCTCAGGTTTGGGAAGTTGGGTTCAGGGTTTAGGGTTTAGGGTTCAGGGTTTAGGGCTTAGGAGTTGGGGTTTGGGGTTTAAGGTTGAGAAGGTCGAGGGTACCTGCAGGACAAGTCGTCCTTCTGCGGCGGAAACAGCACGAAAGCAACCTCTGGCATCAACGGCGCAGGCCTGCGGTGTGGGGTTTAGGGTTTAGGGTTTTAGGGTTTTAGGATTTAGGGTTTGGGTTTATGGTTTCTGGCCTTTGCTCCTGTGATCAGAAGTCTTTTCAGAAACCATCTACGGGGTTTCCGAAAACAGGGGTACCTTTTTGGGGGTCCCTTTAAGGGACATGTTTCAAACGGGCAGGTTTTTTCGTGAAAAGGTGGTGTCAAAGTTCCGAACATTGGGCCCCGAAGTTTAGGGCGCTTGGTGGACAGGGTTTCGGGGTATTGGGGCGGATGTGCTGTGCGAGCGTTCCCCTGAGTGCAAGAGGCACCAAGACGCAGAAAGCCAAGGGAATCCCTGACAACGCGGAGATCTTCACGCAGGACGATGGAAGCTCCGGCGTCTCAAAATGTGAAGAGACCTTCATGCCCCCGAGTGCCACAGCCTTCAACCCTTAACTTCTGCTCCCCTAAACCCTAAACCCTAAACCCTAAACCCTGAACCCTGAACCCTAAACCCTAAACCCTAAACCCTAAACCCTAAACCCTAAACCCCAAATAAACCCTAAACCCTAAACCCTAAACCCCTAAACCCCTAAACCCCTAAACTCCTAAACCCCAAAACCCCTAAACCCCAAAAACCCCAAACCCAAAAACCCCAAACTCCATGCCATTATGCCCCTGAAGGACACTCTCAAGGGAGGCGCGAAGAAGCCGGAGCTCGCGAAGTTCGGGTCTCGGTGCTTCGTTCGGGGACTGCGCCAGGGTTTAGCGTACGGGTTGGAGGTTTAGTAGGGTTTACATGGGTTGCGTTTATGATGATTGCTCTTCTTCTAATTGCGATTATTTGTATTCTTCTTCTTATTACTATTATTACTACTATGATTATTATGATTATGATTATGATTATGATTATGATTATGATTATGATTATGATGACTATTTTTTATTTTTATGACGATGTTTATTGCTAGTATTATTATCATTATGAGAATTTTCTTTGCTCTTATTATTATTATTATGATTATTAAGATTATCATTATTATGATGATGATGATTATGATTGTTTATTGTTGTTATTGTTATTGCTATTGCTATTGTTATTGTTATTGTTATTGTTATTGTTATTGTTATTGTTATTGTTATTGTTATTGTTATTGTTATTGTTATTGTTATTGTTATTGTTATTGTTATTGTTATTGTTATTGTTATTGTTATTGTTGTTGTTACTGTTACTGTTATTTATTGTCTTTTTTTTGGGGGGGGAGGTTTTTCGGACTTGACAATGACATTTGCCAGGGTGTGAGGCGGGTCTGGGGTTTGGATTTTGGGGGGGCCTGAGAACCTGAAGTACAAACCTAAGGCAAGGGGAAGTTGCGTGATACATTCGGGAGGCACACGTGCCCTTTCCACTATGGAGGTGCAGGGTGACCGTAGGTAGGGTTCGCTTTAATCCCGAAACCCTCAATCCCAAACCCGTAGATTTTGGGCTGTTGGGAAAGACGCTGGTGCGGTTCCAGGCTCCTGTGCGTGAACAGCGCGGAGGACGTGGACGCCTGGCACGCTTGGGGTCTGCAGCACTAAGAGCCTAAACGCCAGACCACAGTCCCACCAAGATTCCCACAGGAGTTCTTTCCGAACTTCGCTATGCTCCCTGGTTACCTTCTTGATATCGCACAGACATGGAATAAAGATAGAAAGAATCAGCATGTATGTAGTGAGTGAGTGAGTGAGCGAGTGAGTGCGAGTGTGCGAGTGTGTGTGTGTGTGTGTGTGTGTGTGTGTGTGTGTGTGTGTGTGTTAGAAAACCTCCAAGCAAGCTGTACTTCGACCCCTTCAGCCGAGCACTTGCCTTGAATCATGAGTCCTCGACTCTACCCTCATCCCCCAAACTCTGAGCCCTATGAGCCCAAGAAGCCCTGGGAGCCTTGAACCTGAACCTGTAGCCATTTCTCACAGCTTCAGGATTGGCTGGTGGAGAAGTTCAACCTGGACTTGTCCCTCGTGGCCCGCCTGGGCGGCCACTCGCAACCCCGCACCCACCGAGGCAAGGAGCGCTTCCCCGGCCCCTTGGTGCGTTGAGTTGGCGTGTTGAGCAGGTTTTTTTTTTTCAGTAAAATTTTGGGGTGAATAGGCTCACCAAGGCATGACCATCACCTACGCCCTGATCCAGATGCTGGAGAAGGCCACGAGGAGGAGGAGTTTCGGGCACAATGTCGTTTCCTAGTTTTGCAGGCGATGAAGGTCGCCTTAGCCTTGCTTCGCCGCAGGTCGCTGAGAAGACGGACCTGGCGCGCATCATCACGAAGGCCAAGGTCTTCAAGCTCGTGACAGAGGGCAAGGCCTGCGTGGGCTGCGTCTACGAGAAGGGCGGCCAGAACTTCCAGGAGTTCGGCCCCGTGATCCTCGCATCAGGCTCTGCAAACCTCGCTGTTGGGAGCCGAAGCCACCAGTACCATTGTGAACATGTTGTTGGTGTGCTTGCCGGGTTCTGCAGCAGGCGGTTTCGGCGCCGACTTCACGCAGAACTCTTTGCTGGCCAAGTATCGCCCGGACCTGCTGCACCTGCCCACCACCAACGGCGAGCACTGCACGGGCGACGGCATCAAGATGGGCGAGGCGCGGTAGCTATCCGCAGCCTCAAACCCAAGACAGCTTGTACCCCAAGACAGCAGGTGCTAGAACGTACGGTACACCCCGTGAATCCCCATGAGGAGATCGGCGCGAAGACCATCGACCTGGAGTGGGTGCAGGTCCATCCGACCGGCCTCGTGAAGCCGGACGACGCCGACGCCAAGATCAAGTTCCTCGCCGCCGAGGCCCCCTGCGCTGCCCCCGTGTGTGCGTCTAATGCCTGTCCCTTGCAGTGCGTCAGGCCCTGCGCGGCGTGGGCGGCATCATCCTGAACGCGGAGGGCAAGCGATTCTGCAACGAGCTGGGTCGCCCGGGCCTTAAGCTCTGCAAAGTGGTCCGCGACGTCAGCAAACACAGGCGTTTGGCAACATTGACTCACCGACTTGAGAAGTCGGTCAGGCCGTGACTACGTCACGGGTGAGATGTGGAAGAGCAAGCCGCCTTTCAGGCGTGCCAGCGTGTTACCGCTCGGTTGGCTTGGCTGATAGGCGCTGACAGGATTTGATAGGCGCTCTTCTTGTGCCCTTCTCGTGCTGGTAGCCATGCGCAGGCTGTGCCTCAACAAGGCGGCCTCTGACGAGATCATCTGGCACTGCAAGCCACACGCTTGGCATCGTGTGATCGGGATGCCGCGGCAGAGCGCCAGCTGCATCTGCGCACGATGTACAGCCAAGGCACTACACCGGACGTGGTGTTGAGAGCTCAGTCGCCTCTAAAGCTCTCCTGATCCTCGCTGCGCTCTGCTCCTTTTGCTCTGGCTTCTTTTCTCAGCCTTTTGCTTCAGGTCATGAAGTACTACGGCAGCGGCGCGGACCTCGCCAAGGACATGGGCATCTCCCTGTCGGTGATTGAGCAGGCGCACGAGGAGCACTTCCAGGCGGCCAAGAAGACGGAGACGCACCCGGACGACGGCCCCTACCCGGCCTACCCCTCGGGCAAGTGCTGGGACGAGGCCAGTGAAAGCTTTTCTACATGTGAAAGTGTCGACTCTAGCAGGGTCGTGCAATGTCCTGCAGATGTTCGGTTCAGTTCAGAGATTTGAAGCACCATCCGGCAGGCCAGCGGCAAGACGGGCAGCGGCAAAAAGTTCTTCCACAACATCATCCCTGGCGATGCCGTGAAGAACGAGCCGTTCTACGTAGCCATCATCACGCCGGTGATTCACTACTGCATGGGCGGCCTGCTCATCGACACGGACTCCGCGTGCATCGGCTCGGACAACAAGGCGGTCCCGGGCCTGTATGCTGCTGGCGAGGTCGCCGGCGGCGTGCACGGCAACAACCGCCTGGGTGGCAACTCCCTGCTGGACTGCGTGGTGTTCGGCCGCGTGGCCGGCAAGGCAGCTGCCAAGTACATGCTGGGTGCGGACATGAAGGATGTGGACCTGAAAGACGTCACTGGCGGAGGCTTGACTGGCGCCGTGGAGAGCTCCAAGCTGGCCGGCGGCTCCTACGAGGACAAGATGAACACTGCCGCGGCGCCCGCCGCAGGTGCCGCGCCGATGGCAAACGGTGGCGGCGGTGGCGGGGGCATGACCCTTGCCGATGTTGCCAAGCACAACACCAAGTCGGACTGCTGGGTCGTGGTCGATGGCCAGGTGTTGGACGTCACCAGCTTCTTGTCGGAGCACCCTGGTGGCGAGCTGGCCATCCTCACCTTCGCCGGCAAGGACGCCACGGAGGAGTTCAACATGACACTTGGCTGCAGAAGCTGATGGTGTGTCCTTTATTGTTGCTTGAGTACTCCGTAAGTAAATTGCTACCGAAGGATCCACCCTCCGGACGTGATTGGCAAGTACGCTCCTGACTCCGTGATCGGCATGATCGGCGGCGGTGGTGGTGGAGGCGGTGCCGTGGCTGCTGCCGGCGGAGGCGGTGGCGGTGGTGGCGGCATCCCCATGTCAGAGGTGGCCAAGCACAACACCAAGTCGGACTGCTGGGTCGTGGTCGATGGCCAGGTGCTGAACGTCACCAGCTTCTTGTCGGAGCACCCCGGCGGCGAGCTGGCCATCCTCACCTTTGCGGGCAAGGACGCCACGGAGGAGTTCAACATGCTTCTCGCTTGAGAGATGGCCTGCCAAGCTTATGCGGACTCGTCATCGCTGACAAAAACCCACACTTTCCCGGGCCAGCTCCTTGTACCCCACCCCAATCCACCTGCAGCAGCGTAGCCTAGGATCCACCCTCCTGACGTCATCGGCAAGTACGCCCCCGACTCCGTGATCGGCGCCGTGGGCTCCGGCGTGGCTGCCGCGGCCAGCGCTGCCCCCAAGGCCGGCGGCGGCGGGCCCATCAGGACCAGACGTCAAGGGCCAAAGAAGCCAAGAGTGCAATCGCGTAAAGCACAGAGCAGCTTCAACAAGAAGCAGAGAGAAAGGTACTGAACATGAGAACAAGAGGCCGACACATCCCCAGAGACAGAAGGAGGAGCCCATGGAAACAGAGAGAGGGAGGGCACCGGATTCGAGGCGCGTGAGCCCTGCTGGTGCTTGCCCCTCCCACGAAAGAATCCGAGTGCAAACTTTGTTTGTTGACGTCTTAGGAATTCTTGTGTGCCAGGAAGGACACGGGCAGCAAGCTCGGCAACCACCAGGCCTGGGGCCACCTGGACGGGGCGAACAACTGGCGCGTGGACCTGGACGAGAACCCAGGCGCCTCAAAGCCAGCGAACACATCGTAAGCATCGCAGTAGGACGTAATCGACTGAAACTTAGGTATGTATTCGTATTGCTCGAATGCATGCCGCTGGCTCGTGGAGGCGTCTTGCTGATCAACGTGAAGTCCTACTTCAACGCGACCTGGTTCTTCCTTCTCGCGGTGCTGTACGCAGCGCGGCTGCACTGGCATGAAGCGTGTGGCATGTCAGCAGTCAACGTCCAAATCGCATGCCAACAACCCTGCTGTGTGCTGAGCTCAGGAAGTGTGCGCCACCATCTTCTCCGCCAAGAACATCAAGATCTCCAACGACCGCCTGGGTCTGACCCGCAGTGCCATCTTGCTGATCCTCTTCATCGTCATCCACGCAGTAGGAAACCTCCACGTCTTCAAAGGCTGGATGTCCTAATGGTCGTAGTTGCTGCGCTGAATGCAACTTGAAAGAGTCCCTGACACATTGTGCAGGCCCGGATGACTTCAACGGCTACGGCTACTTCTACGTGCGCCTCTACTGGACGGGCTTCGGCCTGCCGGCCAACATCGTGGAGGAGTATATCCTCCTCTCCGTGCTGCTCCACGTCTTTGTGGGCCTGAAGCGAACCTGGGACATGAAGCTGGCGCTGGTGCAGACTCAGGGCATCAATGTCCTGAACCTGGCCATCTCCGGCCTGATGCTCCTGACCTTCATGACCATCCACCTCTTCCAGTTCCGCTTCGGCGACACCGACCAGTTCGGCCCCTACTACATCCGGCCGCCTCCTTACCTCATCAACTTCTGGGGCATCTCCTCCCTGAACCTCTTCTGGACCAGCGAAGACAGCATCGAGCCCGTCGGCGTGCGCGACATCTATGTGACATCCTTAGAGTCTCACACGCCTGTAGCCGGCCGCTTGTTGCCCTATCAATGCGTACAGGCGCATGCAAGTCTCGTCTCGTTGTCACTCAGGCCTTGGAATTCCAAATTTTCAAGAACCCACTGTGGTCCTTGTTCTACATCCTCTCGGTGTTCATCTTCATGTACCATGCCTGCGTTGGCTGGAAGAAGGCGGGGGACAACGAAGGATGCTGCAGGGGTTGGTGTTTGAGAGCTCATCCCCTTCATGAAGGCCTACGAAAACAAGGGGGCACCGGAATTTTTGTACCTCCCCAAAACAGTAGGATTCGCTGTAGTAAGGCGCCCCGAATCGGTCCGGGCCCTTAAAACCCCTTGGATCCCTGGTTTGCCCGAAAGGGGGAGCCCGAAACTCTCAGGCCGAGGGCTTCAGAAGCCTGGGGAGCCCAGGAGGCCCTGAACTATAGCCTCCTTAGGAATGACCCTAAACCCTGAACCCTAAACCCTAGACCCTAAACCCTAAATCCTAAACCCTAAACCTCGTTTTTTTTTTTTTTATATGTATAAACGCCCAAGGGAATATGCGAGTTTCATGAGGGTCTTGTGCTGTGAGGGTGTTGTGACAAAGTTGCCAGGTGACGCCTGTGCTGGGCATTCCCAGGGGACACATCTGGCGAGTGGAGATCATCGGCTACGCCATCATGAGCTTAGACGGCAGATAGCTTTGGCGGGTGCAGACGGCATCAGCTCAACCACAATTACCGTTCCTTAGGTGTCGACAGAGTAGAATTCGACGATTGTGGGTCCCTAATAGCCTAAGCTTTTGGCACGGACTTGGGTTCGCGCCATGTCGCGGCTGGGGCCATCAAGGCCCGACCCAAAAGCATATCCGTAAGCCCCAGCCCTCCACATATCTTCACAGCCACATATTTTCACAGCCACAAGCCCAAGATCAGGATCGTGATGGGCCTGGTCTACATCTCCTTCCCCCTTTACGTCATGGCCACGAAGCCGTTTTCCGGCGCCTGGGCCAATCGAGCAGGTGATCGAAAAACATGGAGGAAGGGGGATTCGGGGCTCGGGCCCGGCCAGGTCTAGCCGTCAAGATTCAGATTCAAGCTTCAAGGACCCAACAGCAGATAGCTTCGATTCGGACCCTTGTTCCTTAGCCTGAACCCCGACAGAATGTGGCAAGACTTAGGGGTCAGCCTCAAACCCGAAGCCCTGAACCCCTCAAACTCCAAAACCCTGACCCTTGAGCCCCAAAACCCCTGAAGCCCTAGTCAAGACAATATCTGAACCCAGGCTACGAGAACAGCATCCAGATTCCGGGCAGAGTGGAGTGAGCGCAGGGCGTGGAGTGAACAGGCGCGGCGGCCGCGAAAGCCCCCAAGCCCCAAAATCCCAAAGCTCAACTCCCAATAACACCCCCCCCCCCCCCCCCCCGAGAAAAAAACAAAAACCCAAACAATTCCCGAAATCCCAGAACTCATGCGGTTCATAAGGTGAAGAGGCTTGATGGGGTCTAGAGGGCTTCGAGGGTTCACCTCCAATCCGAGCATGCCCCAAAACCCTGCACCCTGAACCCTACACCCTGAACCCTAAACCCTAAACCCTAAACCCTAAACCCTAAACCCTAAACCCTACAAGCCTAAACTCCTGAACCTTGTGAAAGCTCTGAACCTCAAGAATCCCTGCGACATCATAAGCCCCGAATACCCTGAGAGCGCAAGCCTGTAAGAAAACCCTCAAGCATCTAGACCCCCAGGCCCCTTGATCTTGAACCCTAAGCCCCAAACCCCAAACCCCAAACCCTAAACCCTAAACCCTAAACCCTAAACCCCAAACCCCAAACCCTAAACCCTAAACCCTAAAACCCTAATCAGGGAGAATCCGGGCTCCTGATGTGAGGTTCCCTGACTCGCGTTAGGGGGGTTGAGAGCCCGAGGCGCGCGTAGCCCTTTCCCCGCGCTGCACGCGAACAGGAGCCCCCACCTCGAGGACTGGGGCGTTGGGGTTTAGGGTTTAGGGTTTAGGGTTTAGGGTTTAGGGTTTAGGGTTTAAGGTTTAGGGTTTCGGGCCTAAGTTCAGGGGTTCAGGGTTTAGGGCTTCGGGGTTTAGGGCTTAGGGTTTAGGGTTAGGGGGTAAGGGGTTGGGGGTGGTTTGGGGTTTCTGGTCTGGGGTGTTTGAGGTTGATGGTTGAGAGTTCACATGAGGGGTTTAGGATCCTACACCTTGAACCTGTAACAGCCGTAAACCCTCAGCTAACCTCTCAGCCCAAATCCAAGCACCATTTAAAGCTGTAGAAAGGTAGGCGAACTCAGGGGGGAACCCGTGTTTTTTCTTGTTGTGGGTCCTTTTTTTCTGTGGGTGCTTTTTTCGGGGCCGCCCCGGTGAGCAGGTGACCTGGCGCGTGTCGCCCCCGCACCCGCAGCAAAAACAAACGCGCTTCCGCACCCGCAGCAAAAAAAGCGCGCCCCCGCACCCGCAGCAAAAACAAAAGGGGCCCCGCACCCGCAGCAAAAAAGAATGCCCCCCTGCCCCCCCTTCCTCCCCACCCCCTAGGTCATTTGTTTTGCAATTTCCTCCCCACCCGCCGGCCCCCCAACACCCCCCCTCATTCAAACTGTGCAAGCGGTTTCAAAGCATTGAATCCTTCCCAAGCCCATCATGCGAGCATTGTGTTTGCAAACGGCGGAGGGAGCCGCCCAACCCCGGTTTGCAAATGGGGGGGGGGCTGCGCCCCCCCCCAACCCCCGCTTCTTAAAGCCGTGCCAGCTTGCTTCAAAGCATATGAATCCTTTCCCAGCATGCGAGCATCCCCCGCGCTTGACATTGGGGGGGCTGCGCTTTTTTAGCCGGGCAAACTTGCTTCAATCATACGAATCCCTTCCAAACCCATGATGCTGCGAGCATCGCGTTTGCAAATGGGGGGGGGGTGGGGGCCTGCCCCCCCCCCCCCCCCCCCAACCCCTTCGCTTTTTGCCGGACAAATTTGCTTCAATCATACGAATCCCTTCCAAACCCATGATGCGAGCATTGTGTTTGCAAATGGGGGGGGCTGTGCCGCTTTTTCTAGCCGGGCAAGCCTGCTTCAACGCGTTCGAATCCCTTCCAAAATGATGATGAAAGTATTGTGTTTGCAAATGCGGGGCCTGCGCAGCCCCCCGCCCCCCCCCTGAAAAAAGAGGGAATATATGATTGTTCAGAACAAATAGTGGAAGTTGAGTTTTCCGATTTAGAAAATATCAACGGCTTCTTAGTGCAGAATCGAGAAAGTAGAGTTTGTTATGAGAATATGGCGAACATGAACAAAACTACCTGTTGTCTGCGAGTCACAGATAGAGATAATGCATGTGCTCTTATGAAAATATAGAGATTTAGCTTTTTATGTATTCCTCTCTCATGTCTTCCTCATGAAATATAGAGAAGAAGTCTGAACATATTGACAAAATAGTAAACTATAGAAGAATAGAGGTTTTCATTATAGAATATAGAGAAATGAGAGCTTTTCATATGGCAACATAGAGGAAATAGAGGTTTTCATATTAAAATATAGCGAGAATATAGAGGTTTTTATATTGAACTATAGAGGTCTTTGATACTCAAACATAGAGAAATAGAGGTTTCCTATAAAAATAGCCAGAAAAGAGAGGTTTTCATATCAATATATGCACAAAATAGAAGGGTTTTCCTGTTAACGTAGCGAGAAAATTTCATGTTCAAATTTTGATAAAATGGAGGTTTTCCTATTAAGATACAGAGCAAATAATGGTTTCCCTATTAAAATAGGACAAGAGGAACAAAAATACGTTGAATTGCAAGTCATATGTTGAGATAACACAGAGAATAAAAAAAGAAGGCGCCCCCGCACAAAAAAAAGGCGCCCCACACTGCCCCCCGCAGCAAAAAAACGCGCCCTCGCACCCGCAGCAAAAAAGAACGCGCCCCCGCACCCGCAACAAAAAAAAAGAAAAAAAGAAGTCCCGCACCCGCAACAAAAAACACCCGCAAAAAACAAAAAACACTCTTACCCGAGCTCAGGGTTTTGAGATTCGGTTTTCGGGGTTCAGGATGTAGGGTTTAAGGGCAACAGTTCTCGCACTTGCCTTGGCAATGTGGTGCCCTACCCATGAGCTGCCTGGGCGCCACTGCAGCTCCCTGGGCGGCAGTGCAGGCATCTCTCACACTGCTGGCCAGGTGGGGGGCTGGCCTTGTGGAACACGTGGCCCGCGAATCTGCTGAGGAACCCTGACGTGCTGGAACCTACTGTGCCTGGTATCAGGTGCGGTCATGTTGGGACAGCTCAGGGTCCTCTTGCTTATGCGCGGCGTGTCAGCGGTGCCCTTGAGGCCAACGTGCTTGCGCCCTGGCACATGACAGCAAGGCGATGCGCTAAAGCGCTTGCTGGGGGCTCCCTCTGGATCAGAGCCAGACAGGCGCGATCTCCACATTGCTTTAAAGGGGAGGCCTCGTACTGACTTTGCAAGCCGACATGTTCCTTCTGTGAGTGGTAGCTGTGAGTTTTGCAAGAGTTTTCGCAGAGACTGTGAGGGTTAATTCTTTGTATGCTAGGTTACAGCTGTTCCTCAACCGCCCACAGCACAGCAAGTGTTGCCCCTGAAGCACGTTTGCGTGGTAATGTTGCCACATGAACTCCACGAAAAAGCGTTTAGGTCCAGGTGCTTAGGGCTTAGGGTTTAGGTCGGTGCCCTGCTGGTATACTTGAGAAATGCTTTGCCCTACCCATGAGCTGCCTGGGCGCCACTGCAGCTCCCTGGGCGGCAGTGCAGGCATCTCTCACACTGCTGGCCGGGTGTGGGGCTGGCCTTGTGGAACACGTGGCCCGCGAATCTGCTGAGGAACCCTGACGTGCTGGAACCTACTGTGCCTGGTATCAGGTGCGGTCATGTTGGGACAGCTCAGGGTCCTCTTGCTTATGCGCGGCGTGTCAGCGGTGCCCTTGAGGCCAACGTGCTTGCGCCCTGGCACATGACAGCAAGGCGATGCGCTAAAGCGCTTGCTGGGGGCTCCCTCTGGATCAAAGCCAGACAGGCGCGATCTCCACATTGCTTGAAAGGGGAGGCCTCGTACTGACTTTGCAAGCCGACATGTTCCTTCTGTGAGTGGTAGCTGTGAGTTTTGCAAGAGTTTTCGCAGAGACTGTGAGGGTTAATTCTTTGTATACAGCTGTTCCTCAACCGCCCACAGCACAGCAAGTGTTGCCCCTGAAGCACGTTTGCATGGTAATGTTGCCACATGAACTGCACAGAGAAGCGTCTAGGTTTAGGTGCTTAGGGTTTAGGTCGGTGCCCCTGCTGGTATACTTGAGAAATGCTCTGCCCTACCCATGAGCTGCCTGGGCGCCACTGCAGCTCCCTGGGCGGCAGTGCAGGCATCTCTCACACTGCTGGCCGGGTGTGGGGCTGGCCTTGTGGAACACGTGGCCCGCGAATCTGCTGAGGAACCCTGACGTGCTGGAACCTACTGTGCCTGGTATCAGGTGCGGTCATGTTGGGACAGCTCAGGGTCCTCTTGCTTATGCGCGGCGTGTCAGCGGTGCCCTTGAGGCCAACGTGCTTGCGCCCTGGCACATGACAGCAAGGCGATGCGCTAAAGCGCTTGCTGGGGGCTCCCTCTGGATCAGAGCCAGACAGGCGCGATCTCCACATTGCTTGAAAGGGGAGGCCTCGTACTGACTTTGCAAGCCGACATGTTCCTTCTGTGAGTGGTAGCTGTGAGTTTTGCAGGAGTTTGCATGAAGGCTAGCTCCTGAACTTCGTAGCCTTGAAGCCTACTGACCAGTGGCTTATCGGAAGATCGTGACTTTGCAGCCATTCCCGAACATTCGGTGGCCAAAGCATGTGCGACCTCCGAAGCATGTTTGCCTAACGCTCACTTTAACTGCAGCTTGGGTGGCATTGACGGCACACGATGTTCTTGTTTCCTGGCCAACCTGCTCTGCCATGAGCTCCGCAAGGTAAGGTCTGAGTCTGGGGGCTTCATGTTCTCCGGCTGTTTGTTTTCGTAATTGGGCTTGGTGCGTCAGCGTCCACCACGTGCTGTGAGTATTGAGCCTTGATACATCGAAAGCGACATGCACGTACGCATTGGGATTTAGCGTATTGATGCGTATTCGAGTCGCTCCAAGATCGCGCACACTGGGGGGTGATGTGTGTCTTTTCACGGACTGTTGTGAGTTTTTTCAGTCCGCGGATGGTGCCCACTCGACCTGCAACCGCTCCTGCCTGAAGAGCTCCACACCCCTGAAACTTCTCTTGAACCTGCACAAATGGTTTGGGTTCTACGTCCTCTAAACCCGGGGCGGTCCTAGCTTCCGGGCCTTTAGTGCCAAATCTCAGTGCAGGGGCCCCGCGCGCGAAGTGAAGCGAGAAGACCCCCTGAGTTGGACTTTGGACACGGGAGTTATTTCGGCCAACCCACTTAGCCCTAACAACCCTTGCGTACGGGGTCAAGGCCTTACAGTCATAGGAGGCTTTACGAAAACGGGGGGTGCCCCCTCTTCTGTGGGGTTCCTATCCTTGTGGTGTTTCGGGCCGCTTAGGGCGTAGTGTTTAGGGTTCAGATCCTAGAAATGAGGGTTTTAGGGTGCAGAGTTTAGACTTGAGGCTTTAGCGTTCAGACTCTGGGGCTTAAGATTGCGACGCAAGGCTGCAAGGCTCTGAGGTTGGGATGTTCACCCTTCTACTAACAGTGCTGAATAGGCATTAGAATCGGGGATACTAGCATCCTTGGCTGTCAGTATAAGGGGGAACAACCCTAAACCCTAAACCCTAAACCCTAAACCCTAAACCCTAAACCCTAAAGCCTAAACCCTAAACCCTAAGCCCTAAGCCCAAAAGCCCTAAACCCTAAACCCTAAACCCTAAACCCTAAAACCATCTTTTCCGGCCTCGGTTTGGCCAACTTAGAGGGCGACTGAGGAGTCCCCAAAGCTTTCCGCAGTTTGAAACAAAGTTGCGCTGCGGCGGAAGCCGAGCTCCGGCTGTCGGGCCCCGAGCTCTAAGACCCCAAGCACCCCCTAAGCCCTCAACTCTGAACCTTGAACCCTGAACACTGAAGCGTGAACCCTGAACCCTGAACACTGAACCCTGAACCCTGAACCCTGAACCCTGAACCCTGAACCCTGAACCCTAAACCCTAAACCCTAGAGGCCGGGGCCATCGAGCAGGGCGAACGCACCGAAGCCGGCAGCTCCGGAGCCAGAAGCCCTCTGGCGGGCGACGGAGCTCCAGCGGCCTGCGCGGTGGACCCGGCAGGTCGCTGGCGAGAAACCCGTCAGGTCGCCCTAAAACGAGATACCCCAAACCTTCGGGGCAAAACATGGCAACCTGTTTTTGGGAGGTCTGTTAAGGGGCCCCTCGCAGAGGAGTCTGGTCGTTTTTCGTGGACCAGAGGAGGGTCAGAACCGCCTAAAAGGGCCCCTTGCCCTCCCAGAAGCCCTCGAATGATGGACATCATCCCTTGCGACGCCAAGGAGCTGCGAACTTCAGGGTAATTGATCTGCATCGATGCCGAGCTTCTAAACCCAACCAATAGACAAGAGAAAAATAGCAAGAGCACGATCAGAGCTCAAAAGAACCCTAAACCCGTAGAGGTCAAGGCGAGGGTGGAGCCCGAGCGGGGGTGGGCTTATGCAGGTCGGGGCGCGCGCCTGGGTGCTTTCAGCACCTGCGCACCCACTCATTGAGACACCCTAAACCCGGAACCCTAAACCCTAAACCCTAAACCCTGAACCCTTAGCCCTAAACCCTAAACCCTAAACCCTAAACCCTAAACCCTAAACCCTAAACCCTAAACCCTAAACCCTAAACCCTAAACCCTAAACCCTAAAGCACTCGGGTGTCGACCCTGGGAGCTGTCACCGCCGCCAAGACCGAGCCCAGTCTGACAAAGGAACCGGAGCTCCAAAGAGCACAGGGCTCTTGAGGGTGAGGGTTTAGGGTTTAGGGTTTAGGGTTTAGGGTTTAGGGTTTAGGGTTTAGGGTTTAGGGTTTAGGGTTTAGGGTTTAGGGTTTAGGGTTTAGGGTTCAGGGTTCAGGGTTCAGGGTTCAGGGTTCTGGGTTCTTTAGGGTTTAGGGTTCTTTAGGGTTTAGGGCTGAGGGCTGAACCTTCGATTCTGCGCGTTTGTACCTTCGGCTTTTTTTGTTGAGGGATTCTTTTCACGGCTGTTAAGTTTCTTGCGCTTCGAGGCAGTCGTTTCAGGGTGGTTGAAGGCTTGTCGAGTTCTTTTTTGGAGTGAGTATCCTTAATAGGGATCATAATGGGGGGGGGACACTATAATCTCTACTAAGGACTCTTAGTACAAGGGGGAACATGTCAAGATTGACCTTTGAGGTGTTGAGCTTTCAGGGATCTGGGCCATGGAGGGCTGCGGGTACTTAGGCTCTCGTTTAGTGCCCTCAGGCCTAAAAGCGACGGGCCCGAAACCCTGGAACCCTGAACCCTAAAGCCTACACCTGGGCCCTAGACCCGGAACCCGGAACCCTAAACCCTAAACCCTCGACCCTCAACCCTCAACCCTAAAGCGAAAGCCCCAAGCCACGATGAGAGTTGGGGACTCCTGACTCCCAACTCGGGGAGTGGAGAGCGTCGGCCCCTCAAAAACCTTTTGAGGGGCCCAGAGCCTCAAAGCTGAAATCCTCAAAACTCGACCGCTTCTCCGAAGGAAGTTTGAGGGTTGAGGGTTAAGACGGTTCAGAGGGCTTAGGGCGGGAATTGGACTTGGGGGGTTGATGTCCATGTTGAAGGTGCGCCCTTGCAATGCGAAACCCAACACCCTAAACCCTGAACCCCAACCCTACGCCCACAAACTCCCTGGAGCTTTCTAGGCGCAGCCGCGGGCCCCTTCAGTTCTCGTTGCCGCGGCGGATATTTCAATCGCCCTTGGTAGTGCCTCGGCGTGTTCCGGGCTTAGGGTTTTAGGGTTCCCAAACCCCCGAAAAAACCTCAAACCCTGGCTCCAAGACGTTCTTGTGTTTTCTTAGGGACGTTGCATGGGCCCTTCATACGGTCCCTTACCTCCTTGAAAGGGTTCTGAAGTATGGGCCCTTGCCTTGTATAGGGTTTATAAAGGGTATATAAGGGGAGCCTGTTTAGGGCCCATGCTAGGAGGCCCTGATCCTAAAGCCGTTTCCCTATGGGCCTCTGATGGCCTCTGCGCAGTTCATCAAATAACTGCGCCCGGACTCAACAACCCCCCAAAACCCCGAAAGCCCTATCTTTGAAGAATGAGATGCTCCCGTGGCAGTAGCACTGGTGCCTTTTTCTGCGAGCCATGTTTCCCAACCCTATACACGACCGAGACAAAACAGCATGTAGGGATCGAAAGCAGGGAGCAAATCGACTTTCTGCGTTTTTATGAGTACGCGTCATCTCACAGCCCCTTACCTCGAAGGCCGAAGACCCGCGAAGTCTTCCAGCCATCGAACCCTACCGAACCCCCCGGCCTCTCCCAAACCCCTTTAAACCCCCAACACCGCAAGACCCTAAATTCTAAACCCTAAACCCTCAACCTGAAACCCTAAACCCTAAACCCTAAACCCGAAGCCCCAAACCCCCCAAGAAGCCCAGGCGCCGGCGCCATGGCGTCCTCCTTCCCGACGAACCAGGCCATCGTGGTCGGTGGTGGCCTGGGAGGTGGGGCGAGCTCCGGGGTGTGGGGGGTTAGGGTTTAGGGTTTAGGGTTTAGGGTTTAGGGTTTATAGTTTAGGGTTTAGGGTTTGGGGTTTAGCAGTCTGGGCGCTGTTTAGGCAGGCACGCCCTGATCCAGGCATGCCCTGCTTTCAGGGGGGAAGGGGTTTCGGAGTGCTTCGACCCGAAGGTCTCTGAGCAAATCCCAGGGGCTCTACCCTAGGGTTTAGGGTTTAGGGTTTAGGGTTTAGGGTTTAGGGTTTAGGGTTTAGGGTTAGGGTTTAGGGTAGCCACGCGAAAGGTGGTCGCAACTTGGCCTTCTCTCTCAGGCTTGAGGCCATGTTGGCCTGTGCAAGACAAGCCGGTGAGGCTTTATCCTCGCCTCGATCACCTTTCGCGTAGCTTCCCTAAAAAACCCTAAACCCTAAACCCTAAACCCTAAACCCTAAACCCTAAACCCTAAACCCTAAACCCTAAACCCTAAACCCTAAACCCTAAACCCTAAACCCTAAACCCTAAACCCTAAACCCTAAACCCTAAACCCTAAACCCTAAACCCTAAACCCTAAACCCTAAACCCTAAACCCTAAACCCTAAACCCTAAACCCTAAACCCTAAACCCTAAACCCTAAACCCTAAACCCTAGCGCTCGGGGCCTGTCGCTCGACGGAAGCGACCGCTCACTTCGCTCAGGGTTTGGGGTTTAGGAGAGCAGCTCCACATGGATGTAGGCAGGGGATCTGGCTTGTTTGTCCATCAGCTTCCAGCCCCTACCCGTTGAGTCCAATTGGGGGCTTCCGAAAAGTCATGGTTCTGAGTCACGTTCTTTCACGGGGGATGCTGCTGTAAGCTCTCTGCGTGCTAGGGATGTCCGCCGCGAACACGGTGGTGGAGCACGGCGGCCGTGTTGTGCTGCTGGCGCCTTGCTTCAGCTTGGGGTGCGCTTGTGTAAGTGCCTGCAGGCCCCCGCCCCCCCTCCTCACGTAGTGACCGAAAACCTATTTTGGGATTTGTGTTTGACGACGCCCAGGTTTCGAAAGTGCGAGGGTCTAAGGCTCAGGACCCTCATTGCCAGGACACATTCTGCCCTACCGAACCCTGAACCCAGACTCCTTGAGTCCACACATGCCCCTGAAGCTCCCAACGGTCCCCCCCGCTCCCCCTCCCGCATCTTTCTCAAACAAGAAGCAGAACTCAACCTTGATGATTTTGGGTTTAGGGTTTAGGGTCGGGTATCAGGGTTTAGGGTCTAGGGCTTAGGGTTTAGGGTGTAGGGTTTAGGGTTTAGGCTGTAGGCTGTAGGGTGGAGGGTGTAGTGTGCAGATGCTGGCGACGAGGACAAGTCGTCGTTTTGCGGCGGAAACAGCACGAAAGCCACCTCCGGCATCAACGGGGCAGGCTGGACGGAGACGCTACCGCAGAATCTTCAACCCTTCAACTCTGAACCCTAAAACCCTAAACCCTAAACCCTGAATCCTAATCCCTAAACCATGAACCCTTCAACCCTTCAACTCTGAACACGAAGCCCCAAAGCCATGAGGCCCGAAGCTATCCACTCACCCCAAATCCTTGAAAGGGGGGGGAGGGGGGGGGGGAGGGGGGGAGGGGGTGTGGGGGAGGGCCGGTTGGGGAGGGGGGAAACAACCTTGGGACCCAAGCACCAAACAGGAGGGTGGGCCTGGGTTGGGTGACCGGGCTTGTTCCCCCAAATCCTGAGAAGCCCTAAACCCAAACCCTAAGCCCTAAACTCAGACCCTAAGCCCTAAGCCCCAAGCCCTAAGCCCTAAGCCCTAAGCCCTAAACCCTAAACCCTAAACCCCCAAACGAATAAACCCTGAAAACCCTAAGCCCCCGAAATGCGAGCCCGGAGGCACCAAGACACAGAAGGCGAAAGGCATCCCCGACAACGCCGACATCTTCACTCAGGCCTCTCAGGTGTACAGGGTTTTGAAGCCCTAAACCCTAAACCCTAAACCCTAAACCCTAAACCCTAAACCCTAAACCCTAAACCCTACGCCCTAAACCCTAAACCCTAAACCCTAAAGCCTAAAGCCCTAAACCCTAAACCCTAAACCCTGAACCCTGAACCCTGAACCCTGAACCCTGAACCTTAAACACCAAGCCCTAAATCCTGGGAGCTTAGGGGTTCGGGGGCAACTTCCACTCTACCCCGTCTGAACCTGAAAGCCTGTAAGCCCTAAACCCTAAACCCTAAACCCTAAACCCCAAACCCCAAACCCTAAACCCTAACCCTAAACCCTAAACCCTAAACCCGAATGTCAAAGAACCCTACATGGGGGTTTACGATATTAGGGGTATCCTACTGGGGCCCTTACCCGCACATGTCAAAATCCGGCAATCCCTGCATTCATTCCGAACTTCCAGTTCGTCTCCAGCTGCTTCAAAGCATCCTTCGCGCGCAAAAGTCCGAGGAAACCAGCGCAAGGCACCCCCAGCCTTCAACCCTCAAACCCTCGAGCCCTCGAGCCCTCAAACCCTCAAACCCTCAAACCCTCAAACCCTCAAACCCTCAAACCCTCAAACCCTCAAACCCTCAAACCCTCAAACCCTCAAACCCTCAAACCCTCAAACCCTCAAACCCTCAAACCCTCAAACCCTCAAACCCTCAAACCCTCAAACCTCAAACCCTCAAACCCTCAAACCCTCAAACCCTCAAACCCTCAAACCCTCAAACCCTCAAACCCTCAAACCCTCAAACCCTCAAACCCTCAAACCCTCAAACCCTCAAACCCTCAAACCCTCAAACCCTTGAACCAAATCCAAACCCTCAAACCCTAAACCCTCAAACCCTCAAACCCTCCAACCCTCCAACTTCACCCTCAACCCCCAAACCCTACACCCAGACCAACCCTAACTGCCCCCTTCGCCTCAGGACACCCTGAAGGGTGGCGCCAAGAAGCCGGAGTTGGCTAAGCGGCTGGGCCCAGGAAGACATTGCAAGGGTTGTTAGGGTTTAGGGTTTAGGGTTTAGGGTTTAGGGTTTAGGGGTTTAGGGTTTAGGGGTTTAGGGTTGTAGGGTTCGTTTCGGGCTTGAGGTGTTCTTCATCCGCAACTTGGCCCAAAGCCCTGAACCCCCCAAAAGGAGGCAGATTATGCAGCTTTCAGGGTTCCAAGTGACAAGTCATGGTCCAATGTTTTAGGATGCTGGACCAGCCCCCCATGTAATATAGGGGCCTGAAAAATTAGAACAGGGCTTTGAGGGGGGTATCATAGTATAGTCATAAAAGGGCCCTAAGGGAATAATGTTAGCAATCATTTCGACACCCGAAACTTGGGCTGTCCCCCGTATACGAACTGTGTTAAAAATGGCGATAATAATGGGGGGGGTACTCTAATCCCTATTGAGGACTGTTGGTAGAAGGGGGAGCACCCGAACCCGAAACCCCAAACCCCAAGCCCGAAAAGCCTGAAACCCTAGACGCCGCCCAGGCTGCTTTGCGTGAACAGCGCTGCGGACGTCGATCCTTGGATTGGATGACAGCACCTTAAATTTAAGAGCCTCCGGCTCAAGCCGCCGACCCCGCTGGAGCATAGTTGAGAGGTCCTCGCATGGTTCGAAGATCATCCCAGCCTGCGCGGCAGAGTTCTGTGCTCAAGCCAAAAAGACAGGTGGGGGTGGGGGGGGTGGGTAGGGGGTGGTTGGGGGGTGGGGGGGGGGGTGGGGGGGTGGGTGAAAACGCTGATTTTGCTGAGGGCGCCCCTACCCCCCTGTGCTGAACCGCCTGTTTACGCTGTGCGCGTGGCGCGGTCTTGTGCACCGACCCCCCCTACCCCCCCCCCCCGGGGGGGGGGTAAGGAGGGAAAGAGGGAGGTTTTCACCTCCTCAAACCCATCCAACACGCCGCCAGGGTCGGCGGACCCGAAACCCCGAAACACGTCAACCCTAAATCCCCAGCCGCAGCGAGCTCTTGCGAAACGGGAGCCGGTTTCTATACAGGGGTTTGAACTTTAGCCTTTAGCATATCGGGCTTTAGGCTGTAGGGCTGTGGGTTGAGACCCCCCAAAACCTAGGAATTCGCGGGAGTCCCTGCTTCTCCTACCTTCACATTGGGGAGCCCCTAAGAATTCATAGGTTTCGAGCTCCCTAGGCAGGGCCTGGGGGTAGTTGTATGGGCCCCTTCTTGAAAGGGTTCTGGTGTAAAAGGGCCCTTCAACTGTATAGAGCACAGAAGGAGCATTATAAGGGGTCCCCTTTTGAGGGCTTAAGACAGGTAACTCCGAAATCCCGGAAGTCCCTGGAACTGCTCACAGGATTGGCTGGTGGACAAGTTTAACCTGGACCTGTCTTTGGTGGCGCGTTCCTTGGTCGCCCTTTTCATGTCGCTTCATGCACCCCTGAACACTCAACCCTAAGCCCCAAGCCCCAAGCCCCAAGCCCCAAACCCCAAACCCCGAACCCCAAACCCCAAACTCCAAACCCTAAACCCGACAAACCCTTAAGCCCTACCCCCGGCAACTCAAGTCTCTGCGCCCGCAGTGGTTCCTAGGAGCTTGGCCAGTCCGCCCTACAAAGTCCCCTGTGGCCCCTGAGGTTTGGGCGGCCACTCGCAGCCCCGAACACACAGAGGGAAAGAGCGTTTCCCGGGCCACCCGGTCGCCCTGCGGTCCTTGAACTCGAGGGGGTGGTGGCGGGCTCCCGTGATGCGGCCCCCCTATGCCTTTTTTGCGGGGTTCTGAAGTATGGGCCCTTGGGTTTTACAGGGTCCCCCTTTTTAGGGGCCCATCTGAGGGGGCCATGAGACTACCCTAAGATAAACATGGGGGGGGTTCAAGGCGGGTCTGTTCCCTAATGCTCCCCACTAGCCCCGAGGGCTCCCCAAGCTTCCCGAAGGTTCCTTTGAACCCCCTACAACCCTAAACCCTAAACCCTAAACCCTAAACCCTAAACCCTAAACCCTAAACCCTAAACCCTAAATGTTAAACCCTGAACCATCAACCCTCAACCAGGACCCTAGAAAGTGGTTAGGGCTTCGATTCCTTCGGCTTCGGCGACTTCAAGATCGGTTCTCCAGGGCTTTGGGTTTTTACCCAGGGGGCGGAGTAGTGAGTTCAGGGTTTGGGGTTTAGGGTTTAGGGTTTAGGGTTTAGGGTTTGCAGCCAAGGTATGACCATCACCTATGCGCTGATCCAGATGTTGGAGAAGGTGCCTCGACCGCACCTTGCACTGCTGGCACACACAAAGCCCAAAAACCCGAAACCCCGCAGGTGGCGGAGAAGACGGACCTGGCGCGCATCATCACGAAGGCCAAGGTCTTCAAGCTCGTGACGGAGGGCAAGGCCTGCGTGGGCTGCGTCTACGAGAAGGGCGGCCAGAACTTCCAGGAGTTCGGCCCCGTGATCCTCGCATCAGGCTGGGTGGGGTGCTGGGGGTGCGTGGGGGCCAAGCGTGCCTGAGTCGAAGCCATGACAGCTTTGTGTAGATTTTTTTGGTTGGAGGCTGTTCTTGCCGGGTTCTGGCGCAGGCGGCTTCGGCGCTGACTTCACCCAGAACTCCCTGCTGGCCAAGTATCGCCCGGACCTGCTGCACCTGCCCACCACCAACGGCGAGCACTGCACAGGCGACGGCATCAAGATGGGCGAGGCGTGGTAGCTATCCGCAGCCTCCAACCAAAGACAGCTTGTAACCAAAGACAGCAGGTGCGAGAAAAGATAGTTCCGTACAGTGCCTCCCGTGCATCGTCATGAGGAGATCGGCGCGAAGACCATCGACCTGGAGTGGGTGCAGGTCCATCCGACCGGCCTCGTGAAGCCGGACGATGCCGATGCCAAGATCAAGTTCCTCGCCGCCGAGGCCCCCGCGTGCGCCTGCTCGAACGCCTGCACGCGTTCCCGCGCATGTGTCCAATGCCTGGCTTGTGCACCCGCTCGCGCATGCGCGTGCGGCGACCGTGCGCCCGTGCTTTTTCACCTGTGCGTCAGGCCCTGCGCGGCGTGGGCGGCATCATCCTGAACGCGGAGGGCAAGCGATTCTGCAACGAGCTGGGCCGCAGGGGGCCCGGGATGAGTTTTGCAGCTTGCGCAGCGAAGTGCGAGTGCCTCATCTCAGGGCACACAGCGGTGCTTTTGTAATGGTAAGCCCCAAGAGCTACAGGCCGCGACTACGTCACGGGCGAGATGTGGAAGAGCAAGCCGCCTTTCAGGCGTGCTAGCATGTTACCGCTCGGTTGGCTTGGCTGATAGGCGCTGACAGGATTTGATAGGCGCTCTTCTTGTGCCCCAGGCTGTGCCTCAACAAGGCGGCCTCTGACGAGATCATCTGGCACTGCAAGCCACGTGCTTGGCATCGTGTGATCGGGACGCCGCGGCAGAGCGCCAGCTGCTTCTGCGCACGATGTGCACCCAAGGCACTACACCGGACGTGGTGTTGAGAGCTCAGTCGCCTCTAAAGCTCTCCCGCGCTCTGCTCCTTTTGCTCTGGCTTCTTTTCTCAGCCTGCGCTTCAGGTCATGAAGTACTACGGCAGCGGCGCGGACCTCGCCAAGGACATGGGCATCTCCCTGTCGGTGATTGAGCAGGCGCACGAGGAGCATTTCCAGGCGGCCAAGAAGACGGAGACGCACCCGGACGACGGCCCCTACCCCGCCTACCCCTCCGGCAAGTGCTGGGACGAGGCCAGGGAAAGCTTTTGTACATGTGAAAGTGTCGACTCTAGCAGTCGTGCATTGTCGTGCAGATGTTTGGTTCAGTTCGGAGAATTGAAGCACCATCGGCAGGCCAGCGGCAAGACGGGCAGCGGCAAGAAGTTCTTCCACAACATCATCCCTGGCGATGCCGTGAAGAACGAGCCGTTCTACGTGGCCATCATCACGCCGGTGATCCACTACTGCATGGGCGGACTGCTCATCGACACGGACTCCGCGTGCATCGGCTCGGACAACAAGGCTGTCCCGGGCCTGTATGCTGCTGGCGAGGTCGCCGGCGGCGTGCACGGCAACAACCGCTTGGGTGGCAACTCCCTGCTGGACTGCGTGGTGTTCGGCCGTGTGGCCGGCATCGCAGCCGCCAAGTACATGCTGGGTGCGGACATGAAGGACGTGGACCTCAAAGAGATCACCGGCGGAGGCCTGACCGGCGCCGTGGAGAGCTCCAAGCTGGCCGGCGGCTCCTACGAGGACAAGATGAACTCGGCCGCGGCGCCCGCAGGTGCCGCACCCGCGGCCGGTGGCGGCGGTGGCGGGGGCATGACCCTTGCCGATGTTGCCAAGCACAACACCAAGGCGGACTGCTGGGTGGTGGTCGACGGCCAGGTGCTGGACGTCACCAGCTTCTTGTCGGAGCACCCCGGCGGCGAGCTGGCCATCCTCACCTTCGCCGGCAAGGACGCCACGGAGGAGTTCAACATGATACTTGACTGCAGAAGCTGATCGTGTGTCCTTTGGCGTTGTTTGGGTACTCTGTATGTAAATTGCTACCGAAGGATCCACCCTCCGGACGTGATTGGCAAGTACGCCCCCGACTCCGTGATCGGCATGATCGGCGGCGGTGGTGGTGGAGGCGGTGCTGTGGCTGCTGCCGGCGGAGGCGGTGGCGGCGGTGGCGGCATCCCCATGACGGAGGTGGCCAAGCACAACACCAAGGCGGACTGCTGGGTGGTGGTCGATGGCCAGGTGCTGGACGTCACCAGCTTCTTGTCGGAGCACCCTGGTGGCGAGCTGGCCATCCTCACCTTCGCCGGCAAGGATGCCACGGAGGAGTTCAACATGCCCCTGGGCTTAGTTGGATTGCCCAAGAATGTTAAGGGTTAGCAAAGATGAGCCTCCCCGCTCCCAAAGGATTCACCCTCCTGACGTCATCGGCAAGTACGCCCCCGACTCCGTGATCGGCGCCGTGGGCTCCGGCGTGGCTGCCGCGGCCAGCGCCGCCCCCAAGGCCGGCGGCGGCGGACCCATCAGGAGCGGCCGTAACAGCTGAGATGAGATGAGAGAGAGAGAGAGAGAGAGAGAGAGTGTGAATAGAGTCAGAGACAGACAGATCGACAGCACCAAGAGGAGAGTGAGCGGGGGGAGTGATGTGCTCGCCTTGTTCGCAGAGCCGCATCTTGGGCACCAGGAAGGACACGGGCAGCAAGCTCGGCAACCACCAGGCTTGGGGCCACCTGGACGGGGCGAACAACTGGCGCGTGGACCTTGACGAGAACCCAGGCGCTGCAAAAGCCAGCGAACACATCGAGCAAATCGCGCTGTAGGAGTGTGTTGCTATTGCTCGAATGCATGCCGCTAGCGCGTGGAGGCGTCCTGCTCATCAACGTGAAGTCCTACTTCAACGCGACCTGGTTCTTCCTTCTCGCGGTGTTGTACGCGCCACAGCTGCACTTGCCCAGACATGAAACGAGCGACGCGTCAAGGCAGGCAGTGCGCACCTAAAGCGCATAAAGCGCATGTCAACCCTTCGGAAGCCCGTAAAGACATCGTGTGCTGACATCATGTGCTGAGCTCAGGAAGTGTGCGCAACCATCTTCTCTGCCAAGAACATCAAGATCTCCAACGACCGCTTGGGTCTGACCCGCAGTGCCATCTTGCTAATCCTCTTCATCGTCATCCACGCAGTAGGAAACCTCCACGTCTTCAAAGGCTGGATGTCCTAATGGTCGTAGTTGCTGCGCTGAATGCAACTTGAAAGAGTTCCTGATGCATTGTGCAGGCCCGGATGACTTCAACGGCTACGGCTACTTCTACGTGCGCCTCTACTGGACGGGCTTCGGCCTGCCGGCCAACATCGTGGAGGAGTACATCCTCCTGTCCGTGCTGCTCCACGTCTTCGTGGGCCTGAAGCGAACCTGGGACATGAAGCTGGCGCTGGTGCAGACTCAGGGCATCAACGTCCTGAACCTGGCCATCTCCGGCCTGATGCTCCTGACCTTCATGACCATCCACCTCTTCCAGTTCCGCTTCGGCGACACCGACCAGTTCGGCCCCTACTACATCCGGCCGCCTCCTTACCTCATCAACTTCTGGGGCATCTCCTCCCTGAATCTCTTCTGGACCAGCGAAGACAGCATCGAGCCCGTCGGCGTGCGCGACATCTACGCGCGGTCCCGAGATGTCTCTCTGAGTCCGAAGCCTTTTTTAGCCCCGAGCCTCCACTCCCTAATTCAAAGGTGGGTGGGGATTTGGGTTTAGGGTTTAGGGTTTAGGGTCTATAGGGTCACCACACAAATACCCCAGATATTCTCTAGATCATGGCTTCCGGTTGCAAGACGGAGGGCCATGTTCCGGTGACCAAGACGTTCCCATGCTTTGGAGCTCCGTAGTTTTATGTTCCTCCTTAGACTCACGGCACTTAATAGGGATGATAGTGCCCCCCAATAAAACCCATTTAGGGACCGTTGGTACAAACCCTAAACCCTAAACCCTAAACCCTAAACCCTAAACCCTAAACCCTAAACCCTAAGCCCTCAACCCTAAACCCTAAACCCTAAACCCTAAACCTACAGGAGCATCCCGAGGTTAAAGTCTCAAACGAAATTCTGAGCAAGCCGACCAGGCTCTGGAGTTCCAGATCTTCAAGAATCCGCTGCGGCTCGGCGACTGATGGCTGCCTAAACCCTAAACCCAAAACCCAAAACCCAAAACCCTAAACCCTAAACCCTAAACCCTAAACCCTAAACCCTAAACCCTAAACCCTAAACCCTAAACCCTAAACCCTAGCCCCTAAACCCTAAACCCTAAACCCTAAACCCTAAACCCGAAACCCTAAGGTCTAAACCCTAAACCTCTCAGCCCGCTATGAACAAATACAGCCCTACACCCCACAAAAACCCTCGGCCCTGAAGCCCTGAAGCTCCAAGCCCCTCAAAAAATCCGTTCGAACCGCTTAAAACCCTTCAAAGCCTTTGAAGCCCCCGCAAGACTCCTTAAAAAACTGGAAGCACCGCCGACCTTTCCTCCAAAACTACTCGCCGAAACCCCTAAAGCTGTGGAGATTCTCTGAACCCTCAAGTTTAGGGTTTAGGGTTTAGGGTTGAACCCTCAAAGCCCTAAACCCTAGATTCTACAAGCCTAGAAGCCCGAGAGTGTGTGGGCCCTCATGAAGGTGTACGGAAAGAGGAGGAGGAGGGGGGTGAACCCTAAACCCTAAACCAAGCTCTAAAGTCCAAACAAAACCGCAATTCGGGGTTTGGAGGGTTTTGAAGTTCCGGTTGGGATGTTCCCCCTTGTAGCGGCAGTCCTGAGTAGGGATGAGAGTACCCCTCTACTAACATCCCCTTTCAGGAGCTGAGGAGCTGAGGAGCCTAAACCCTAAACCCTAAACCCTAAACCCTAAACCCTAAACCCTAAACCCTAAACCCTAAACCCTAAACCCGAAATCCTAAACCCGAAACCCTAAACCCTAAACCCTAAACCCTAAACCCTAAACCCTAAACCCTAAACCCTAAACCCTAGCCCCTAAACCCTAAACCCTAAACCCTAAACCCTAAACCCTAAACCCTAAACCCTAAACCCTAAACCCTAAACCCTAAACCCTCAACCCTTAGGGAGCTGTTGTGCGAGCTCTGGTGTGATGCTTGGAAGACCGCATTGCGGTCGCGTTCCGCGACTGCACCCTTCCGCGACTGCACCCCCCCCCCCCCCCACCCTAGACCGGTCTCCATGTTCGTACTCAAAAACTCAATCCTCGTTTATAGACATGTTTGATAGCTGACCCGATGCACCGTCTTGCAGGGTTGTCGCGTGATACGGTCTTCCACTGTGACGGGAAACCGCGACTGCGGAAAACCACGGGACGGTATGCCCGGGTGTGACCGGGTATGACCGGGTATGACCGGGTATGACGGGTACGCCGGTACATGACCGCCTGTGACCGTGTGTGACCGTGACGGGGCCTGACCGGGTGCGATGGAGTATGCGCTTGCACGTACTCGGGCGTATTCGGGCATGGTCCAGATTACACCTCACTCGATGCAGGGCTGGTGAGGGGAAAAGCCGTGTGAGGTTGAGGGGGCTGAAGTCTGAAGAGTCTTCATTCCCCGCATCATCTAGTAGAGGAGGCAGGCAAAGTCCGCTCGCAGGCCATCGTTGCGGGAGATGAGCCTTCGAAGGGTCTACCCTCTCTCCCAAACCTAAAACCTAAATGCCAAGCACACGCGACTTACAGCCCGGCGGGGCTATAGAGTGCTAACACTGGTTTTCGGGCCAGCATCCCCCTATGAATTACCTGGAGCTGCTTTTCTAAGGTAAAAACAGGGCTTACGGTTTCGCATTTCAGCTGTCGTTGCTCAGAGCTTCGGCGTGGCCTCTGGTCGTCCTGTGGTGCTAACCTCCTAGTGGTGGAAGCTGGAAGGCTACGTGTAGGTAGCACTAATGAGCACCTTCGCTATGGTGGTTTGGGTTTTCAGCCTCTTTTGGTATTGGTTAGTGGCTACTCACACTGACTTTTTTGATAGGGCCTCTTCGGCTAGTGATTTCGGTGATGGTTCTGTTGTGGGTAGTTGTTGTGGTTATCTTACTGAGTCACCTTTTCGACCATTTCTTCGAGCCATGCAACCAGCAAAGCGTGCGCCATGGGAGACTAAAGGAGCCAGCAAAGGTCTATCCCTCGATGACCCAAGCCAGCTGCGCATAGTAACTGGAAAACCATTAGAAGGGTTCCAGCAAATCGGCATTGAGTGCGTGCACAACGAATCCATCGGATGGAGTTTTGCCAACATAGCCACAGTTCAAACGCTGAGTTCTCTTGAAACGTGCTCCGTATTCTTCCTCCTCACAAAGGGCTATGTCAAGAACAAAATCGTTGCCTTTGGAGTGGAGGAGTCGCGCGTCGTGGAAACAGTAGTCACGGTGTTAGATCCAGTTTGTGGCGTTTGTGAACCTCGCGCCGTTACCATCACGAATTTGGCTACCGATCCCTGCGACTTTGTCCAGGCCTCATACGATGATGATGCTCTTCGAGTTGAGGTGAAATCAATGATCGCTGTGCTCATTGAGTTGCGAAAGTCAGATTCCAGTGGCGAGGACTGGGAGAAGTACCGTTTATCCAACACTTTGGACGAATACGTACTTTCCTTGCTCACCGCGTTTGGAATCGACAAGACGTCCATTCAGCATCGCACAGTCGTCAAACAGGACTACGTGTGCAAGCGGCTCCTGATTCCATATGAAACAAGAGACAGGCTATATGTGAAAAGTGGCGCTTTCTCTGTGCAAGTTCGACCCTGTCGTCGCCCATCTGATCCCGCAGAATCCGGCCTAGAACTTTTGCGTGTTGATCATGCAGGATGTTTATCGTCTTTGTACAAGAAGTTCGAACGCCAGGAGGGTTTTCTGGGATGCTTTGGGCCACAAGGTGCACGTTATATTCGTGTAAAGGACGAGCACATTGCCGACATGCGGCGAGCAATCTACCCGAACTCGGACAGGTTTTCCGAGAAAAACATCAGCATCAAGATCGTTGATCAGTACGAGTGCTTGGGATTTCCTACCGGTGCATCTCTCAAGGTAGTAGCCAGCTCTCTTGAGGGACTGGGGTGGATTGTCATACCTTTAAGGGTGGTGCATCTCAATGAGCTCGCGATTGTGTTCGTTGGTTCTAACGAAGACCCTCCGGACTGGCGCTTTGTCACCTCTGCAGGGCCCATCGTAATCCAGAAGTACACCATCGAGCAGCGGTCGCAGCAAAGGCCGAAGGCTGCAGCCCACCAGCAAAGCGGCAGTGTCATCAAGAAGCTCGAGATGCCCATGGCGCAAACCCTTTCGGATGTCTCAACGGCTTCGTCGCAGCCATCCACGTCAGCAGCCAACTTCGACCCATGGGCCAATTGGAAGCCAACTGGCTCGCTTAAAAACCTATGCAGAAGCCACCCCGGGTGCAGATCACTCATCTACTCGGGCTGAAATACATGCTGTTTATCTGGCGTTAGCTCTGTCCCGAGGTGACTTGTGCATAGTTTCTGACTGCGCGCATCTTGTAAACACGTTTTCATGGCTCAGCCGGCATGAATTCGACCCCGCTTAATTGCAAAGCTGGACAACCCCGATTTGTGGACTGCAGTCTCTGCAGCGTACAAGGGACGAGCCGGGGTGGTTACCATTTCCAAGGTTAAAGCGCGTGTGTCGGGTAGGCTACACGTGCAACATCCATGGTTCACTAAGAATAATGCAGCTGCAGATGAGCTGGCTAAAGAGGCAGCGCGTAGCTTGCTACAGACCAAGCGCGACGCTCTCGTAGGCGAAGTGTCGGCAGGTCTGGACCTGCAGACGCACCTTGTAGCTTCCCTTGTCAAACGCCTAAACTGTTTGCAGATCCCCTTTGATGCGGGAAAACCAGCTACAGACACTCAGTGTCGCTGCGTACCAACTGTTCGCATCCGGTCAAAGAGCAATTGTTGTCAGGGACACTGCCTAGTTTGTAAGGGTTCGACACTTCAAGTTTCTGACCAGGTGTTTCTTGAATGTGTACGATTGTCACGCCCCGTACGTCAAAATCTGTGGCAGTGCCTCCGTCAACGTTACCCAGCATATTGGGCAGTATTCGCGCGAGCTCACTCATGGGGACTAGGGCCTGCAGTCGCGGTACAAAGTACTGACTGGTCAAGGCACCCCAACTCCCGATTTCTGCAAAACTTGCTGGAGTTCTGGTCTCAAGACCGGTGGCACTACCCTAATGACGCTAGTGTTTCAGATGCTAGAGTCACATGGCAGGAGTTGGTTTTCGATTTCATAGGTGAGTTTGGGGTTGTAAAGGGTTTGCTCGAACCCCATACCCGCTTAAGCCTTCTTACCCGACGTTTTCGAGATCATTCTGTAAAGCTGCTCGTAGCAGCTGGCGCACCTGCGAAGGGGTTTACAAATATTTCACACCTCAAGTGCTTTACAGGCGGTTCGGCTGCTGGCATTTGCGCGCGTAGGAACTTCAGCTGTCCTCACATCGTATGGGGTTTTCTTCTCAGCCGTTGTTCCAGTCATGCTAGTCGCAATGCATTAGCGCGGAGCCGCCCCAATGCTCACTTTACGCCATCCTGGGAATTTCTCCCCAAATAGTGTAGTTTGTCTCCTCCCATCTTTCTTCTCTTCTTCTCCTATCTTTCTCATGGCCTGAATTCGCATAATTTCGTCTTCGCGCAAAGCTCAGCTTTCAGATCGCGGTGGACATTGCTTCGAGGCTCGTGTGGCTGGCAAGTGACCTGCTGTAAAAAACTTAGGGAGCTGTTATAGCATAAAAGGGGGGGACATCCCAAAGCTCAGCTGTGAGGGATTCGAAGTTTGGGGCTTCGAGGGTTCAAGGCTTTGAAGCTTGGGGTTTTGGGGTTTCGAAGTTTGGCGTTTGGGGGGTGAATAAGGCTTAAAACCCACAACCCTAAACCCTAAACCCTTAAACCCTAAACCCTTAAACCCTAAACCCTAAACCCTAAACCCTAAACCCTAAACCCTAAACCCTAAACCCTAAACCCTAAACCCTAAACCCTAAACCCTAAACCCTAAACCCTAAACCCTAAACTCTAAACCCTAAACCCTAAACCCTAAAACCCTAAACCCTAAACCCCTAAACCCTAAACCCTAAAACCCTAAGCCCTTAAGGCTTTGAAGTCGGGGGCTCAGCGCAATTAGGGTTTAGGGTTTAGGGTTTAGGGTTTAGGGTGATGTCCCCCCTTTATACTAACAGTCCTTAGTAGGGAGTAGGTACCCCCTACTAGACTCCCTAAGGACTGTTAGTACAGATATAAGGGACCCCCGACTTTAGACCCCCAACTAGTAGGATTCCCTTATACTCAGGACACCCAATAAGGTGCCCCCTTTTTTCGGAAATCCCCATATGGGTTTGGAGTTAGAGATTGGGGAGGGATCAAAGGGGGCAGGATCCCAGTGGAAGCCAGGTGGGGATTTTCGTAGATAGGGGGTGCCCCTTATAGACCCCAAAGTGCCAAAAGTACTATAGTCCCTTTAAAGGAAACCCCCAAAAGAAAGGTACCCCTAATATAGACACCCAAATAGTTGGATTCCCTTCCATAGGAAGGTACCCCTATGTTCGGAAACTCCCCCAGGTGGTCCTTCTTCTACATCTTCTCCGTGTTCATCTTCATGTACCACGCCTGCGTCGGCTGGAAGAAGGCTCCATATTTTTCCGAGCGTCTTCTCGTGATAGTGTATACCAGGACCCAGAATAGGCCTTCATTTTCTTTTTTTAGGGTTGAGGTTCCCTTATAAGCCCCTGCACACCAAAAAGGGCACCCTGTTATTCCGAGGCTACTCTTGGCTCCTCCGATTTTCTGGCTCTTACATCTCGACGACTGCGCTCCGAATCATAACCGTTCTAAACGCCCTCCATAAACCCTGCACAAACCCTCTCAACACCTCGTATCCCCTCAAGTGCCTTCAGGTGACGCCCGTGCTTGGCATCCCCCGCGGTCACATTTGGCGCGTGGAGCTCATCGGCTACGGCATCATGTGCCCTGGCCGCCGAATGGAACCTTTGGGGGCTGAAGGGTTCGGGGTTTCGTAGGGTTAACCCCCCGACCCCCCCCCCCACCACCCCCGACCCCATCAAACCCCGAAGTGCGTAGAAGCTACCCTACATGCCGTAGCAGCCGTAACAAAATTCGCTCTGGCTCCGAACTTCATCTTTTTCTCATGACGCGGTTTGCATAGTCGAGGGTTTCAGGGCGTTTGGGGCTGAGGGGGTTTTCGGGGTTTGGAGTTGAGGGTTTTGTTCGGGCTTAGGGTTTCAGGGGGCTTTAGGGTTGTGTAGGATTGAGGGTTGAAGGGGATCTGGGGGTTGAGTGTTCAAGGCTTGATTGGGGTTTTGGGCAGGACGTATGTTTAATGAGGGGCGTTTTGCGCGGTTTACTTGTGATGTTCCCCCCCGAAAGAGACGGCCCAGAGTTCCCAAAATTTTGCTTTATGGTGTGTTGAGACCCTAAACCCTAAACCCTAAACCCTGAACCCTAAACCCTAAACCCTAAACCCTAAACCCTGAGTGTAGGCTAGGGAGGCCATGAAACGTGTCCCCCAACCTAAAACCCTAGTCCCAAAACTCTATAAGTCCCCAACCCGAAACTCTAGGAGGCCTTGAACTCTCAGCCTAAACCCTAAACCCTAAACCCTAAACCCTAAACCCTAAACCCTAAACCCTAAACCCTAAGCCCTAAGCCCTAAACCCTAAACCCTAAACCCTAAACCCTGCCAGGATCGTCATGGGGCTCGTGTACATCTCCTTCCCAGTCTACGTCATGGCCACCAAGCCGTTTGGCGGCCTCCTGGCGGCAGTTCTTCCTGGGAGCCCGGGATGCACGAACCCTAAAACTCAAAGGGGTTTGGGGTTTAGGTTTGGGGTTTAGGGTTTGGGGTTTAGGGTTTGGGGTTTAAGGTTTAGGGTTTAGGGTTTGGGGTTTAGGGTTTAGGGTTTGGGGTTTAGGGTTTGGGGTTTAGGGTTTGGGATTTAGGGTTTGGGTTTAGTTGGTGCAGCTGCTCCGAAACCCAAAGACCCGAAACAGCCTAAACCCCAACATCCTGCCCTAAACCCTAAACCCTAAACCCTAAACCCTAAACCCTAAACCCTAAACCCTAAACCCTAAACCCTAAACCCTAAACCCTAAACCCTAAACCCTAAACCCTAAACCCTAAACCAACAACGGCCCTAAACCCTAAACCCTAAGCCCAATGCTTCAAGTCTTCGCGCCCTTGAGCTAAGGTTACGAGATGGGCATCCAGATCCCGGGCAGGGTGGAGTGAACAAGAGTCCGGGCGCCAAGGAAGTGAATCCTTAGCTGTCCTCAACAACCCCCCCAAAATATCGAGAATCCTGAAGTCCTTACATCCTTACAGTCCTTAATGCCCTGAACCCCCCAAAATTTCCCAAGTTCTTCAAGCCTTGCAATCCTTAAGCTTTTCGATCCCCTCTACCTGCAGGCCTCGAAACCCTTAGGCCTTAGCCCCAGAACCTCTCGGCCCGATCATGTCTTGAACAAGCCTTAAACCCTTCAACCCTAAACCCCAAACCCTAAACCCTAAATCCTAAACCCTAAACCCTAGCCCCTAAACCCTAAACCGCCTAAACCCTAAACCCCAAACCCAGCTTGTGTGACGTGCTGGGCACAGTGTTGCCTCAGGCGCAGAGCCAGAGCCGCATTGCCCAACAGGCAGTGAGGGGTGGCAGGCTGGGCTAGGCCTACGGGCTTTAAGGTGTGGGGTTTAGGCGGTTTAGGGGGATTAGGCGGTTTAGGGTTTAGGGTTTAGGGTTTAGGGTTTAGGGTTTAGGGTTTCGGGCTCGTGGCCCACGCCTTGCCGCCCGAGCTAATGACTTCCCTGCGGGACTGAGGCTCAAAGGTCGTACTGGAAGGCCTAAGGGGTCTGGGGCTTCAAAGAGTTTAGGGTTTTCAGTTGTTTTTCCTTCGGTTTTTGGTGGGTTTCTAGGGTTTTGAGGGTTTTGAATTTTCATAGGCCTTACACCTAACACAACCCTAAACCCTAAACCCTAAACCCTAAACCCTAAACCCTAAACCCTAAACCCTAAACCCTAAACCCTAAACCCTGGGTTTTATCGGGGTTGGGGTTACAAATCTAGGGCTTAAGTTCGGCAGCTCGGGGCTGATGATGTGAGGTCCCCTGTTTGGGGGTTTGCGCTTCAGGCTTTCCCTAAGCCCTAAGCCCTAAGCCCTAAGCCCTAAGCCCTAAGCCCTAAGCCCTAAGCCCTAAGCCCTAAGCCCTAAGCCCTAAGCCCTAAGCCCTAAGCCCTAAAGCCCTAAGCCCTAAGCCCTAAGCCCTAAGCCCTAAGCCCTAAGCCCTAAGCCCTAAGCCCTAAGCCCTAAGCCCTAAGCCCTAAGCCCTAAGCCCTAAGCCCTAAGCCCTAAGCCCTAAGCCCTAAACCCTAAACCCTAAACCCTAACTAAACCCCTAAACCCCTAAACCCTAAACCCTAAACCCTAAACCCTAAACCCCTAAACCCTAAACCCTAAACCCTAATCCGGGTCCCCGCAGGAAGTTGCATTCCGTGCTCAAGCACCCAATTTTACACGCGACGCAGTCGACTCAACTCTTTGTGCGCTGGCGCGAGGGAGCCGGGTGTGGGGTTTAGGGTTTAGGGTTTAAGGTTTAGGTTTTAGGATTTCGGGGTTTAGGGTTTCGGCTGTTGCGGTTTGGGGTTTAGCCGGGGTTTAGGGGTTTAGGGTTTCAGGTTTAAGGGCTGGCCGGGGTTTAGGGTATCATTGACAGGCCCCAAGGCCGCCAATTTCATTAACAACCCCCGAGCAGCCCTCTAAGCACCCTACGAAGCCGTCACGGCCGCAATCAACCTCAAGCCGAAGCTTCTAAGAACCTTCAGGGTTTGGGGCTTGGAGATTATTTAGAGCCCAAGTAGAAGTCTACTTTTCGCCTACTTCGGGGACTTAGGGGGTTGCTGGGGTTAAAAGTACCCTGAACCTCCCCCGCACCAGGTGGAACAGGCCTGGCAAGAGCAACGAGCAGGGCTCGAGGAGTCAATAGCTAATCAATGACAGCAGTATCGGAAAGAGCGACAAGAGCTAGCAAGAACAATAATGTTACTCATCGACCGTGGCTCATAGTCAACATAGTCAACATCCCAAGAAAAGTCATATGCATTGTTGGAGCATTGCATATATGAGGTCGGTATTGGAAGCCTAAACCCTAAACCCTAAACCCTAAACCCTAAACCCTAAACCCTAAACCCTAAACCCTAAACCCTAAACTTTAAACCCTAAACCTTAAATCCTAAACCCTAAACCCTAAACCCTAAACCCTAAACCCTAAACATACTGACAAACACGAAGAAGCGTCCTCGGGGCGCCAGCCGGGTGTCCGAATATGTCACGACCCCTCCGTACAGGGGCCTGTTTCAGACACCGCCGCCGGGCGTTTAGGGAAGTCTAGGGTTTAGGGTTTAGGGTTTAGGGTTTAGGGTTTAGGGGTTTAGGGGTTTAGGGGTTTAGGGGTTTAGGGTTTAGGGGTTTAGGGTTTAGGGGTTTAGGGTTTTAGGGGTTTAGGGTCAGGGGTTCTAAGGCTTCAATGGGTTCAAGGGTGCGGGCGATCGAAGGCTCGGCCTTCTCATCGATTGCAGCCCGAGAAAAGCGAGAAATGCCTAAGCCGGCGTCAGGGAACCTATTGTCCGAAACCCGAAACCCGAAACCCGAAACCCGAAACCCTAAACCCTAAACCTTAAACCCTGAATCCATAAGTTGCGAGAGCCCTATAGGCCCAACATGCGAGCTTTCGCAGCATCAACTGCGAAAGCGAAACCCTAATAAGCCTGAGGGTGTAGGGTTGAAGGTTTAAGGTTTTGGGTTTGGGGTTTGGGGGATAGGGTTGCGAGCCTAAACTCCACAAGCAGCCGAGGCGTGGATAAGCCCTAAACCTCGAAGCCATCCGTATGGGCGCTAGGGTTTAGGGTTTAGGGTTTAGGGTTTAGGGTTTAGGGTGTAGGGTTTTGTGTTTAGGCTTTGGGTCTAGGGGCTGAAGAGATGTATAATATGTACATGTATGGACATTGAGATCTTGAGAGGACACGGTGCTTTCGGCAGGTTAGGGTTTGCGGATCATAAGGCATTGCACTCTGAGCAGTATTCCCTTTTCATTTTGGTATGAGGTGTTGTTTTGAGAAGGTTTAGGGTGCAGGGGGATTGTGACAGTTGTGTTGGAAAGGGATGAGAAGGGCTAATGTTGGCAATTATCTAAATTTTTTGGATAGTGCTGGCTGCCGGCCAGGCGTTGAGGGACCCCTCACTTGGTTAAGGGTTCAGTGAGTCCATATTGGGTTTTTGTTGGTAGACAGGGCTTACCCAGAGGGGGAAGTTTGCCTGCCGTCCTCCCGCAGTCTTTTTTTAGAAGAGTGGCCGGGTACGCGCCCTTGACGCACGAAGTGCCTCTGGGCCGCATTGGCCCCCGCAAACGCCTGCCAGGTTGCTTTCTTTCCGCCCCCACCCTGGTAATGCCCCTTAGGCCCAGCAGTAGACTCAGCAAAACACCGCAAGCCCTACAAGAGGGTTTGCGGGGCGTCGTGAGTTGAAAAACCAAGGGGGGGTCTGCCATCACAATTTCGCTGTCAGTCACATCGCTCCTTGTCCAAGACTCTTGAGCCCCTCAACCGTAAACCCTAAACCCCTTCGGGAAAGCTGGAACCCTAAACCCTAAACCCTAAAAACTTTAAAGACCCTAAAAACCCGAAAAACCCTAAACCCTAAACCCTAAACCCCAAACCCCGGGGACGCCATGTGTCGATGCGGGGTTTCAACCTTCTGCAAACTGCTCGCATCCAGGCGGGCCGCGTTTCCAACACCCCTTGCGCACGTCCCGCAGCGCCGCGGACGAGCTTTAGGGACCTTTGCGGGAGATTACGGTTTTGGGCTGAGGGTGTGGCTAGGCAAGAGCTTGGGGGACATGCAGTCTTCACGTACGTTTAAATCCGGAGCCCAGGGGTGTGTGGGGATTCAGGCTTTCGGCAGGTTTTGGGTTTGGGGCGTTCTGCGGCTTCGGTTGTGGGTTGGGGCTCAGAATCCAACGCAAGAGGGTCCAAGAGAAAGGCAGCAAAGCAGAAGCCCGCAGAAAAGGGTTTAGAGTTTAGGCAGCCCTACACCTAAACCCTACACCCTAAACCGTCAAAACCCTAAAGGAGTGGAGCCAACAGCCCTCATTCCCATCGGCACGACGTCCTTCGTGAAAGGAACTGTTAAGGCTTCGGTCTCCGGGTTTGTGGTTCAGGGCTTCGTAAGCCTAGACTCTAAACCCTATACCCTAAGCCCGACCCTCCAAGCCCTGACGCCGTAACCCTAAACCCTAAACCCTAAACCCTAAACCCTAAACCCTAAACCCTAAACCCTAAACCCTAAACCCTAAACCCTAAACCCTAAACCCTAAACCCTAAACCCTAAACCCTAAACCCTAAACCCGAAACCCGAAACCCTAAACCCTAAACCCTAAACCCTAAACCTTAAACCCGAAAGCCGAAACCCTAAACCCTAAACCCAAAGAGCCAGGTTTTGTTTCGACCATGGCGTCCTCCTTCCCGACCAATCAAGCCATCGTCGTAGGTGGCGGATTGGGAGGCACTGTAGGGCCTGCTTGCTTCGAAGAGCGTAAGGGTTTAGGGTTTAGGGCTTAGGGCTTAGGGCTTGGGGCTTGCTTGGGGCTTGGGGCTTGGGGCTTGGGTTTAATTAGGGTTTGGGGTTTAGGGTTTAGGGTTTAGGGACCGCCTCCCTTACTTCAGAGTGGGCGGATTAGGAGGCTCGCCAAGTCCGGTTGACCCTGAAGCCCTGCATTCGGAGCTGTTTAGAGCGATTCTTCCCCGAAACAGCCCCTGCAGAACGAGAGACGAATTTGCCCCAGATGCCCATTCTAAGCGACGAAGGCCCCGAAATTACCACCCCAAACCCCAAACCCCGAACCCTAAACCCTAAACCCCGAACCCTAAACCCTAAACCCTAAACCCTAAACCCTAAACCTAAACCCGAAACCCGAAACCCGAAACCCGAAACCCGAAACCCTAAACCCGAACCCTAAACCCTAAACCCCAAACCCCTCGGGACTCGGGTCGCCCGAAGATGCGTCAAAGAAGTCCGGCCTCGAGAACTGCATGGTCCGCCATCGAGGGAGTAGAAGGCCCTAACTTGGGGTGTATGGTTTAGGCGGGCAGCTGGAGGCAGTTTTCAGCCCTAAGCCGCAAAATACTGGTGGTTTGGCCGTGGCTCCTATTTTTGAGAGAAGTACCCCTTGAGCTGTTCCCCCTAAACCCTAAACCCTAAACCCTAAGCCCTAAGCCCTAAACCCTAAACCCTAAACCCTAAGCCCTACACCCAAAACCCTACACTCTAAGCCCTAAACTCTAAACCCTAAGGGGGGGGGTCTGCTTGGGGGGTTGCGGGAGAGCCCTCTTATCCTGAAAGGTATGTCTGCAGCAAATACCGTCGTCGAAAGCGGGGGCCGCGTCGTGCTCCTGGCCAGGGCCCCAGCTGCCCTGGCTCGGTTTGCTGCTTTCCACGTGCACCTAAATCCTGCAGCCCCGAAACCCTAAACCCTAAACCCTAAACCCTAAACCCTAAACCCTGAACCCTAAACCCTAAACCCTAAACCCTAAACCCTAAACCCTAAACCCTAAACCCTAACCCTAAACCCGAAACTCCTAAACCCCAGCTCTAGGCCCGAAACGCCCCACCGTAGCACATGTGCGGCCCCTCTGGTCCCTAGCCTGTACCTTACCTTTCGTCCCACCTAGCACCAAGCCATCGGCTTCCACACGACCCATGAGACCCCCCCTTTTTTTGCCCATTGCAGCCCTAAATGCCCCCCCGCCCCCGCGCCATAGCAACCCTAGAAGGGTCACCCGATCCCCTAAACCTTACATAAACCCAAAACCCTCAACCCTAACCCTAAACCCTAAACCCCCAAAACCAAAGCCCTGAAAATCCGGCCGCCCGAGGACAAGTCGTCTTTCTGTGGCGGCAACAGTACCAAGGCCACCTCGGGCATCAACGGTGCAGGCAGGGGTTTTGTCTGAATAGTACCCTAAACCCTAAACCCTAAACCCTAAACCCTAAACCCTAAACCCTAAACCCTAAACCCTGAACCCTAAACCCTAAACCCTAAACCCTAGACCCCAAAATGTCACCACAACACGTGTTCAAGAGCCCTCCACACTGTTCTTGAGCAGGTTCTTGAGCACCTTAGCTGTTCGAAAAACTTCAGAAGCTAAACGTCAAATGGGTAGCTTCCCTAGCTTAGGGTGAGAACACGGGCCCTCATGATGAGGGTATGCTTTGATCTGAAGTGGAGTTGAAAGGTCTATGACATTCTATGAACCCTAAACCCTGCATGACCCCATAAAGCCATGCAGCAGTGTTGCTAGAGGGCCCAAATCCACCCTGGGTTTTGGGGGTTTGGGGTCTTCGTGACCGCAAGAAGAGGATTTTCCACGGGTGGTCGGCTCCAACCCCCGAGGCCTTACACCCCCTCCTCCCCCAGCTCCAGCTGACACGGCTGAGGGGGCGGGTCACGGTTCGCTTGTGTTGCCTGTGTTGGGCCACTCTGTATCAACTACATCAAGTAAAGATGGATACAAACGATACATGGATACATGGATGGGCGGATGGATGAATGGATGAAAAGGCAAAGCTTGATAACGTAGTATCAGTTGAAGCTACCTTCAAAGGATCCGTTAAAAAAGCAAAGAACGAGTTATGTTGTTTTGGACCGATCGATGAATGGATGGATGGATGGATGGACGGATGGATGGATGGATGGATGGATGGAAGGAAGATAGAGTGCATATAGTTCACTGATTCACAGTGCGATGCTGGAACAAAGACATCCCAACGACTACAATTTGTCTTAAGATGAACAAGGACCTCAGAAGATGTGTGCTGATACCGGGGTGGATGATGCAAAGTTGAGGGATCAGGGCGCGTTGGAAGGAAAGCTGAAAGCTCGTGTTTGTGGCCTAGGCACGAAGACCCAGAAGGCAAAAGGAATCCCGGACAATGCCGACATCTTCACCCAGGCAGGGTTTAGGGTTTAGGGTTTAGGGTTTAGGGTTTAGGGTTTAGGGTTTAGGGTTTAGGGTTAGGGCGGCAGGGGCCCGCAAAGCGTCTCCTCAGCGACTTTTTTCCCATGAGCCTTTCTCAAGACCCAACTGCTGTGAGCAAAAAGGTCTCCTCAAAGGCTCCCCCTGCCAGCGTCTTTATGTTCAAAACACCGCCCTAAACCCTAACCCCTAACCCCTAACCCCGAAACCGGCTCCAAGACGACCGCAAGGTAGGTTAATTTGGTTTTAGCAAGGAGCTGCCCAATTTGTTCGGCCCCGGAAAGCCCTGAATTGCCATGAAGATTCTCTGAAGTCTTGAGCCCTCGGTAGGATTCGGGGGAACCTTAACAAGGGGGAATCCTTCTTCAGAGGGTCTCTATCCCCAAGGGTCCCCCGAATCATATATCCTACTGAGCAGGAGTTAAGGCCCGTACCGAAAGGATGGTTTAGGGTTTAGGGTTTAGGGTTTAGGGTTTAGGGTTTAGGGTTTAGGGTTTAGGGTGAGAGACGCACCTCCCGAGTTCCCTTCTCACCCACCGGCTCCCCCCTTCGTTTTAAGGGTGCAAGGCAGACACCCTTAAAACCCGTTGAAAACCCGTTGAAAACCGTAAAAAAAAAAACCCTGAAAAGCCCTTAAAGAACCGTTAAAACCCTTAACACCCTCAAAAACCCTTAACACCTTAAAGCCCTTAAGACCCTTAAGACCCTTACGACCCTTAAGACCCTTAAGCCCCTTAAGACCCTTAAAACCCTTAAGACCCTTAAAGCCCTTAAAACCCTTACAACCCCAAGCCCCATGCCCTTAAAACCCTAAACCCTAAACCCTTAAAACCTTAAACCCTCGGCCCTAAGCCCTAAACCCTCAACCCTAAGCCCCAAACCCTTAAAACCCTACACCCCAAACCCTAAACCCTAAACCCTAAACCCTAAACCCTAAACCCTAAACCCTAAACCCTAAACCCTAAACCCTAAACCCTAAACCCTCAGTAACTAAGTCAGGACACGCTGAAAGGCGGCGCAAAGAAGCCTGAGCTGGCGAAGCCCGGGGCTTGCCTCGGGGTGTAGGATTTAGGGTTTAGGATTTAGGGTTTAGGGTTTAGGGTTTCGGGTTTGGGGTTTTAGGGTTTGGGGTTTGGGGTTTGGGGTTTAGGGTTTGGGGTTCGGGGTTCGGGGTTTGGGGTTTAGGAGTTTAGGGTTTGGGGTTTGGGGGTTTGGAGTTTGGAGTTCAAGGTTCGGATTCTGGAAGGTGGGATAGGGTTTTCTGGTTCAGGGTTTTGGGTTTACGGTTTGGGTTTTGGGGTTCGGGGTTTAGGCTTTTGCGGTTTGTGGTGGCCAGCAGAGATGTCGAAACTCTCGCGCGGCATGAGGCGGCATGCACAGGATTGGACCATTCCACATCCGAGCGCTACAGCGCTGGCGAACCCTAAACCCTAAACCCTAAACCCTAAACCCTAAACCCTAAACCCTAAACCCTAAACCCTAAACCCTAAACCCTAAACCCTAAACCCCAAACCGCTTTTTCACAGCAAAATCCAAGGAGAAACAGCCCTCATAACATAAGGTTCTGAGGTTCGGGGTTTAGGGTTTAGGGTCGTCCCCAAGCCACACAACCCCCGACCCCAAACCCTAAACCTCAAAGGCCAAAAACCCAGAAAATATCCTTGTTCTGGTCTGGGGCTTAGGGAGCGCCCCAGGCCGCAACACGCCCAAAGCGCAGACCCGTTGGCCCAGGCTCTTGTGCGTGAACAGCGCTGAGGACGTGGCGGCTCGCCCGGCAGTTCAAGTTTCAGGCATTTGTCGGTGAGTGTGTTTTGGGTCTTTCGGGGTTTGCTATCGGATTTAGACTTCAAGGTTTTGTTTTTGGCACCGCTCAGACTGTTACCATGCAACCTCTCATCAAACCGGAGCTGGGACCCTAAACCCTAAACCCTAAACCCTAAACCCTAAACCCTAAACCCTAAACCCTAAACCCTAAACCCTAAACCCTAAACCCTAAACCCTAAACCCTGAACCCTCAACCCCAAACCCTAAACCTTAAGTCTCGTATCTTGGTAGCGAAGTGTTCACATTTGGCACCTTCCGCCCAGAAGCTCCTGCATCTCAGCTCTACGCATTCCTCCTTCTGGGTTCTAGGGTTCAGGGTTTAGGATTTAGGGTTTTGGGGCTTACCTTGTCCCAAAACCTAGATTGTTACACCGAAGAAACCTTGAAGAAAGGGTTGGGGTAATTGGGGCCTACAAAGACGGTAGGTGTTGGGCTAAGGATTGGCTGGTGGAGAAGTTCAACCTGGACTTGTCCCTCGTGGCCCGCCTGGGCGGCCATTCGCAGCCCCGTACCCACCGAGGCAAGGAGCGCTTCCCCGGCCCCTTGGTGCGTTGAGGGCTTTCTGTTTTGGTGTTTTTTTTGGTTGAGGTTTGGGGAGAATAGGCTCACCAAGGCATGACCATCACCTACGCCCTGATCCAGATGCTGGAGAAGGCCAGGAGGAGGAGGAGGAGGAGTTTCGGGCACAATGTCGTTTCCTAGTTTTGCAGGCGATGAAGGTCGCCTTAGCCTTGCTTCGCCGCAGGTCGCTGAGAAGACGGACCTGGCGCGCATCATCACGAAGGCCAAGGTCTTCAAGCTCGTGACAGAGGGCAAGGCCTGCGTGGGCTGCGTCTACGAGAAGGGCGGCCAGAACTTCCAGGAGTTCGGCCCCGTGATCCTCGCATCAGGCTCTGCAAACCTCGCTGTTGGGAGCCGAAGCCACCAGTACCATCATTGCAGTTTGTGAAAATTTTTTGGTGTGCTTGCCGGGTTCTGCAGCAGGCGGTTTCGGCGCCGACTTCACGCAGAACTCTTTGCTGGCCAAGTATCGCCCGGACCTGCTGCACCTGCCCACCACCAACGGCGAGCACTGCACGGGCGACGGCATCAAGATGGGCGAGGCGCGGTAGCTATCCGCAGCCTCCAACCCAAGACAGCTTGTACCCCAAGACAGCAGGTGCTAGAACGTACGGTACACCCCGTGAATCCCCATGAGGAGATCGGCGCGAAGACCATCGACCTGGAGTGGGTGCAGGTCCATCCGACCGGCCTCGTGAAGCCGGACGATGCCGATGCCAAGATCAAGTTCCTCGCCGCCGAGGCCCCTGCGTGAGCCTGCGCGAGCTGCACGCGTTCCCGCGTGTGCGTCCAATGCCTGGGCTTTACGCACGCTCCATGAGCGTGCGGCGACCGTGCGCCCATGTTGTCACCTGTGCGTCAGGCCCTGCGCGGAGTGGGCGGCATCATCCTGAACGCGGAGGGCAAGCGATTCTGCAACGAGCTGGGTCGTCCGGGCCTTAAGCTCTGCAAAGCGGTCCGCGACGTCAGCAAACACAAGCGCTTGGCAACATTGACTCACCGACTTGAGAAGTCGGTCAGGCCGTGACTACGTCACGGGCGAGATGTGGAAGAGCAAGCCGCCTTTCAGGCCGCTCGTTTCTTTTGTTGCTTGCGAGCCCTTATGTTTTTTTGTTTCATGGTTTTGCACTTCTTCTTTCCGCCATGCTGGCAGCCAGCTTCTGTGCAGGCTCTGCCTCAACAAGGCTGCTTCCGATGAGATCATCTGGCACTGCAAGCCACGCGCTTGGCAGTGTGCATATACTTATTATTACGATTATTATGATTATGATTATTATTATTACTACTACTATTACTACTATTAATATTCTGATTATTAATGATTACTATTGTTACTATTTCGTACTATTCTTCTTATTGTTTTTTTATTCTTATTCTTACTAATCTTCTTCTTATTGTCATTAATGCTTTTGTTATTATGATTATGATTATGATTATGATTATGGTTATGATTATGATTATGAATATTTGTATTACTATTATGATTAGCATTATTAATATTTTTTATCATTATTATTACAATTGTTATTGTTATTAGTATCAGTTTGACTATGTATTACCAGTATTGTTAGCTGCACCTCAAAGGAGTACAGAGGAATGATGCGCACCCGAGGCACTACACGGGCCGTGGTGTTTGGAGCTCAGCCGCCTCCAGAGTCTTTGGTCAAGTCTTTTCGGGATCTTCGGTAGGCTTGTTTTGCTGCCGGATGCAACCTTCCGCTTCAGGTCATGAAGTACTACGGCAGCGGCGCGGACCTCGCCAAGGACATGGGCATCTCCCTGTCCGTGATCGAGCAGGCGCACGAGGAGCACTTCCAAGCGGCCAAGAAGACGGAGACGCACCCTGACGACGGCCCCTACCCTGCGTACCCCTCCGGCAAGTGCTGGGACGAGGCCAGGGAAAGCTTGTACATGTGGAAGTGTCGACTCTAGCAGGGTCGTGCAATGTCGTGCAGATGTTCGGTTCAGTTCAGAGAATTGAAGCACCATCTGGCAGGCCAGCGGCAAGACGGGCAGCGGCAAGAAGTTCTTCCACAACATCATCCCTGGTGATGCCGTGAAGAACGAGCCGTTCTACGTGGCCATCATCACGCCGGTGATCCACTACTGCATGGGTGGACTGCTCATCGACACGGACTCCGCGTGCATCGGCTCGGACAACAAGGCGGTCCCGGGCTTGTATGCTGCTGGTGAGGTCGCCGGCGGCGTGCACGGCAACAACCGCCTGGGTGGCAACTCCCTGCTGGACTGCGTGGTGTTCGGCCGCGTGGCCGGCAAGGCAGCTGCCAAGTACATGCTGGGTGCGGACATGAAGGACGTGGACCTCAAAGAGATCACCGGCGGCGGCCTGACCGGTGCTGTGGAGAGCTCCAAGCTGGCCGGCGGCTCCTACGAGGACAAGATGAACTCTGCCGCGGCGCCTGCCGCAGGTGCCGCACCCGCGGCCGGTGGCGGCGGTGGCGGGGGCATGACCCTTGCCGACGTTGCCAAGCACAACACCAAGGCGGACTGCTGGGTGGTGGTCGACGGCCAGGTGCTGGACGTCACCAGCTTCTTGTCGGAGCACCCCGGCGGCGAGCTGGCCATCCTCACCTTCGCCGGCAAGGACGCCACGGAGGAGTTCAACATGACACTTGACTGCAGAAGCTGATCGTGTGTCCTTTGGCGTTGTTTGAGTACTCTGTATGTAAATTGCTACCGAAGGATCCACCCTCCGGACGTGATTGGCAAGTACGCCCCCGACTCCGTGATCGGCATGATCGGCGGCGGTGGTGGTGGAGGCGGTGCTGTGGCTGCTGCCGGCGGAGGCGGCGGCGGTGGTGGCGGCATCCCCATGACGGAGGTGGCCAAGCACAACACCAAGGCGGACTGCTGGGTCGTGGTCGATGGCCAGGTGCTGGACGTCACCAGCTTCTTGTCGGAGCACCCTGGTGGCGAGCTGGCCATCCTCACCTTCGCCGGCAAGGACGCCACGGAGGAGTTCAACATGCTTCTCGGTTGAGAGATGGTCTGCCAAGCTTATGCGGACTCGTCATCGCTGACAAAAACCCACACTTTCCCGGGCCAGCTCCTTGTACCCCACCCCAATCCACCCCACCTGCAGCAGCGTAGCCTAGGATCCACCCTCCTGACGTCATCGGCAAGTACGCCCCCGACTCCGTGATCGGCGCCGTGGGCTCTGGCGTGGCTGCCGCAGCCAGCGCCGCCCCCAAGGCCGGCGGCGGCGGGCCCATCAGGACCCCATGGCAGTGAGTGATGTAAGCTTAAGATGTTAGAGCCAAGACTTCAAAAGCAGAGCAGGTCCGGCAAGAAGCAGAGCAGGTCCGGCAAGAAGCAGAGAGAAAGGTACTGCCACATGACAAGACAACGATCGATCCGATACCATGAGTGAGCGGGAGGGAGGGAGAGAGAGAGTGAGAGAGGGAGCGAGAGACTGAGGAGAAGAAGAAGAGTGAGTGAATGAGTGAGTGAGGGGGGCACCACTTCCAAGCTGCACGCGCGCCCTGTGTTCAGGGTGCACGCGCCGTTTGTGTCCAAGGTGCACACGCAAAAACCCTAAGCCTTAAACCCTCAACAACCCTGAGCCCTAAACCCTTAAGCCTTAAACCCTAAAAAACCCTAAGCCCTAAACCATACAAAGCCCTGAGCCCTAAACCCTAAACCCTAAACCCTAAACCCGAAACCCTAAACCCCTAAACCCGAAACCCGAAAACCCTGAACCCAAAACCCCTAAACCCTCAACCCTGAGCCCTAAACCCTAAGAACCCTACGCCCTAAACCCTAAACATCCCTGAGCCCTGAACCCTAAGGCCGACAGCCCTCAAACCTAAGGCCGAAACCCTAAACTGAGCCCGAAAACCCTGAACCCTAAACCCCTAAACCCTAAACCCTAAACCCTCAACCCTAAGTCGGCTGACCCCGAGCCTTCGCGGAGCGGCACTTCCAAGCTGCACGCGCCCTCAATTCCCTGAGCAGCCACCCTCAACCCAAGAAAACTGTAGCTGAGAAAGTTTCCGGAATCCGAAAGCTTCGAAATACCTGGTAACAGCCAATCAAAACAAAGCGCGTGTGCGGCCTGGACGCGGGTAAAGACGCGGGTAAAGACGCGGGCACCTTTGACATGCGTGCGCCTTGGACGGTCTGGCCAGTGAGTGAGTGAGTGAGTGAGGGTCGGGTAGGGCAGTGCCGGTCGGGGGTGGGTGTCGGGCTCCGCTCACTTTTCAAGCCGAATCAAGAGCAACGAGAGTACGTGAGACACAGAGTGAGATGACGGGATGTTGCGCATGTGCAAACCGTTGTTTGCATTCTCGGGCACCAGGAAGGACACGGGCAGCAAGCTCGGCAACCACCAGGCTTGGGGCCATCTGGACGGCGCGAACAACTGGCGCGTGGACCTGGACGAGAACCCAGGCGCGGCAAAGCCAAACACATCGCACGGTAGGATGTCTCGTGTGCAGTTTGCTGTTGCTCGAATGCATGCCGCCGGCGACTGCAGGCGTCCTGCTCATCAACGTGAAGTCCTACTTCAACGCGACCTGGTTCTTCCTTCTCGCGGTGTTGTACGCAGCGCGGCTGATCACACTAAAGGCCTTGCACCAGGCTTACACTGTTGTTGTATGGCTGTAGCTCAGCGGCAATCTCCGCATGTTTATTCAGCTTGTCACCAAGGAAGTTTGTGCCACGATTTTCTCCGCCAAGAATCTTCCACCGCCAACAGTAGCACGTTGAGTGCCATCGTTTTTGGTTTGTGTACATGGTGGCCATTGCCATGTACCCAAGAAATACCCAGTGCCCTACATTCCAAATTGAAACGTCTGTTTCTGTGGAGCCAGTAAAGACAAAAAAGGAACATCAAGATCTCCAACGACCGATTGGGTCTGACGCGCAGCGCCATCTTGCTGATCTTGTTCATCGTCATCCACGCAGTGGGAAACCTCCACGTCTTCAAAGGCTGGATGTCGCAAATCAATTTGTTGTAGTTTGTTCCTGTCCTGGCTGCAACCTGAAGTAACGACTCCGCCCTGACAAATGTGCAGGCCCGGATGATTTCAACGGCTACGGCTACTTCTACGTGCGCCTCTACTGGACGGGCTTCGGCCTGCCGGCCAACATCGTGGAGGAGTACATTCTCCTGTCCGTGCTGCTCCACGTCTTCGTGGGCCTGAAGCGAACCTGGGACATGAAGCTGGCGCTGGTGCAGACTCAGGGCATCAACGTCCTGAACCTGGCCATCTCCGGCCTGATGCTCCTGACCTTCATGACCATCCACCTCTTCCAGTTCCGCTTCGGCGACACCGACCAGTTCGGCCCCTACTACATCCGGCCGCCACCTTACCTCATCAACTTCTGGGGCATCTCCTCCCTGAACCTCTTCTGGACCAGCGAAGACAGCATCGAGCCCGTCGGCGTGCGCGACATCTACGCGCGGTTCTAAGCTGAAGGCCAACACCCTGAATCAGGAAAGCGCCTAGAAGAGCCTGAGTGCAGATCACCCAGTCTCACTGCCCAAGCCCGCAGCCCTTAAGAAGACCTAAACCCCTAACCCCTAAACCCGAAACCCTAAACCCTAGACCCGAAACCCTAAACCCTAAACCCCCAGACCCTGTAGCCTTGGCAAAGCTGAGGCCCTGGAGTTTCAAATTTTCAAGAACCCACTGTGGTCCTTCTTCTACATCTTCTCAGTGCTCCCTGCCTTCAGAACGGCGCAACCCCGTTGTTTTGCTCTTTTAATTGTAGTTGTTTTTTGTGTTTTAGGGTTGCTCTGGGAGTTTGGGGTTGAAGGGTCCAGGGTGTTTGGGCTTATAAAGGTCTAGGGGCTGCGGCTGCGGATATTGTTGTTGGCTTTGAAGAGTCTTGTGTGTCTTGTGTGTCGCCGCAGCGACGGCTCCATCCTCCTAAGACCTAAGCCCTGCACCGCTTCATGGGGTTTAGGGGTTTAGGGTTTGAATTGAGGGCTGAGGGTTGAGCGTTGAGCTTTAGGGCCCTGAAAACCACACCCTAAACCCCATGCTCCATCAGTCCCTAATCCTCATATGCCACATGGGAGGAAACCCTCAGCGGAGCCCAAAGCCCCTAATTCTGAGGGGTCTCAGGGTTTTCAGCACACAGGTTCATCTTCATGTACCACGCCTGCGTTGGCTGGAAGAAGGTGGGGAGTTGGCAGGGTTTGGGCTTTCCGTAGTGATTCTTTGGAACTTTTTTTTTTAAATAAATTTTTGAGGATAAACTTACAATTTTGCTAGGGTTCCAAGTTTCTAAGTGGCGCCTTGAGGGTATGGTGGCCAGTGGGGTTTATTGGATCTCCATGTGTGACATGTCCTTCCTACCGGCCCGCCCTAAGCTCTAAACCCTAAACCCTACACCCCAAACCCCTAAACCCCAAACCCCAAACCCTAAACCCTAAACCCTAAACCCTAAACCCTAAACCCTAAACCCTAAACCCATAAGGAAAGCAAACGTGGGCCCCCCTTGTCGGCAAATTGCGCCTAAACCGAAAGAGACCCTATTCCAACCCTACTTTACCCGTAACCCCCTGACCCTCACGTAAACCCTCCATAAACCCTACACAGACCCTTGTTTTAAGCCCCACTGAAGCCGCCTAAACCCTAAACCCTAGACCCCAAACCCCGAACCCCGAACCCCGAACCCCGAACCCTAAACCCTCAACCCTAGACCCTAAACCCTACACCCTAAACCCTAAACCCTAAACCCTAAACCCTACACCCTAAACCCTAAGCCTCAGGTGACGCCCGTGCTTGGCATCCCCAGAGGCCACATCTGGCGGGTGGAGCTCATCGGCTACGGCATCATGCGCCCTGGCTTTTGGGGTTTAGGGTTTAGGGTTTAGGGTTTAGGGTTGCAGGGTTGTAGGGTTGTAGGGTTGAGGGCCCCTGAGCCCAGAGCCCTCAACCCTAAACCCTAAAATCCCAAACCCTAAAATCCCAAACCCTAAAGTCCCAAACCCTAAACCCTAAACCCTAAGCCCTAAACCCTAAACCCTAAACCCTATACGCTAACCCCTGACCCCTAAACCCTAAACCCTAAACCCTAAACCCCAAACCCTAAACCTAGGTTTCGGGTTTGGATGTGATAGGGCAGCAAGAGCTGACTGTGATTCGTGGTAACGAACCTCCTGTCCCGGCTGATGTGAGGGTTTAGGGTTTAGTGTTTAGGGTTTAGGGTTTAGGGTCTAGGGTTGAGGGCCGAAGGTCGAGGGTCGAGCGTTTGGGGTCTGGGCGTCAGGGTTCAAGGGGGTCGAACTTGCACCCCTAAGGATGTGCCCCTAACTGGTTCCCTTAATAATAGCCCTGCTAGGGCCCTTGCATTTTCTTCGGGGGATCTTTAAAAGGCGCCCCCCCCAAACCCAAGGGTAGGGGTCCTTGGTAGAGTCCCATGAAGGGTTTCGCACGCGGCAAGCTCCAAAGGTGTTTAGGGTTTAGGGTTTCCCGAACTCCCAAGTTCTGGACCCCCCCCACCATCATCATGGAGTCACGGGTTGAGAGGTTTAGGGCTCTAGGGTTCTAGGTTTTGGGGTTTTCATGGTGTGAGGGTTTCAGGGTTTCGGGGTTTTAGGTCTTTTGTTTGGGTTCAGGATGTGATCATGGAGCTGCCACTTATCCTAGGGTCCTTAAGAGAAGGGGGGTTCAAGGGGGGGAAGGGACCGAGGGAAGCTTAGGGAGCCTTGCGGAGTGGTGGGGAGGATTTGTTTTTTAAAGGGAAGCTCGGGTTAAAGGCACCCCTTGAACTCCCTGCTTCTGCGGATGCCTTACCGCCAGTAAAGGGGATTCCGAAGTATGGGGCCTTGGGTCTTCTAGGGTAGATAAAGGGGTGTATGGGTGTATAGGGCCCCCTTTTAAGGGGCCCATATTGAGGGACCATAGCAGTTGCCCAACCACAACAAGACTCGCTGAGGGACCCTGCAATCTTAGGATTGTCATGGGCCTGGTCTATATCTCCTTCCCGCTCTACGTCATGGCCACCAAGCCCTTCGGAGGACCGCCTCTTGCGCCCCAAGCCCTAAGCCCTAAGCCCTAAGCCCTAAGCCCTAAGCCCTAAGCCCTAAGCCCTAAACCCTAAACCCTAAACCCTAAACCCTAAACCCTGCACCCCAAACCCTCAACCCTAACCCCTCGAAACCCGACACCCTCAAAAGCCCCCAAAGGTCACAGAAAGGCCAATGAAAGGGTTTCAGGAGGTTCATAAAGGGTATGGAAGGGGCCAGGGAAGGGTTCAGGGCTTTGGGTTTTGGGTTCTAAACCCCCAAGCCCTCAAGACCATGACTCAAAGAGGACGAAAAGATTGCGGGTTTCCCTTCATAGTGGGATCAAAGGGGTCCAGAAGGGTTCAGGCTTGGTCAAGTGCCAACACCTGGAGTGTTACTCAAATTGATGGTGCTTTCTTGAGCGCCGTGTCCCTTCCATTTTTAGGGCAGAGGCCGAACCATTGAAACCCCAAACCCGAAAACCAAGAATCCTAAGGGCCTAAGCCCTAAGCCCAAAGCCCAAGCCCAAAACCCTAAACCCTAAGCCCAAAAGGGTACGAGATGGGCATCCAGACTCCGGGACGCGCGGAGTGAGAGGCGTCGACTTCCATCTGAAAGGGTTCAGGGTGTAGGGTTTCGGGTCCAGGTTTTGAATTGGGGTTTAGGGTTTAGAGTTTAGGGTTTAGGTTTGAGGGTTGAGGGTTTAGGATTTAGGGTTTAGGGTTTCGGGTTTAGGTTTTGTGGTTTAGGATATGGCCGTTTCCCTCAATTAGGGTTTTGGGGTTTAGGGTTGTGGGGTCTTGGGCCCGACGTGCCAGAGCAGGCACAAATTGATCGTAATTCAGAGAACCGACCACGCCTGGCATCATGTCACATTGCATGCCAGCCGAAATTTGAGACTTCCACATGTACTTTGTGACGTGCAGGAGTATATGACGTCAAGTCATCCGGGTTTTCGGCTGTTGTGGATCTATCGGGTCCTGAAGGGAGGGGTTCATGGGGGGTAACCTTAGGAGCCTTAGGGAATAGTCGGGAACCCTAAACCCTAAACCCCTCAACCCTAAACCCTAAACAACAAACCCTAAACCGTAAACCCTAAACCCTATAAACCCCAAACCCCTAAACCCCCAAACCCCTAAACCCCTAAACCCCAAACCCCAAACCCTAAACCCTGAACCCCTAAACCCTAACCCCTAAACCCTGAACCCACTAAACGAAATTCCACCCCGAATACTTTCTCGTCCGATCTTGTCAGCAGAGTCAGAAACCCCAAACCCCGAAGTACCCTCCCCCAGGGGCACCGGTCCTCTCGGTGGCGCGGTCGGCTCTTGTGAGCCGAGCGGCGACGCCTTCGCGACCAAAACCAGCAAAGTTGGTCCAAGCTTGAGCATTACTTGGGGTTTAGGGTTTCGGGTTTCGGGTTTAGGGTTTAGGGTTTTGGGTTTAGGGTTTAGGGCTTGGGGTTTAGGGTTTAGGGCATGGGGTTTAGGGTTTAGGGTTTAGAGTTTAGGGTTAGTTCGGCTCACATCGTCGGATTCTTAAGGGAGGGGGCTTCAAAGGGGAGATGTAACCCAAGGTTCCCTAAAAATCTCTCACTACTCCCGAAGGTTCCCTAAGGTTCCCTAAGCTTCCCCAAGGTTCCCCAGGTACCTACCCCCCTCATGAACCTCCTCTCCCTTATGGGCTGGGTAGTTAATCTTTAAGCCTTTGGTCAAAAGTAATCCTATTACAAATAAACGGTTAACATTATTTGGGCTAGGGCATTCAGCCCCGAAGCAGAGTAGGCTGAGGTACTAAACACGTTTAAAATTGTGAACTATCACTTCGTTAGTTATTGCAATTTGTTATTACGATTATGTGCGATTGGTTTTACTATTAGTCTTCTAGCATAAGCATTATCGTGTATGAATGACTTAAGTTTTCCGCGTTGGTATCGTTATCAGGGGTTGTAGTTTCTGATAGCAACAACGATGCTTCGTGTTTAGGTTCTGAGTCTTGGGAGATCTGGCTGAGATTTCTTTAGGGGTCTGAGGGCCAGTGATTTGTAGAGAGCTAGACCCTAAACTCTAAACCCTAAACCGTGAAGGGTTGCACTCTTTGTGGCTCCAGGGCGACAGGCTTGGGCCGCAGCCCCGGATGCAAGTATCCCTAAACCCTAAACCCTAAACCCTAAACCCTAAACCCTAATCCCCAAGCATCCTAAGCATACCAACCATCCTGGGCCCTCAGCCCCTAATCTCCTCAACCCCAGACCTCCCAACCTCGCAGCCCCCGGGGCCCCTCTCCAAGTGAAGCCCTGAGAGCCCCCCAGCACCCTAAACCTTCTTAAGCCGGGTTTAGACTTCAGGGTTCAGGGTGAATATAGGGTTTAGGATTCAGGGTTTAGGGTTCAGGTTTCAGGGTTCAGGGTTTACGGTTTAGGGTTCGCCCTGAAGTCCAAAAAAGCCTTCCTGCATGCTGGCTATTTCGATCAACTTGGGCTCTGGACCTTTGCCGTGTTTCTGGAGCATGGAGGCTTGTGAGGGTTTCGGGTTTAGGGTTTAGGGTTTAGGGGTAAGGAGTTAACGGATGCGTTTAGGGCCGAGTTTAGAGCTTGTCGGGTTTAGGGGTTTAGGGCTTAGGGGATGCTTGTAAGGGTTTAGGGTTTAGGGTTTAGGGTTTAGGGTTTAGGGTTTAGGGTTTAGGGCTCAGGGTGTGTTTCTGGAGCATGACGTCGTTCAGGGCTCTTTCAGAGCTTATCAGGCTCAGGCGCGTAGGAGGGCCCAGTGTCTTGAAGTTGGCTTCGGGGTTTAGGGTTTAGGGTTTGGGGTTTAGGGTTTAGGGTTTAGGGTTTGGGGTTTAGGGTTTAGGGTTTAGGGTTTGGGGCTTAGGGTTTAGGGTTTAGGGCCTTTATGGAAGTTGAGGGCCTCTCCGCCGCTTGGAGATGCTTCGAGTTTGGGCCGTGTCGGGCAAGGAGCTCGCGGCAATCCCGGTGGAGGATCTGAGCAACGTCTGGGCCCTGAAGCAGCAGCTGCGCGAGGTCTGCGAGCACCCGGCGTCGCTCCAGCAGCTCATGCATGAGGGCGCCTCTTTGGAGGATCGCGTCCGGTTAGATGCGCCCATGGACGTTCAGCTGGTTTTGCTGCCCTGGGATCGGACTTTTGAGCAGAAGCGCAAGATTTCGTCAGAGTTATGGGAAGGCTGCGACACAGGCCACGAGAAGCTTGTTCGGATTGTGCTGAAAACCGGAGTGGGCATGGGGTGCCTTTACTTCAACCCTTCTGACCATGTCTACTACTATCCTCTGGATGTGGCGTCTCGCAATGGCCATGTGGAAGTTGTTCGGGTTCTGCTAGCGCATGCTTATCCGACGTCCATCGACGTGGGAAGCAGTTTGGAGAAGGCATCCAGCAATGGCCACGTGAAAGTTGTTCGGCTCTTGCTTGAAGCCCCAGAGGCTCTTCGTGACATCCTTGACATCTTCTGGATCGGCCACTCTCTTGAGGCGGCATCTGCGAATGGCCACGCGGAAGTTGTGAGCCTTCTGTTGGGAGCGCTGAGCAGCAGAGCGGAGGCAGGTCGACAAAGCTTCGGCGATGAGATGGGCAGGTGGAAAGATCGAGCTCTTTGTATGGCATCTTACAGAGGCCGCGTGGAAGTCACCCGGCTCCTGCTGGCAGCTGGTACGGCTCCGGACTCCCGCGACAGGGCGCTCTGCAAAGCCTGCGGTGGAGGCCACGCGGAGGTCGCCAGCTTGCTGCTTGCGGCGGGCACACGACGGCACAAGCGCTCCAGGGCTCTTGTCAAGGCCTGTGGCCGAGGCCACGTAGAAGTCACACAGCTCCTGTCGAAACCGGGCGTTGCCACTCACAAGGACCTGCGCAGGGCCTTTGCTCAAGCATCAGGCCGTGGACACCTGGACGTTGAGCGCGTCCTGAGGAAGGCCTCTGCCACCCTGAAGGCGGGCGAGAGCACGCTTGCCCAAGGCCTGGGGCGCCGCTTGAAGGCAGCGCGGCTCGGGGCAAAAAGCGCCGTGAAGCTGCCCTAAGAAGCTGCCCTAAGAAGCTGCCCTAAGAAGCTGCCCTAAGCAGTCCTTGATTTCTCCCTGAATCCTAAGCCTTTCCGCTCAGGCTTACTCTAAGGTTTTGGGAACGTACGTAGGGACTGGGGAGCTGAAGGCATCGGTTTTAAGGACGCGTGGGTTTGGGGTTTAGGGTTTAGGGTTTAGAGTTTAGGGTTGAGGCTCGATTTTGATCATGACAGTTCTCTCCCCCCAACCCTCGCTGTCATCGAACATGCCCAAAACATTCCAAGACTGCCTGAACCAACCCCAAACTCTAAACCCTAAACCCTAAACCCCAAACCCTAAACCCCAAACCCCTAAACCCATGCCCGCCAGAGCCATTTTTTCTTTTAAGAAGAGGGGAGCCGAGACTTGGAAGATCCTCCCAACTTTGGTCGAAGTTTGGGCCCAAGGAGATCAGGGGGTTTAGGGTTTAGGGTTTAGGGGTTAGAGTACAGGGTTTAGGGTTAAGGTTTTAGGGTCTGGGGGTTTGGAGATTCGGGTGTTTGGGCTTCAAGGCCTTGGAGCTTTAAGGTTTCAGGGCTTTAGAAACAGGTGCAGGTTTCGGATAGAGGGTTCAGGGTCCATGTTCTGGCTTTCACTTGTGCAGCAGACTCAGAAGCAGCACGTGGAACACACATTCTGGGTGGTAGCTTGATCTCGCATCACCTGGTATGACGACGCAGGTCCCGGCCGAGCGAGGTCGCAGCGTTGATAGTAAACATCAGTGGCGGAAGTGCAGAGTAAATGTGAAATCCCAATGTGGGCGCCGGCACGTCGGTGTCGGTGTGAAACACACAATACATGGCGAAGCTGTTGTTTTTGACAACTGTTTTACAGCAACTCTGCTTGCCTGCTGGTGGCAGCCCCGAGACGACGCCCGGTCGGCGCACCCACCCCAGATGCATCGTGCGATCTTCGGAGCGCATCTGGCCAAATTGCCCACAGAGCGATTCCCCCCCGATGAGGACGCTCCCCACAAATTGGACACAACAACCTTTCAACGATTCGATGTGCCCAGTGGCGAGAGAACCTGAAAGGACGGCAGAAGAAGGTGGTTAAGACATCCAGGTGGTGTAGAGGGTCTACTTACGGTCTACTTACGGGTTGTTAGATGGGAATCAGTCAATCAAGTCCCCTGAAGGGATGGTATAGGGGATACCAAGCACGTAGTTCCTGAATTCCCTACGAAGAACTCGCAAGTTCAGGGATCTGCGCTTTCCAGGTGCCACAGCTGAATCAAAGCTGTTAGACTGTGGAGCTGCCGAAGCCTTAAACCGCTACGGTCCTCACTAAGCCAAGGGGTCCGGAATGCCCGAAACTCCGTAGTGGCACCAAGGTTTTCCTTACTTTCTTCAAGGCCTTGGTTCCCTCTGAGCCCGTCTGAAGCAAGGTGGCCTCCTAGTGTTTTCCGAGATTTGTCTCTGGAGAACGGAGGGCCCTGGTAAGCTCTCAGAAGCCCCTGGCAAGTTGCAGCAAGAAGCCAAAGCAGACGGAGGTTTTGCAAGTGGAGACCATGGCGTCCTCCTTCCCCACCAACCAAGCGATTGTTGTCGGTGGCGGCCTGGGAGGTTCGGATCCTCAGGGGAAGGTTAGGTTTCTTGGAGGTCGTCGGTGTTCAGGGTCCAGACTCTACTTGGCTTCCCCTAAACCCCAAGCCCCTACACTCCAAAGGTTGCAGTCAGAGATATGTCAGGTAGGTGTCTGTCGACCACGAGGAGAAACCCCAAACCCTAAACCCCCAACCCTCAAACCCCAAACGCTCGAAGCCCCAACCCCAACACTCGAAGCCCCAAGCCCCAAGCCCCAAGCCCCAAGCCCCAAGCCCCAAGCCCCAAGCCCCAAGCCCCAAGCCCCAAGCCCCAAGCCCCAAGCCCCAAGCCCCAAGCCCCCCAAGCCCCCCCAAGCCCCAAGCCCCAAGCCCCAAGCCCCAAGCCCCAAGCCCCAAGCCCCAAGCCCCAAGCATGCAAGCCTGAAGCGCTCAGGACCAAAACGCCCCGAACCCCCCAAAGCCTTTAGGCAGGAGCGCGCGAACCCTCCTCAAGCCAGAAAATTCTCAAGCCCTAAGCCATAACGTGTAAGGAAGGAGGAGAGTGTAGTCTCGCGCTCTTAAGGGGGCTTTGAGGCATGTCTGCCGCAAACACCGTCGTCGAGCACGGCGGAAGGGTGGTTTTGCTTGCCGCGACCTTAAATGACAAGGGTTTAGGGCTTGGCAAGAAAGGTAAGGCGCCCCGAAGCCCCCCTCTTCTACTTGCTAAACCATTACTTTTTTCGGGGGCGGGGAGGAGGCGGGGGGGGGGGTTGAATGGACGGGGTGGGTTCTTTTCCTAAAACCCTAAACCCCAAACCCCAAACCCCAGACCCTAAACCCTAAACCCTAAACCCTAAACCCTAAACCCTAAACCCTAAACCCTAAACCCTAAACCCTAAACCCGAAGCGTTCGATGATGCCAGTTACCTGGGGCCCCTAAACCTTGCAAATAAGCCCGGCATCCCCGAGGCTGAAACCTTAAACCCTGCACCTTCAAACCCTAAGCCCTTGACCCTAAAACCCAAAACCCTACACCCCAAGCCCTAAGCCCAAAACCCTAAACCCTAAACCCTAAACCCTAAACCCTAAACCCTAAACCCTAAACCCTAAACCAAGACCCTAGACCAAAAACCCCGACACACTAAGCCCTAAACCCACAAATTCTTCCTTGGCCCACAAACCTAGACCTAGACCTAGACTCCCAAAACCCTGAAAACCATTTTGACAATTTGGGGGTGCTCGACACGCTGGCTTCATCAACCTGTTGGGGCTATCCCAAAGCCTCAACCTGCTCCCCTAGATCCCTAAACCTTAAACCCTGAACCCTAAACCCTAAACCCTAAAACCCTAAACCCTAAACCCTAAACCCTAAGCCCTAAGCCCTAAGCCCTAAGCCCTAAGCCCTAAGCCCTAAGCCCTAAGCCCTAAGCCCTAAGCCCTAAGCCCCAAGCCCTACACCCCAAACCCCGAACCTGGATCCCTGAACCCTCAGCCCACCAGTCCGATCACGTGTTCAGACCCCACATCGAATCATAAACCTGGGGTACGCCCTCCATGAGTGCAGTCCTGTTTTGTAAGTCGTGATCTTGTTTGGGGTTCCTATTTCAAGACGAAACCCGGTCTTTCTATTTAAGGTACCCAAGGCCACCAAGTAGAGAACTGACCGTGAGGATAAGTCATCTTTCTGCGGTGGCAACAGCACCAAAGCCACCTCCGGCATCAACGGCGCAGGAGGGTCTCAAGCGTTTGTTCCCGAAGCCCCAAACAAGAAACCCCCTAAACCCTAAACCCTAAGCCCTAAAACCCTAAAACCCCAAAACCAAAAACCTTAAACCCTAAACCCTCAACCCGAAACCCTAAACCGCAACCTCAAGGAGTGAAATCCCTCAGCCCTCAAATCGGCTGGGGGGAGCCTTTATCCCGACAAGGGCTTGGTGTTTGGGGTTTGGGGTTTCGGGTTTCGGGTTTGGGGTTTAGGGTTTAGGGTTTAGGGTTTAGGGTTTGGGGTTTGGGGTTTGGGGTTCAGGAGCGCCGGGCAGCTTTTTTGGGAATACACTACGTGTACCACTCTGGATGAATATGGGGAAATGCTTTCTTGAGCTTTGTTGGAGGAGCTGGCAGGCGGAGGGGGGTTCTTGCTCTTGAGGATGCCCGGAGGATGCCAAACATATGCCAGAGAACCCGAGTCCAAACCCCTAAACCCTAAACCCTAAACCCTAAATCCTAAACCCGAAACCCTAAACCCTAGACTTTAAACCCTAAACCCTAAAACCTAAACCCTAAACCTAAACCCTACACCCTAGACCCTAAACCCTAGTTCCAAAACACCGGGGCAGGCACGAAGACGCAGAAGGCCAAGGGCATCCCCGACAACGCAGACATCTTCACCCAGGCGCGCTACAGTAAGGGTTCTGGCTTGAGTGGGTTTGGGGTTTAGGGTTTAGGATTTATTGACATTATTCAGGATTCAGGTCCGTGGAAGTTTCGGGAAAGTTTCGAGGAGTTTCGTTTTTTGACTTTTGATTTCCAGTCAGGGGCTTGAGGGTTTAGGAGCTTAGGGTTTAGGCTTCAAGTGGGGGTTGAGAAGGCCGCCGATAACGCTTTTTGGTTAGGTGCCCTCATGAACCTCATGAGGACCTGCCGCCCCCCCCCCGGCTTCCAGCACCTTAAACCGTCATCCCCGAAACCCTAAACCCCTGAACCCTAAAACCCAGGCCCTAAACCCTAAACCCTAAACCCTGAACCCTGAACCCTAAACCCTGAACCCTAAACCCTAAACCCTAAACCCTAAACCCTAAACCCTAAACCCTAAAATCGCTCGGCAGGACACCTTGAAGGGCGGTGCCAAGAAGCCCGAGTTGGCCAAGCCAGAAGCTTGGAGGGCTCATGTGCAGCCCTGGACCCAAACCCACGGTTTAGGGTTTAGGGTTTAGGGTTTAGGGTTTAGGGCCTGCGATCCCTACAATCTAAGAATAAGAGCACTTCAGCGTTTCAGGGTTTCGGGCCTTAGGGTTACGGGGCTTAGCGCTGGGGTTTCGGGTTTAACAGGAGGCTGTCGGGGCCTCTCGAGCCCAGAAAGCTCGATGGTCTAAGGGCCGAACACAACTCAAGACCCTTGAGCCTCAAACCCACCCCCAACAAAAGCCCCCAACATTGCTGAACTCTGGCTTAGCCAGCGTCACAGGCTGTGAATCATCTGCCTCTCTGTGCTGCGTTTTTCTGTGAGCCCCAAGCCCTAACCCGAAACAGCATAAACCCCTGGACCCTGCGACTCTCCCTAGACCCACACACCCAAGACTCCCCAAACTACCCCGAAACCTAAACCCTAAACCCTAAACCCTAAACCCCAAACCCCAAACCCTCAACCCCAAACCCCAAACCCCAAACGCGCTCGAGGCTGCTGTGCGTTAACAGCGCTGCAGACGTGGACTCCTGACGGCCGAGAATTTTTTTAGGGGGCCCAGGAGTTTCAGGGTTCTGCTTAATATAGGGGCTTTAATAATTCTAATGTAGGATTTAGGGTTTAGGATTGAGGGTTTAGGGTTTAGGCGAGAGTTCAAATATAGAGGGACAGTAAGGGAATACTATTAGTAATTCTTCCGACCCCAATAATATGGTGCCTGGCGAGGCACCCTACATACCATATTCCGGGACACAACAGCTCTCATGAACAAGCCCCAAGCCCTAAGCCCCAGAGCTTCAGAAATCAGAGGTTAGGGTTTAGGGTGGAATGTTTAGGGTTTAGTGTCTTGGGTTCAAGGTTCGGGGTTTAAGGTGGACTGTTCAGGGCTAAAGGCGGAATGTTAAGGGTTTCAGGTGGGGACTGGGCATTTCTGAGGGTTGCTGAGAGTAGAGTCTAGGGTCAGGTTAGGGCTTGGGGATTACATCGCTTTTTTTGGTTTCTATGGTTGGCGGTTTCGGGCGTCTGTAGGTTTTGTGAAAGGGGTTTCTGCTCCTTGGTGCCTACCGACCCAGGATTGGCTGGTGGAGAAGTTCAACCTGGACCTGTCCCTCAAGCTCTGCAATGCCTGCCCCAACTCGAACCCCCCCCCCCCTCGAACGCCCCTTAAACCCTAAGCCCTAAGCCCTAAGCCCTAAGCCCTAAGCCCTAGGCCCTAAGCCCTAAGCCCTAAGCCCTAAGCCCTAAGCCCTAAGCCCTTAAACCGTAAACCCTAGGAACCCTAGGATGCTAAAAACCCTCAACAGCCTCAGGCACAACTCAAAACCCTGCAAGCCCTACGAGTGAGGAGGCCGTAGGCATGACGCCAGGTGAACCCGAAACGCTAAACATCCAAAAAGCTCCAAGCCCTGGGTATCCTAGATCCTCAGCCCTAAACCCTAAACCCTAAACCCTAAACACTAAACCCTAAACCCTAAACCCTAAACCCTAAACCGCTTTGAGGCTTCAGGGAGTTGGGCCTCTATCCGCTTTTCACAAGGTTTGCGGAGTGTTGGGGGGGGGGGGATGCGGGTTGAGGCGGTCGCCAAAAGAACTCCAGACACATTTTTGGTAGCTTCCTGCTACATCCCTAAAGCCTTCAACCCCCTAAACCCTAAGCCCCCTAAACCCTAAGCCCAAAACCCTAAACCCTAAACCCTAAACCCTGAACCCTGAACCCTAAACCCTAAACCCTAAACCCTAAACCCTAAACCCTAAACCCTAAACCCCTCTGGAGATTTTTACTGGTTCATGAGGCACGCAGACCTTAAAAGAGGGGCTCGGGAGTACGTCTGCAAGCCCAGGTCGCTCGTGGCCCGTTTGGGCGGCCACTCCCAACCCCGTACCCACCGAGGCAAGGAGCGCTTCCCCGGCCCCTTGGATTAGGGGTTTAGGGTTTAGGGTTTAGGGTGTCGGGGTGTGTGGAGGGGTTTGTGGGTGTGTCCTTTTGGGGGTTTTTTGACGTTCAGGGAAAAAATGGTAAACAGGGGGGTTCACTAAGGCATGACCATCACCTACGCCCTGATCCAGATGCTGGAGAAGGCCAGGAGGAGGAGTTTCGGGCACAATGTCGTTTCCTAGATTTGCATGCGATGAAGGTCGCCTTAGCCTTGCTTCGCCGCAGGTCGCGGAGAAGACGGACCTGGCGCGCATCATCACGAAGGCCAAGGTCTTCAAGCTCGTGACGGAGGGCAAGGCCTGCGTGGGCTGCGTCTACGAGAAGGGCGGCCAGAACTTCCAGGAGTTCGGCCCCGTGATCCTCGCATCAGGCTGGGCGGGGTGCCATGAGCCATGAGCAGCTTTGTGTGCATGCCGTTTGTGAATTTTGTGGTGTGGGAGTCTGTGCTTGCCGGGTTCTGCCGCAGGCGGCTTCGGCGCCGACTTCACCCAGAACTCCCTGCTGGCCAAGTATCGCCCGGACCTGCTGCACCTGCCCACCACCAACGGCGAGCACTGCACAGGCGACGGCATCAAGATGGGCGAGGTGCCGTAGTTATCCGCAGCTTCCATCCAAAGACAGCATGTGTTATCGAATAGTTTTATCCTACACCCTGTGAATACCCATGAGGAGATCGGCGCGAAGACCATCGACCTGGAATGGGTGCAGGTCCATCCGACCGGCCTCGTGAAGCCGGACGATGCCGATGCCAAGATCAAGTTCCTCGCCGCCGAGGCCCCCGCGTGCGCCTGCTCGAGCGCCTGCACGTGTTCCCGCGCATGTGTCCAAAGCCTGGCCTGTGCACCCGCTCGCCCATGAGCGTGCGACAAACGCGCGCCCGTGTTTTCACCTGTGTGTCAGGCCCTTCGCGGCGTGGGCGGCATCATCCTGAACGCAGAGGGCAAGCGATTCTGCAACGAGCTCGGCCGCAGGGGGCCCCGGCTGAGCTTCGCTTGATCTCAGGGCGCAAACCATCGTGGGCAGAGCCTTTTCTGTATGCCCCAAAAGCTAATTAGGCCGCGACTACGTCACGGGCGAGATGTGGAAGAGCAAGCCGCCTTTCAGGCGTGCTAGCATGTTACCGCTCGGTTGGCTTGGCTGATAGGCGCTGATAGGATAGGATTTGATAGGCGCTCTTTTTGTGCCCTTCTCGTGCTGGTAGCCATGCGCAGGCTGTGCCTCAACAAGGCGGCCTCTGACGAGATCATCTGGCACTGCAAGCCTTGCGCTTGGCATCGTGTGATCGGGACGCCGCGGCAGAGCGCCAGCTGCATCTGCACACGATGTGCAGCCAAGGCACTACACCGGACGTGGTGCTGAGAGCTCAGTCGCCTCTAAAGCTCTCCTGATCCTCGCTGCGCTCTGCTCCTTTTGCTCTGGCTTCTTTTCTCAGCCCTGCGCCTCAGGTCATGAAGTTCTACTCCAGCGGCGCGGACCTCGCCAAGGACATGGGCATCTCCCTGTCCGTGATCGAGCAGGCACACGAGGAGCACTTCCAGGCGGCCAAGAAGACGGAGACGCACCCGGACGACGGCCCCTACCCTGCGTACCCCTCCGGCAAGTGCTGGGACGAGGCCAGGGAAAGCTTGTGCATGTGAAAGTGTCGGCTCTAGCAGGGTCGTGCAATGTCGTGCAGATGTTCGGTTCAGTTCGGAGAATTGAAGCGCCATCGGCAGGCCAGCGGCAAGACGGGCAGCGGCAAGAAGTTCTTCCACAACATCATCCCTGGCGATGCCGTGAAGAACGAGCCGTTCTACGTGGCCATCATCACGCCGGTGATCCACTACTGCATGGGCGGACTGCTCATCGACACGGACTCCGCATGCATCGGCTCGGACAACAAGGCTGTCCCGGGCCTGTATGCTGCTGGCGAGGTCGCCGGCGGCGTGCACGGCAACAACCGCTTGGGTGGCAACTCCCTGCTGGACTGCGTGGTGTTCGGCCGTGTGGCCGGCATTGCAGCTGCCAAGTACATGCTGGGAGCGGACATGAAGGACGTGGACCTCAAAGAGATCACCGGCGGCGGCCTGACCGGTGCTGTGGAGAGCTCCAAGCTGGCCGGCGGCTCCTACGAGGACAAGATGAACTCTGCCGCGGCGCCTGCCGCAGGTGCCGCACCCGCGGCCGGTGGCGGCGGTGGCGGGGGCATGACCCTTGCCGACGTTGCCAAGCACAACACCAAGGCGGACTGCTGGGTGGTGGTCGATGGCCAGGTGCTGGACGTCACCAGCTTCTTGTCGGAGCACCCCGGCGGCGAGCTGGCCATCCTCACCTTTGCCGGCAAGGACGCCACGGAGGAGTTCAACATGACACTTGACTGCAGAAGCTGATCGTGTGTCCTTTGGCGTTGCTTGGGTACTCTGTATGTAAATTGCTACCGAAGGATCCACCCGCCGGACGTGATTGGCAAGTACGCCCCCGACTCCGTGATCGGCATGATCGGCGGCGGTGGTGGTGGAGGTGGTGCCGTGGCTGCTGCCGGCGGAGGCGGCGGCGGTGGTGGCGGCATCCCCATGACGGAGGTGGCCAAGCACAACACCAAGGCAGACTGCTGGGTGGTGGTGGATGGCCAGGTGCTGGACGTCACCAGCTTCTTGTCGGAGCACCCTGGTGGCGAGCTGGCCATCCTCACCTTTGCCGGCAAGGACGCCACGGAGGAGTTCAACATGCTTCTCGGTTGAGAGATGGCCTGTCTTAAGCTTGCAAAATCCGCCCATTCCCGGGCCAGCTCCTTCCGTACCCCACCCCGCCTGCAGCAACGTAGCCTAGGATCCACCCTCCTGACGTCATCGGCAAGTACGCCCCCGACTCCGTGATCGGCGCCGTGGGCTCCGGCGTGGCTGCCGCGGCCAGCGCCGCCCCCAAGGCCGGCGGCGGCGGGCCCATCAGGAGCGGTCGTAACAGCTCAGAGTGAATAACAAGTTTAGCCTGTAGAATGCGGAGAGATAGGGTCATGGAACGAACAGAATAGAGTCGGAGACGGAAAGACAGATTCAGATCGAGAGTACCAAGAGGAGAGCGGGGGGAGTGATGTTCTCGCCTTGTTCACAGAGCCGCATCTTGGGCACCAGGAAGGACACCGGCAGCAAGCTCGGCAACCACCAGGCTTGGGGCCACCTGGACGGGGCGAACAACTGGCGCGTGGACCTGGACGAGAACCCAGGCGCCGCAAAGCCAGCGAACACATCGTAATTAAGCATCGCAGTAGGACTTAGTCGATTTAAGCTTGGGCATTCGTATTGCTCGAGTGCATGCCGCTGGCTAGTGGAGGCGTCTTGCTGATCAACGTGAAGTCCTACTTCAACGCGACCTGGTTCTTCCTGCTCGCGGTGCTGTACGCAGCGCGGCTGCACTGGCATGAAGCGTGTGGCATGTCAGCAGCCAGTCAACGTCTAAATCGCATGCCAACAACTCTGCTGCTGTGTGCTGAGCTCAGGAAGTGTGCGCCACCATCTTCTCCGCCAAGAACATCAAGATCTCAAACGACCGCCTGGGTCTGACCCGCAGCGCCATCTTGCTGATCTTGTTCATCGTCATCCACGCAGTGGGAAACCTCCACGTCTTCAAAGGCTGGATGTCGCAATTAAGCATTATTGTAGTTCCTGCACCGGCTGCAACCTGAAGCAACGACTCCGCCCTGACAAAATTGTGCAGGCCCGGATGATTTCAACGGCTACGGCTACTTCTACGTGCGCCTCTACTGGACGGGCTTCGGCCTGCCGGCCAACATCGTGGAGGAGTACATTCTCCTGTCCGTGCTGCTCCACGTCTTTGTGGGCCTGAAGCGAACCTGGGACATGAAGCTGGCACTGGTGCAGACTCAGGGCATCAACGTCCTGAACCTGGCCATCTCCGGCCTGATGCTCCTGACCTTCATGACCATCCACCTCTTCCAGTTCCGCTTCGGCGACACCGACCAGTTCGGCCCCTACTACATCCGGCCGCCTCCTTACCTCATCAACTTCTGGGGCATCTCCTCCCTGAACCTCTTCTGGACCAGCGAAGACAGCATCGAGCCCGTCGGCGTGCGCGACATCTACGTGCAGTCCTCAGAAAGACAAGCAAAAAGGAAACACCAAGATCATTTAGCTACCAAGATGCTTCTAACCTTGGCAACGAGGCCCCAAAAATAGGACAGCCGTAAAGTGGCGTGAAGAGTCGACTTCAGGGATTTGTGAAGTTTGTGAAGGTGGGGCACGTCGCAAGACATGAACATCAGAAGCATCACAAGAACTACGAAACTAAACCCGAAACCCTAAGCCCTCAACCCTAAAGCCCAATCCCTAAACCCTAAACCCGAAACCCTAAATCCTAAACCCTAAACTAGCCCGTTTGGGTCCCTAAGCGCAGCAACTGGCGCTAGGCTCTCGAGTTCCAGATCTTCAAGAACCCCCTCTGGTCCTTGTTCTACATCCTCTCGGTGTTCATCTTCATGTACCATGCCTGCGTGGGCTGGAAGAAGGCGGGGGTTTACGGTTTCAGGCTGAGCCGGGGGCTTACGGTTTAGAATTTCGGGTGTGGGGTTTGGGGTTTAGGGTTCAGGGTTTTGGGTTCCCTGAACTGTCCGTCCAGGTGACTCCTGTGCTCGGAATCCCCAGAGGACACATCTGGCGAGTGGAGATCATCGGCTACGCCATCATGAGCCTGGGGCTTCGGAAACCCCTGGTAACCCCTAAGCCGTAAACCCTAGACCCTAAACTCTAAACCCTAAACCCTAAAACCCTAAACCCTAAACCCTAAACCCTAAACCCTAAACCCTAAAGTGTTGAGGGCTTTAGGGTTTGGGGGTTGGATGCTGGGCCCCGATGAACGAATTCTGTTCGATGGGTTATGGGGTTCTAAAGCGGGGGTTTCGGGGCCCACGGAACTTCAAATACATTTTAATGAGTTTCAAATCAATCCCAGAAGCCCCGAACCCTGAAAGTTCTGAACCTAGAAGCTCACAAGCCCCCAAGCCCCTGTTTGAGAGTAGTCTGTGGTTCAGAGTTTGCTAGGGTTTAGGGCCTAGGGTTTAGGGTTTCGGGTTTAGGGTCCACTTCCTGCACTCCCGTGGGCTGCAGCTAGAGCTTTGTTGCGGTTTAGGGTTTAGGGTTTCGGGTTTAGGGTTTAGGGTTTAGGATTCAGGGTTTAGGATTCAGGGCTCTGGGGGCTGCGGAGATTTGGGACGACCAGGGCCTCAGTAAGGGATTTAGGCCTACTCACAAACTCCGGAGCTACACACACATATATGTGAACATAAATGTATATCATGTTATATCGTAAATATTCTATACATATATATATATATGATATGATATCTTCATTCAATATACTTTATATTGCATATTATATATATATATATAAATAATAGTAATAATAATATTATGTACAATATATCATAGCTAATGTATAGTATATAATATTAAATATATAACATGTATTCTACGTTATATAGTGTATATCATATGGTATACCATATCATACCGTAGTATATCAGATCATATCATATCTATCATACCATATAAATATACATCAGAATAATAATAATTATGATTATAAGAAGAAGA